TTCAAGTACAGTTTTCTGTCTTTTACTTCTATCCCAGCTCACCTTCCCAGTGCTCCCCACCTCCCTTCCATTTCCACCCCCCTTAGTTTTTATCCATGTGTCCTTTATACTTGTTCCTGTAAACCCTTCTTCCCATTTTCCCCGGAAATTCCTTCCCCTCTTTCTTCTGGTACCTGTCAGCCTGTTCTCTATTTCAGTGTCTTTGGTTATATTTTGCTTCCTTGTTTGTTTTGTTGTGTTTACTTTCCTGTTAAAGGTGAAATCATATGGTATTGGTCTTTCACCACCTGGCTTATTTCACTCAGCATAATGCTTTCCAGTTCCATCCATGCTCTTGCAAAGGGTAGGAGCTCCTTCTTTCTTTCTGTTGCATAGAATTCCATTGTGTAAATGTACCATAGTTTTTTTAATATGTTTAATTGATTATGCCATTACAGTTGTCCCATTCCCCCCTTTATTCTCCCCACCCTGCATGTCCCTCCCCACCATCCCCCTCTTTAGTTCATGTCCATGTGTCACAAGTTCTTTAGATTCTATATTTCTCATACTATTCTTGCCCTTCCCCATGTCTATTTTCTACCTACCGTCTATGCTACTTAGTCTCTGTACCTTCTCCCCCCATCTCTTCCTCCCACTCCCCTGTTACTAACCCTCCATATGATCCCCATTTCTACAGTTCCGCTTCTGATCTAGCAGTCCTTTTAGTTTGCTTTTGTTTTAGGTGTGGTTCTTAGTAACTGTGAGTTTGCTGTCCTTTCACTGTTCATCTTTTTTATCTTCTTTTTCTTAGATAAGTTCCTTTAACATTTCATATAATAAGGGCTTGGTAATGATGAACTCCTTGAATTTGATCTTATCTGAGAAGCACTTTATCTGTCCTTCCATTCTAAATGAAAGCTTTGCTGGATAGATCAATCTTGGATGTAGGTCTTTGGATTTCATGACTTGCAATACTTCTTTCCAGCCCCTTCTTGCCTGTAAGGTCTCTTTTGAGAAATCAGCTGATGGTCTGATGGGAAGTCCTTTGTAGGTGACTGTCCCCTTATCTCTTGCTGCTTCTAGGATTCTCTCCTTCATTTTAATCTTGGCTAACATAATTATGATGTACCTTAGTGTATTCCTTCTTGGGTGCACCTTCTTTGGTACTCTCAGAGATTTGTAGACTTCCTGAAAGTCTATTTCCTTTTCCAGATTGGGGAAGTTCTCCCTTATTATTTATTAAAGGAACTTATCCACTTGTGGCTGTTCCTCTTCCCCTTCTGGTACCCCTATAATTCGTATGTTGGGATGTTTAAAGATGTCCTGGAGGTTCCTAAGCCTCTCCTCATTTTTTTTGAATTCTTGTTTCTTCATATTTTTCTGTTTGGTCATTTTTTTCTTCCTTCTGGTCCACTCCCTTGATTTGAGTCCCAGTTTCCTTTCCATCACTATTGCTTTCCTGTGCATTCCCCTTCATTTCACTTAATTTAGCCTTCATTTGTTCATCTAATTTGTGACTAAAATCAACCAGTTCTGTGAGCATCCTGATCACCAGTGTTTTGAACTGTGTATCTGCTAGGTTGGCTGTTTCTTGGTCACTTAGAAGTATTGGCTCTGGGGCTTTGAGCTGTTCTTCTTGAGCCATAATGTTTTGGCCTGTTTGTGCCCGTTACATGTGAGGGGTGGAACTTTAGGTGTTCACCAGGGTGGGGCAACCCAGGTTGCTGGGTTGTGATGCTGTATGTGGGGGTGGGGTCAGAGAGGGCAATGGCATTTTTTTCTGCTCTCTCTCAGATTTTGGCCCCCTCTGCTGCTTTCCAGAAGCCAACTGGGCTCTTCTGGTGCTAGTTTTCAGATGTGTGGGCTTGTGGGCCCTCCAGAACCCTGTGGGTCTCCCCAATGAGTTCTCTGTGAGCCTGGGAACCTCTACCAGCACCTCAGCCCCAAAAGTTTTTCCAGTTGGTGCTTTTAGGTTTTATTTCCCAGCGCTGGGGCCTCAGTTTACATGGTCTGTCTCACTGCTCACTCCTTTGCCTGGTTTATCTGCGTGCGAATGTGTGACCGCAGTCATCCTGCCGCCTTGCACCTTCACTGGGTTTGCCCATTGCCACCCCACACGTGGGATCTGCCAACTGCTGCCTGTGCACCTGGGTTTGTCCAGCTGCTTTTTCCTGCCTGACCATGCTCCACCAGCCGGCGACTCTGCCACTCTTACTGGTCTGGTTGAATGGTTCGTTGTTGTTGGACTTCTGTACAGTTCAATTTTTCTCTCTGTTTTGGTTGTGTTCTGGTTTCTAAATCTTTGTTGTTCATAAACTTGGTTGTGGGAGGAGGTATAGTATTTCCACCTATGCCTCCATCTTGGTCGGAAGTCCTTATAATTAATATTTAATAGAAACCTTGGCTCTCAGGTTGAGAAGTACCTAGAGGGGAGGCAAAAGGAGAAGCAAGGAGATCAAATGTGATGCTGTTTCAGTCATCCAGCAGTGTTGGTTGGTGGCTGCTTAAACCAGGGTGATAACAGAAGTAGTGCGGCTCAGTGGATTGAATGCTGGACTACAAACCAAAGGGTTGCTGATTCGTTGCCCAGTCAGCACACATGCCTGGGTTGCAGGCCAGGTCCCAAGTAGAGGTTATACGAGAGGCAACCACACATTGATGTTTCTCTCCCTCTTTTTCTCTCTCCTCCTCTTCCTCCTCCTCTCTCTAAAAATAAATAAAATCTTTTTTAAAAAAGGAAGTAGTCAGATTCTGGATGTTTTGAAGGAAGAGACTATTCAATTCATATTGCTGGGTAAACCCATTACTACAAATGAAGTGGCTGGAGATAACACAAATTTATCATCTCAAGAGCTTTCCCTGGTTAGGATTCTAGTCATTGCTTACTTGGGTTGCCATCAGGCTGCACTCGAGCTGTTGACTGGGCTGCATGCTTGTCTGGAGGACTGAGTTAGGAAGACCCTTCTAAGCTTACTCAGATTGTTGGCTGAATTTATTTCATTGTGACAGCAGAACTTACAGAGCTTGCTTCTTCAAGGTTAGCAGGAGAACTGCTAGCTGCAGTCTGCCAGGAAAGTCATATATGATATAACGTCAGTGTGGGAATGACATCCCATCACCTTTGCTGTATTCTTTGGGTTGGGAGAGTCAGAGTTATGCTGCCACTCAAGGTCAGGGAACTTCTGGACACAAGAAGGCTAGAATTATTGGAGGTTAGCCAAAGGTCTGTCCATCACAGTGAAAAATAGGATTTGTTTTGTCTATTTGGATGCAGAGTGTGAGACAAAGAGGAGAACAACTGGAAAGGTGGAGTTGACACTAACTGAGATAGGGAAGACCCAGAGTGCAAATGTGGCCACATAATGTATGAAATGCCTGTTGCACATCCACGTGAAGGTGTCAAATAGACAGTTGTATGTACAAATCTAGAGTTAAGACAGGAGGTAAGAGCTATAAATTTGCAGTTCATTAGCATATAAGTGGTACTTAAAGTCAAGGAGTGAGATCACTGAGGAGTGAGGATAGACAAAGAACAGGTCCAAGAACCGGACTATAGGTTCCTCAATATTAAAAAGTTGGGGAGTCTAGCAAGAAGCTAGAAGTGAAGAAGTGAGATAAGAATGAGATAAGAGGAATATATAGGAGGGTAGAATCCTTGAAATCTTTACGTGTTGACTTACTTTCTTTAAATCTCAGAAAGCCAAGTTTTTTTTTCCTTATCTCAGTTTTGGTCCCTATGTTCCTACCCTTCTGCCTCTTCTCTCTGCATATACTGCTCCTTTCAGTGGTCTGAGATGCCAGATATGAATGGCAACAATATGTGATTTTGTTTTGAAAGTTCGACTCCCAAACTGACATTTTTGCCCAAATAAGCCAACCTAATTCAGTCTGAGTTCAGGTCAGTGGGAGTGTGTGACCTGTTTTATTTGGGGACTGACACCATAAAAAACCAGGCTGCTATCTGAAGTGTACATCCCCTCAAGTGACAGGTGACACATGTCATGCACTACTTCAAAAGTGAAAAAGTTCAAACAGTGGCAAGAGAAATAGTCTTCCTTTAATGTATCAGAGACATCTTTTTTGTGTACACCCTTCTGTCAAATATTTGTTTTAATATCTATTGGTTATGTAAAGAAATCATTGCCATCATTAAAATGTAAAGCCTTGTGTGGTCCTAATAAACTGTCATTGGTTCACCTAATCATACCCTGGATTTAAGGGTCTATTTTAATACATTTTATTTTTGATAGAATCATGTCTGTTCTCGTAGAACCCAGAGAAATAATCCTGAAATTCTAAGTGGATAAACCGAAAACGAAAAGCCGCCATTTGTGCACATGCAGCGCATTACAACACAATTAACATCGTAGGCCATGCAGACACCGTGCAATACACGCCGTCGTCAGCTGTGTGTATTGAAGCTGTGTTATTTGACTCCTAGACACTTCTACACATAAACAAAAGCCTAAATGTTCACTGAGTAAAACAACATTTTTTTCTCCAAATACTACATGTGTTTTTGAGGTGTCATCATTGTCCAACAAAGTCTGACTTGTGATTTTGTGACACATTTTGAAGACTCTTTCTTATTTGGGCAATACTGATTTAGAACTATTCATGTTTTCAAACAATGGGCAAATAATCCTATTAGCGGTCTTCCACAAGTCAGGTTATAGTCTTCATTTAACAAACAAGGAAGCAGAAGCACAGAGTTCAACAACTCCCTCTGAACGCAGAGGGCCAGATGCCACACTTGGGCAGTGCCTGGCTGGCTCCTGCTGGACCACACAGCGGACATCTCAACCGGGCCTGTTGAGTCCGGAAGCAGGAGTTACAAGCAGTGTAATGAAATGGCTGCATTGCCTTTCAGATGATCCTGGAGGTCAAGTTAGTTTATTTGTTTTTAATTTAACTAAAATTATAGGTTGGTTGAAAGATTCCTTTGTTGGTAGGGATCTTTTGAATAGCCACACAAACCTTCTGGTCTCTCTCTTTCCTCCAACCCCTACTCCCATTTACAGGATTAGGAAAGCACTTGGGAGGCACATTCATCTTGCCAGCGTTGTCAGGAGTGATCAGCGAGTTTTATTAAAAGCCCTGAGATTGCATGAAAGGCCTCCTTGTCTGCGTTTGCAATGAAAGGCATGTTAAGATCTGGGGGCACATTGTCGGGACCCCACGCCCTGCCCCTTGGACCATGAGCTGACACTCCTGGAAGAAGCACAGAAACCCTCCTTTGTCGAAGGGATTTCACTGGTGGACGGAACCGAGTTGGCCCGTCGGCATGAGCTCTCTGAGTTGGGCTGTGCTGAGAGCCCTGCTGCTGCTGCTCCTCTTGGGCTGGGCCAGCCCCACCTTCATCAGCGTGAACCGTGGGATCCGGGTGATGAAGGGCAGCTCTGCCTTCCTGTCAGGAGATGACCTGAAGTTTGCCATCCCCAAAGAGAAAGATGCTTGCAAAGTGGAAGTTGTGATGAATGAGCCAATAACCCAGAGGGTTGGGAAACTCACTCCACAGGTAGGTCATATCCGTTTTTCCTTTCCCATTCAGCAGTATGTATGAATGTGAGCATGTAAGAGCGTGTGTGTTGGGGGGCAGAGAAGACAAAGCAGAAACAGCTTTACAAGGGTTGCAGTAGGCAGTCCCTTCTAGGGTGAGATATGGTCAGTCTTTATGGGTTATTTGTGCCCCAAGTTATCTCGCCTATTGTCAGTCAGGGTACCTTTGGATAAAATATCATGATTTCAAGACATTTTTAGGACACACTTGTGGCCCTAATAGCAGAAGTAGAACAGGAAGTCATTTTTGTCTACTAACATCATTTGAACATTCCCTCGACTGAGGGAAGAGATGGGGAGAAGACATGCGAGGCTACTTCTTTTCAAATATTCACTGTTCTTCAAAAATGTCTGCAGAAAAATTTTTTCCTATAATCAAAACCTAAGAGATCTTATCATTTAAGAGTATTCCATGCTCAATCCTTTTTGTATTTGTTTAAAGTAGTAGTTTATTTTTATACATGATAGAAATATTGCTTCTGATTTTATTACTTGTTTCTACTGTGGTTTAATTTTCCTTCCAATGCAAACAGTTTTGAGAACATTCAATAATGGCTGCTGCTGCTGTTTCTGGAAAAATACCTCATGTCCATTTGCTGCACTGTGAATATTAATTTTCTTCTCCATTTATCTAAAGAGACATATTCCTTCCATGAAGTTATTCAAAAGTGGTGACAGATGTTGTAGAGATGGATTATAGAAACTTAGATGCTAGCTCAAATTAGCACCTCTAGACACTCTATTTACAACATTTAAAGTTATATTCCAATTCTGAAACACATCATGTTAGGAGTAATCCTGATGTGTTAGTGACCTAACATGTCCCTCCATTTTCCTATGAGATTTGCTTTTTCAGTCAAATAGCTTCCGATGAGCATTTAAAAAATGTTAGTTATGCAATAATGGCTCGGGACCTACATGTTTAGTAATTCCAATATCTCTTTACTTTTTCCCAGTACGACTTGAACTCTGAAAGTGTGTTTGATTGGCGCTTATCACTCAAGGGGAAGGGAGACACCTGGATGAGTGTTTCCTTCAAATAAGCACAAATATGAATAAGCTCAGCTGCAGCTGCAAGCAATAGAGACCCAGCTTCAGCCACTGGGGTCAAAAGCAAACCCATGGAGTTCTGGGAAGCAGCAAGACAGGATCCTAGTCCTCAGGGGCTCCTGTATGGATATATGTAGGAGCTTTACGAAGACTGACAAACTGATAATTTGATACCCCTTCCAAATCAACATACTTTAAAAATGTCCAACCCTTATTTAGAAGTGAAGCTGAATAGCTGGTGGGGGAAAAAGAGAAAAAATTCCTCCTGGTTACATGCTGGGACAACCTATGGTCTCGCTGCATTTAGCTCTGGCCCCAAGCATGCGTATTGCACTGAGCTAAACAAAAGCCCTGTTATTCACCGGATTCTCTCTCCTTATAAGGAATTTGGGGAGGATGTACTGTAATGTAAGCCAGCCTGTGAGGGGTATCTTCTCATCCCAGACAGCCTATGACTTCTACGTATACGACTTAGCACTTAGAATTTCTGGGAGTAGTGCAATGGTCTCTATTACATATTTTCAGTGATGCTTCAGTAAGTGGTTCTCTCCATTTGGTTGGTTCTGAGGCACTGGAGAGCAAAAAGGGGTCTAACTGACTAAAACTAGGTTAAAAAATTCACTTGGTCAGAAGGATCGAGGGTTGTAATATATCTCCAAATAATCTTCATCTCGGACATTTTCTGGCTTTAAGGCAAAAATCCATGCAGAGACACAATGTGGAGCAGAACCAGCAACATGCCTGGCTGATTAGAGAATCGGGCTGCTGGGGAGGAGGGTGAGGCTACGCCTGCCTCCCAGTGTCCCTAGTATTGCTGTTGCTCATGAAGAAAAACCAACCAACCAAACTAACTAACTAACACCAAGTCCTGAGTGTTCACTGTATGTGTGTATTTCCAGAGGTAAATCTTACACCTTAAACAGATTCATACCATGTAAAGTAGATATGCGATTTACATCTTCTAAAATTCATTCTGTAGGAAAGGAATCTATTAAAATGTGAAGTTTCATCACCCTTGTTTGGTCAAATATTAGAACTTTGTACCATAAAGAAATCTATTATGTCCAGAAATCTGTTTTACTCAAACTGACAGGCGATTTTCCTGTTTTTTAAAAAAATTATGGTAATTTCAACAGAAAGCAAAATTGCCAAGTAAAGTCTGCTTTTTCGAAATGTGTGCTTGTTTTTAATCAAGGCTGATTTAGCCCTCTTCAGGGATTTATTTTGTATGGAGTTTTGAAGTTAAGCAGAGCCAAGAACACACACACACATGCACACACACACACACAGCTCACGCATTATTCTTTAATAGATCTTACTAGGACATTGAGAGCAAGGCTTATGTGAACCCATTTCTAGCAAGATGGCTGTATGAACAATATCCTGCTGGGTAATGAACAGTTTTATTTGATTTGCACAGAAAATGTTTTGTTTAACATCTGTTCAATTCGTGTTTTCATTTCATTACTGAAGTTTGTCTGAGAACCAACAGGTTCATTTTCCTGTTGGATATTTGGAAAGGGATTTCCATGGGTGCACGCCAGTCCCTTCTGTTTCAACAGCCCTCCTGATATAGTCAAGTAAATAAAGTCAATGGCCAAGTGTTTTCCCCGTGTTTTAGGACCAGCCTTCCTCACACACAGCACTTCTCACGTTTGTCCTGAGGCAAACAATTCCCTGAGCGGAAAAGCACCTCGCTTAGTGTGGGGCTTGCTTTTTTGAATAAGAAATACAGCAGTCAGAAAACGTCTCTGGTTTGGACCAGTTTACTGTCATTAAAGTGAGTAATGAGTTAGAAATGTGTGACGATTTAATTATAAATTGTAATTGAAAAGCAGTTGAAGTGGAAAAAAACAAAGCTAGACAGTAATTAGGAAAGGATTTAGCTCTTTTTAGTTTTAGTTAGTAAATTTATGGACAATTACGGTTGTCGCCTTTTATAAAAGGAAAACATATTACAAAACATAAAACAGATGTTTCTTTTAACAAAGCAGATTGTCTCTTTATTACCATGACTATTTGTCAGTGATATGGGAAAGGTCTTTACTTTATTTCCTTCCTTGTTGTAAATTAAAAAGAGGAATCAGTGATGTCTATGGGATCATTTGTATTAGCGGTATTGTCTTCTCAGAGAGGATTATGTCGTCTGTAAATGTGGGAAGCGGTAACAAAGCACAGGCTAAACACCACGAACTCAGCAATGATGGTGTTTGACTACCTCAAGGGAACAGTAAGTCCTCACTTAGCATCATCGATAAGTTCTGTGACTTTAAGTTAAACGACATATAACAAACCATTTTTACCAAAGGCTAATTGATACAGACCAGAGTTAAAGTCCTACTGCGTCTGAAAGAAACAACAGTATTGCAGGACCTGCTCTGTTTTTGGATCTCTGCCGAGTCAGATGGGCAGAATGAAGAACATGGCACAGGTGGAAGAGAAATTACTCCTTTTAAAAATAAAAATCCCCCAAATATAATAGTTAGTAATTTACTTAATAGTTCTAAGGGAGGTGACCAGGTAATTGTAATTTTATTTTAACAGGCATAATTGCCCTTAAATTGATATTTGTCTTATCAACTGTTTCTGTTACTACATAAATAACAAAAGCAGTCTCTCAAAGGTACAGAGAAACTACTGTGAAACTACACATCTTTAAATATAAAAATGGTATTTGGAGAAGAAAGAAATCAAAGGAGAAGGAATATATGTACAGAACCGATATAGTGTGTTGGCGGGTGAGGGAATGTGTACTTTTTCATATGTACACACAGGTATGTCTCTCTTAGTTCCTACGAACCCCTGGAGAGTGTGGGTAAATAACATTTTAATCAATGCAACCATATTTTAAATGTGCTCTAGACTGTAAAAAGATAGTTATTTAGAGAGATAACCACTGCTTAATTTATCTGCTTGATCAATTCAATCTGCTCTTCATAATTTAGATATTCTCAAAACAAGACACAGCTGTGTAAGTAGGGTGGTGCGTGGGCATGGGGGTGGGGATAGGTGGTGTTGGTTAAAACACACACCCATGTACACACAGAAAACAACAAAACGAGATGTTCATGGACTGTAATTTCTCTAAGCAGTACTCTACTGCTGGGGAAATTCAATCTTGTACCAATTTTCTCACCGATATTTATCCATTTCTTCATGTGAACTAGGTCTTTGACTGCCATTTCCTTCCCAATGAAGTGAAGTATATTCACAACGGCTGCCCGATTCTTGATGAAGACACGGTGAAGCTTAGACTTTATAGGTGAGCTGCACAGGAGCTGTGCTCATTCTCATTATTCCGAGTACTTACTTTTCCGTGGATAGGTGTTGTCATGGGGGAGTTACTAGATTCCAAACAGAAAAATAATCGGTAGAAATTGGAGACCTGAATGGGTGAGGCAAGGATTGTAGCCAGTGCTCAATGATCTTGATTGTATCATCTTCCTTGGGGCTTTTTCTGTGGCGCATTATTAGCCCTACCCTATTTCCCTTTAGATTCTTGGACAGGATTTCTGGGTCCAATCCTCTCCTTATAATGGGAAATGGAAATTATAAACTATAAATTCTTAGCGAAGATAAGGAAGAAAATATTGTTCCAAAATTCAGTAAAATTCTTTTTGATGATCAGTTGCTTAGTTATAAGAAGTGCAAGATTACCAACTGATATTTTAAATGTATTACATAATTAAAATATTTAAAAGTTAATTATAAAGTTAAACATAGAGTGACCATATGACCTAGCAGTTCCACTCATGTATATATATATTTTACACATACACACACATGAGAAATAAAAATCTGTGTTTATACAAAAATGTGTACACAGATGTACACATTGTATTACTATTCATTATTATTCATAATAGCCAAAATGTTGAAACAATCCAATTGATGAATGCATAAACAAAACCTGATATATTTATACAGTGGAATATTACTCAGTCATAAAAAGGAATAAAGTACTGATACATGTTATAGCACAGATGCATCTTGAAACCTTAATGCTGAATGAAAGAAGCCAAAGACAAAGGTTGCATGTTGCATGATTTCGTGTACATGGGATGTCCATTCAGTCAAATCTATTAAGACAGGAAGTGGACGAGTGGTTGCCAGTGGCTGGGGGAAGGGAAAATGGGTACTGATTGCTAACGGATGTAGATTTCTTTTGGGTGTACTGAAAATGTTCTGGAATTAGAGAGCCATGGCAGTTGCATAACCTTGTAAATATACTAGAAATTATTGAGTTGTATAATTTAAGGAGGTAAACTCCATGGTATATGAATTATATTTTAGTAAAACGTTGATTTAAAAATTAAGCCCGTGGTTTTGCTATTGCTCACTTCATATAAACAACGTCTCAGCTGTTCAGTATGGGTGGAGTAGACCTTTATATAATTTTTCTTATTTTTATTGTTCTCATGAATATTTAGCTAAAATAACTGTGTGGATTTCCTCTAAGCATTAGATGAATAAAAAAAAGAGTTTGGTAGAAGACATTGGAACAGTAGCTGATTCTATAAACAGGATTACCTACTATAGGTCAGGCCCTGTCCTGAACATAGGAAATGCAAAGATGAGGACACACAGACTCTTGGTGTGCATTATCTAATGGAAAACAATGGCTAGATCATTGTGGTACAGAACAAAAAGTGCTAAAAGAGAGACATAAACAACGTGCTGTGCTCAGGAAATGAAATGGCACTCAAGGATCCCCTAGGGAGCTACCAGCAACCTATAGGACTATTTGATCTTTCTAAGACTTTAAAGTTAAAAAAACAATTAACTTCAGAGACTTTGTTTGGAAGGGCTGAAAAAGCCGATGAATGCTGGCTGCCTGCCTTTCTTCCTTGTGTTTCTAAGGGGTGGAGAGGGTGGAGGGGCAGTTAGGGGAGATGTCATTCCTCTTGGTATTGAGGACATTAAGAATAGGGTGTTCTAAGAAGTTGGAGACAGAAAATCACGGAGCAATGCTTATTCCCCTTACCTTCTCTCCAGCACTTTGTTTAGCTAGTTGACCTCCTCTCTATGTTCAGTTTCTTCATCTGTAAAATGGGATTAACAGTGCTTACACAGGTTTTGTATGGAGATCGAAGGAGATACTGTTTGTAAAGAGTTTAGCATATGCCTAAACCATAGTAAATGCACACTAAGTAGGAGCTGCACTATCGATGCCCACCCATCACTCATTAATTTTTTCCCTGAAAATATCCTGATGACATAGTCACTAAGGTAATGGAGGGAATGGAAGTAACAATTACTGAGTACCTTTACCTGCCGAGAACTAAACTGGGCATCCAAACTGGGCTGCAAATAACCACTCATGTAGTGACTTTTCTGAAGACCAAAAAGGCCTTGATGCCTCAGAAATGCCTCACATTTTCTTTCTTGAGTTCAAACTCAACCCAGAAATTACACAAATTTCATACTTTTAAATTATTTATGTGCTAGAAGCGAAACTGAGCTCATAGCAACCTTTAAATATCCGTATGTATAATGGGTTTGAGAGCAAGTGTTTCATCTCATCGGAGGTGAATGTGGCAGTAAAAGGGGTTGACACCAAGATAAGGAGAAGAAAGAAAAAGAACAGAGAGATTGGGAACAGAGTCTGAATAAAATCCAAAGTCTATGCAATATACAAAATTTGTGAAGGCCAATCTTTAAATTTCAGGCCAAATGCACAAGGTATCAAAAGTGCCTGAACACCGAGAAGCAAGGACCTACAGCTAAGATTACTCTACCCAGCAAAGCTATGATTTAGAATCAAAGGACAGATAAAGATCTTCCCAGATAAGAAAAAGCTAATTAATTCATCTCCACCAAACCAATATTATAAGAAATGTTAAAAGGTCTTCTTTAGAAGAAAAAGGAAAAAAAGATAAAAAATGTAAATATAAAAATGACAATAAATACATATCTGTCAACAACTGCTACTTCCAGCCAAGATGGAGGCGTAGGTGGAAACATTGTGCCTCCTCGCACAATCAAGTTTAAAGACAACAAAGTTTTAGTAACAAAAACACAATCAAAACACAGAAAATTGAACTGTACGGAAGTCCGACAGGAACAAACCATTCAGCCAGACCAGTAAGAGGGGCGGAATTAGTGGCTGGTGGAGAGGGTTCATGCAGGAGAAAGTGGCCAGGCTGACCCAGGTGTGCAGGTGGCGGTTGGCAGATCCCAGGTGTGGGGTGGCAACAGGTGGACCCAGTGGAAGCGCAAGGCTGCTGGCTGACCACAGTCACACAGTCACACACAATAAACCAGGCGAAGGAGCAAACAGTGAGACAGACTGCTCAGGCTAGGGCCCTAGCGATGGGAATTAAAGCCTAAAAGCACCAATTGGAAAAACTTTCAGGGGCTGAGGTCCGGGAGAGGCTCCCAGGCTCACAGAGAGTTTATTGGAGAGACCCACAGGGTCCTGGAGGGTGCACAGGCCCACACACCTGGGAGTTGGCACCAGGGGGGCCTGGTTTGCTTGTGGGAAGCAGCAGAAGGGACCAAGGTCCAAGAGAGAGCAGAAAAAAAGACATTGCTCCTTTCTGATCCCACCCCCACATACAGTATCACAACCCAGCGACCTGGGTTGCCCCCACCCTGGCGAACACCTAAAGTTCCGCCCCTCATACACAACAGGCACAAATAGACCAAAACATTATGGCTCAGGAAGAACAGCTCAAAGCCCCAGAGCCAGAATCATAGAAGCAGCAAGAGATAAGGGGACACTAACCTACAAAGGAGTTCCCATCAGACTGTCAGCTGATTTCTCAAAAGAGACCTTACAGGCAAGAAGGGGCTGGAAAGAAGTATCCCAAGTCATGAAATCCAAAGACCTGCATCCAAGATTACTCTATCCAGCAAAGCTTTCATTTAGAATGGAAGGACAGATAAAGTGCTTCTCAGATAAGATCAAATTCAAGGAGTTCATCATCACCAAGCCCTTATTATGTGAAGTGTTAAAGGGACTTACCTAAGAAAAAGAAGATAAAAAATATGAACAGTGAAAGGACAGCAAACTCACAGTTATTAACAACCACACCTAAAACGAAAGCAAACTAAGAGGACAGCTAGATCAGGAGCAGAACCATAGAAATGGAGATCACATGGAGGGTTAGCAACAGGGGAGTGGGAGGAGGAGAAGGGGGGAGAAGTTACAGAGAATAAGTAGCATAGATGGTAGGTAGAAAATAGACGTGGGGGAGGAGAGGAATAGTATGGGAAATATAGAATCTAAAGAACTTGTGACACAGGGACATAAACTGAAGGCGGGGGAATGGTGGGAGAGGGGATGTGCAGGGTAGAGGGGAGTGAAGGGGGGGAAATGGGACAACTGTAATGGCATAATCAATAAAATTAAAAAAACTGCTTTAATATGAATGAATTACGTAAATGTTTTAATCAAAAGACATTTAGTGGCTGAATGAATAACAAAACAAGACTCTTCCACATGCTTTCTATAAGAGACTCACTTCAGATTGAAAGACACATAGAGACTGAAAGAACAGGAATGGAAAAAAGATTTTCTGAAAATGGAAACAAACAAGCAAAAACCTGGCATAACAATACTTATACCAGACAAAACAGACTCTAAAACAAAGGCTATATAATAAGAGACAAAGAAGTACCCAACAATTTCACTTCTAGGTACTTATCCAAAGAAACCCAAAACACTAAATCTGCAAGACATATACATTTATGTGCTCATTTCAGCATTATCTACAATAGGCAAAATATTGGAAGCAGCTGAAGTGTCCATCAGTAGATAAATGGATAAAGAAGGGATGTATATATACAGTGAGAATGAATAAAATCTTGTCGTCTCCAACAACATGCATGAACCTGAAGGGTATTGTGCTGAGTGAAGTAAGTCAGAGAGAGGAAGAAAAATGCCATATTATTATGTGGAACCTAAAAGACAGAATAAGCAAACAAGCAGAATAGAAACAGACTCAGAGATACAGAGAACATTTCAAAGGTGGCCAGATGGGAGGGGTGTTGGGAGGATGGGCAAAACAGGTGAAGGGATTAAGAAGTACAAATAGGCCATCACGGAATAGTCACTGGACGTAAAGTACAGTATAGGGAGTGCAGTCAATAATATTGTAATGATTATGTATGATGTCACATGAGCACTAGATTTTTCCAGGTAATAATAAATTATATATATAATGTCTAATCACTGTGTTGTACTCCTGAAACTAATATAATATTGTATGACAACTGTAATTGAAACATAACAATTTTATTTTTGAAAAAGGGGTGCTGGGGATGGAAAAAATGTACCTGAGCACCAAAAAGTTTTGCCTTTGCTCTGTTCTTGCACAGGTTTACGGAGACAGACACCTTCATAGAAACCTTTATCCTGCGGGTCCACCTCCTGGAACCAGACTGTAACATCATCCGTATGAGTAAAAATGCACTGGAGGTGTCTGAGTTCTACGGCCTGTCCCGAGCCATCGATAAGAACCTGCTTAGCTTTGATTATGACAGGACGGCTAGCCTGGAGTGCACGGTCAGGCTGCACCCTGTGGGCACTCGGCTGCCAGCCCACGGCCAGGTGGTTGTGGTGGAGCCTCGGCTGGAAGAACCTCGTGGAGACCAGCCACACGGTTTTTTCCCTGAGTCTCGTATGAACTGTTTTAATGATTATCTCTGTGTTACTAAAACGGACAAAATATCTATAAATGGTCATCTCCCACTATGACAAAGTTTTGCTTAATATAAGTTGTAGCTGGTTGACAACATGTAGGTTAGTGGTTGAGAGTATGGACTTTGGAGTCACACAGATCTGAGTTTGAAAACTGCTTCCGCTATTTCCTGGGCAATTTCAGGCAAGTTCCTTAACCTTATGAGCCTCTGTGAAATGGGCAAGGATAATAGCTGCTCCCTGGGGTCGTGTAAGGATGGAGTTAATGAGCACAAAGTGCTCCACACAGACCCAGTCATAGTAAGTACTCAGCAATTGTCAGCTGTTATTATGAATAGCAGCAATGGCAGTGGTACTAAGAGTACTTGGTGTATTTATATTATGAGCAGGTTTAAGGTAGGGCTGGTAGGAAGCAGACATGGTTTAAATTAGGAAGAGTTAATAGATAATTTTTTTCTGTTGTTTATTTAATTCATATCTATGTGGGTGACTCCTATGTGACTAGTAGTGTCCTAGGTATTATGGGAAGACCAAGAAATATAAAGGATAATCATAGTCATAATAATATCTTGAATCTGCCCAGCAGTTTAGAGCTAAAGACATGCTTTACACATAAGGCACCTCATCAGTCTTCTGCTTAAGAAGTAGCATATCCATTTTGTACTTGAGGGGAATTTTTAGAACATTACTCAGAAAATAAGTGGCCTATGTGTGTTATATACATATAGGAGCGAAAATGCGTTTGGGCAGAGCCATGCAGACTGTTGGGGAGGTGACAATGATTTCCAGGGGAAGGGAGCAGGCTGGTTCAGTCGTTCAAAGAATATTTAAGGGAAAGTTTAGTGAAAAGACTTTAGGTGAACGTGGGAAGGTATGCAGGACCCCCTGAGACAAGCACAGTGGAGAGGAATTGCAGTGAGTAGATCAGCTTTGGAGAGAGAGATTGCGTGAGGGGGCCTTGGAAGTGCATGCTGTAAAAAAAAGGGCGGCTGCAGCTGCGCTGTGCAAGGCTTCCAGGGAGCCGCCGGCCTATTTGTCAGAGACCTTCAAGCACCACAGAGTGCATTTTATTATTTTTTCTCTCAGTGTAACTTTTGGTGGACAAAAAAAATAAATAAAATAAATAAAAGGATCTCACGAGACAGCTGGTCAACTATTCTTTTTGGTAAATGAGAGGCTTTTAGAATAACAACAACACACTTAGTAAATGATTGGAATATACACATAAGTATTCTTGGGTCAGTGAGAGGGAGTATCCACAGGAGAGAGAATTGGCTTTTAAATTTTATAATTGTTATGTTCAAGTGACTATCTTAATTCAATGCTGTACCTTCTAGAACTGGGGACAGAGCTCAAGTGTCCGGGTGGAAGCTGTCCCCTGGGACTGAGGAAGATAGGAAGCCTCCAAGTGAGCTGTGAGGAGTTCCTGCTGATGGGGCTTCGGTATCAACATAAGGATCCTCCTTCTCCCGACATGGATTATATATCCATCCGACTGGAGCTCACAGATAGCAGGAGTAGGATGGTATACAAGGTAGAGTTTGGGGTTATGCATCTGTGTCCTCAACTGATCTACAGAAAGAGGGCCAGTTCTGTGGGGGTGTTCATGTTGGTTCCCATGTCAGGGAGAGCTCTGGGCATTGTAGATGGAACCGCCCAGTGGCTCATTAGAACTGCAGGCTTGTTTATTCTGCTGGTATGTGCTTAGAACAGTAGCTTTTGGATATAATGTCAGTGGAAGTATGTAGCTGGGGTGACTCTGCACAAGCTAAACAGCTTGGCTCTCTTCTATGTCTTGACTGGGGCCAGTTACATGCTTCCCCCCTTCCTCCTTCCCTTTCCATATTCTTCAGCTCGTCATTTGACCTTTTGTAACATCTTCTCTCTGATGCCTTTCTCCCCTCTTCTTTATTAGAACCACTTTTCACCTGTTAGAGGACATTTGGGTCTACATACCAACTCTGTGAGGCCATGGGAAACTGGGACAGGGGGGACCTCAGTCCCACTTTTATGGTTATAGCAGATCATATCCTTTTCACTCTTTCAGACTTTGAGATGGAAGACTGGATCATCAAGGAGACAGACCTCCAAAGGCCTCATCTATCTTCCAGTTTCTTTTAACTTTTCCTGCCCTTTCCTCCTCTTGATCTGCTTGCATTGGGATGATGATATAAAGGGGAATCAATTTATCTGAAATATTTAATGGGCTACTCTGTTGATACATGTGCTCTGTAATTTTTATTTGTTTGGGTAGCTGAGGAGGCTGTGTACCAGCTGGGGAAGCTTGGACTTCGTGCTGATGTACAATGATCCAAGGTGACACTTGTGGAAGACCTCCATCATTCACAGCATGTCTTCACTCTAGGATTTCTCCTAAGAGACCCAAATATCGAACATTATTATCCTCAAGGAGTTGAGAGGACACGAAATAATAAGGAAATGATAAAATATAATCACAAACTTTTAGAATTGAGATTTGGAAAAAACTTTGAGGTAGTCTGGTTAGATTATTAGGCAAGTCACTTGAAACACTTTTAAAGGACAGATTTGAGCCTAACATTTGTTAAGATCCTGACACTGGGTGCAGATTGTCTGGATTCAAATGTCTGTTTAACTAGCTGTGTGACTTTGAACTTTATGCCTTCTTTCTTTAATCGTAAAACGAAGATAACAGTACTTACTTCTTAGAGCAATTAAAAGAATTAAGTGATATAATAGTTACAAAGAACTTGGCACAAAGCCTGACACATAGTAAGCACTACACATGTTTTGCTAGTTAAAAAGCCACTCAGTTAAAAAACCAGATCATCATCAACATCTAGTCCCTCTTATTTTGTACTGGTGGCCAAAGGAATTGTGTGCCTTTCCTCTACATACACGGCTGAGCCAAGATTAAATTCTGGGTCTGCTCACTGCCCCTCGATGTCTTCTCTTTGTTTTGATGTGAAACTGCTTTTACTTTTAAGGCTTTCTTAGCTTCATAAAAAGAAAGTAAATCCTTTTTTTCCTTGATTGATTTTTTTTTCTTTTTCCTTTTTATATTGAGTTAAGGCTTTGTTTATATTTTCATATCAGTTTTACTGAGAGCTGACCCCTTTACATGATCTTCTTATTTAGAATTAGCCCATTCCATAGTCAATTGGCATACCATAAAACAGATTCTCTTATGAATATAAAAGTAATATGCTCACTACAGAGTATATTTTTTAAAAATCACAGTAGGCAAAATAAGAAGGAATAAAATTACCTATATTTCTACTATTTTTAAACAAATACACACAGTGGGGAGACATGTACACCAAAGTTAATTTTCTTTTATAAAGTTGATTTATACTATATTTAAAAATTTGTATTTTTAGAAATTATTTTTAAGCTCATCAAGTCACTAAATAATTTCACCCGTAGTTTCTTATAGATTTTTTAAAAGGTTTTCTTGTTTATATTTGCCTTTAAAAAAAATCCTCACCTGAGAACATGCTTATTAGCTTTACAATGGAAAGGGGAATGGAGAGATAGAGAGGAGAGAAACAACAAAATGAGAGACAAACATTGATTGGTAACACGCGCTCTGCCCAAGGACCAACCCTCAACCTAGGTGTACACCCTGACCAGGAATCGAACCAGCAACTTTTTGGTTTATGGGATAATACTCCAACCAACTAAGCCACACCAGCCAGGACTATATTTGCTTTTTAATCCACCTGTAATACATTTTATTGTATTTTGAAACACAAGAACAGTTTTTTCCAAGTGGCCAACATTTCCACAGTATTCGTTGAATAAATAATTTGTTTCCCTTGATTTTTGATGATTCTATTGTATAGGAAGATGTTAGATATACTATTTCAAGGCTCGGTCCTTTGTTCCTTATATTTGCCTACTTATTTCTCTGTCAATGCTGTATTATTCTAAATATAATGGGTTTATAATACAACTGAATATTTTATAGGCAAGTTCTTCTCCGTCATTCCTTTACAAAATGTTCTTATTCATTTATACCTACTCTTAGTTCCAGATAAATAATTAAATCATTTATGTTAGCTAAAAAAATAAGCCCTCAATATTTTTATCAAGCTTCAATTAAAACTACCAATTATTTTGGGAAGAATTGGAACATTAGAACATTTACCATATTGAATCCAGGAATGAGCTGTCTTACTTCATCTTGCCAAATGTGCTTTCAGATATTTCTTTAAAGTTTGCAGTTTTCTTCATGTAAGTCAATAACACTTATCAAGTCCAGTCCTATGCAGTTTATACTTGTGAAATTATTGTGAATAGACTCTTTCCTCCATTATATATTCTCATCCATTACTGATGATAAGTAGGAAAGCTTTTTGGGGGCTATAATTTTCTTCTCTCTAATTCTTTCTTGAATTCAGTTATTCTAAGAACAATTCAATTCTTTGGGCTTTTAAAGACCATAATTATATCTTTCACTAACTATGATAATTTTATCTTTTCTTTCTCAGTACTTATTCCTGTTATTTCTGGCCTCTTCTCCGTTGGGTTGGCCAGTATAATATTAAATATATCGATGCTTGTAAGAAGCCTTGTATACCATATTAACTACTTACACTGTGTTTAATGTTTCTCATCTTGATTTGTTCTTTGTTTGAAACTGATATGGTCACTTTTGCTTTTTTCTTTTTTTTTTGATTATGCCATTACAATTGTTCTATTCCGCCCTTCATTCCCCTCCACCCTGCACACCCCCTCCCCCACTATTCCCCCCTTTAGTTTATGACCATGTGTCTCAAGTTCTTTAGATTCTATATTTCCCATACTATTCTTGCCCTCCCCCCTATCTATTTTCTACCTATTGTCCATGCTAATTATTTTCTGTACCTTCTCCCCTCTTCTCCTCCTCCCACTCCCCCTGTTGCTAACCCTCCATGTGATCTTCATTTCTATGGTTCTGCTCCTGATCTAGCTGTCCTTTTAGTTTGCTTTTGTTTTAGGTGTGGTGGTTAATAACTGTGAGTTTGCTGTCCTTTCACTGTTCATATTTTTTATCTTCTTTTTCTTAGAGAAGTCCCTTTAACATTTCATATAATAAGGGCTTGGTGATGATGAACTCCTTGAACTTGACCTTATCTGGGAAGCACTTTATCTGCCCTTCCATTCTAAATGAAAGCTTTGCTGGATAGAGCAATCTTGGATGTAGGTCTTTGGATTTCATGACTTGGAATACATCTTTCCAGCCCCTTCTTGCCTGTAAGGTCTCTTGAGAAATCAGCTGACAGTCTGATGGGAACTCCTTTGTAGGTGACTGTCCCCTTATCTCTTGCTGCTTCTAGGATTCTCTCCTTCATTTTAATCTTGGCTAATGTATTTATGATGTGCCTTGGTGTGTTTCTTCTTGGGTCCAACTTCTTTGGGACTCTCTGAGCTTCCTGGATTTCCTGGAAGTCTATTTCCTTTGCCAGATTGGGGACGTTCTCCTTTATTATTTGTTCAAATAAGTTTTGCACTTGATCTTTTTCTTCCCCTTATGGTACCCCTGTAATTTGGATGTTGGAGTGTTTAAAGATGTCCTGGAGGTTCCTAAGCCTCTCCTCCTTTTTTTGAATTCTTGTTTCTTCATATTTTTCTGTTTGGTCATTTTTTTCCTCCTTCTGGTCCACTCCCTTGATTTGAGTCCCATTTTCCTTTTCATCACTATTGGTCTCCTGTGCATTTCCCTTCATTTCAATTAGTTTAGCCTTCATATGTTCCTCTAATTTGTGGCTAAAATCAACCAGTTCTGTGAGCATCCTGATCACCAGTGTTTTGAACTATGCCTTTGATAGGTTGGCAATTTCTTGTTCGCTTAGATTTATCGGCTCTGGGGCTTTGGGTTGTTCTTGAGCCATGTTTTGATCTGTTTGCTCCTGTTAAGTATGAGGGGCGGTGCCTTAGATGTTCACCAGGGTGGGGCGACCCAGGTTGCTGGGTTGTGATGCTGTATGTGGGGGAGGGGTTAAAGAGGGGCAATGGCGGTCCTCTCTGTTGCTTCCCACCACGGGGGCCTTCACAGTCTGTCTCACTGCTCACTCCTTTGCTGGTTTATTTGCACTTGAATGTGTGACTGCAGTCTGCCTGCCGCCTTGTGCCCTCACTGGGTCCACCCATTGCTCCCCCACACCTGGGATCCGCCCACAGCTGTGTGCTTGCCTGGGTCGGGGGATCTTTCCTGCCTGACCAGTTCCGCTGCTGGCTCCACCCCTTTTACCGGTCTGGCTGAACGGTTCATTGTTGTTGGACTTTTGTAAAATTCAATTTTCTGTGGTTTGGCTGCATTTTTTGTTACTAATACTTTGTTGTTATTAAATTTGGTTGTGCGAGAAGGCAGAGTGTTTTCACCTATGCCTCCATCTTGGTGGAAGTGCAGAATATTTGTTTTTAATAAGAAAATATCTATATTTTAATAATAATAGATATATAGAGTTTTTAAATTATGTTTTCTGGTTTGCTTATTAAAACATTGTCTTACAATATAGGCTAAATTTTCTTTGGCTTTTTCTGTACTTACTTGAAAGTCCTTTATCCCACTTTATGTTTTGCTAGGATTATATTGTAAATCCAAAAAATTCTTTAATCTGTATTATTATTATTTAAAGTAAAAAAATAACAGGGTCTCTTGTCTCCTTCCAATAGATGATGAGGATTGATCCTGTTTACACCTTTTCCCAGCAATTGTCCACCTCCCAGGCTTTGTTTATATCATCTTCAACTTTAGTTCTAGCATATCATTGTTATCTCTGACATCTTCTACTTATGAAAGCTCTTTTGACTTTTGTATTCATTTTCTTAACATGTTTAAGATAACGTTTATTTAGTCTTAGCTCTAGGCTTCATTGGTCTTAGTGTTTAGCACCAGTCCTTTTACATCACGATTTCCCCATTCTTGACTTTTCAAACTCTGACTCTTCAAATAGTGGGGTTTTTTTTTAACAGTTTAAATGTATGCTGTTTATTATATGCCAATTATATGACAATAAAGCTGGGGTTTTAAAAATCTTTTTAAATGTTTAAAAATTAATTTATTTTTATTGTATTTTTTCCATTACCATTTATTTGGCTTTTACCCTCTCCCACCTCCACCCACCCCCATTTCCCCCTCCCCCACACAGTTACCACATAGTTGTTAAAATGGCATGTGAAGAATAGATACTCTAAACCCTCAGATGCCTCAGCATATCATTCATTGGTCTTCATAAACCAGGCATGGTCGGGGGGCACTGATTGTCCTCTTCTCTGTTTTTTTCTTGTACTTCTCATTTCTTTAGAGTATTGCTGGCTAGTTTCTGAACTTCCAGGCTTTGGGACAGGTAGTTTTGGGGGAGTGTGGGGAGAGAAGTCTTATTTATTTTATCAGACATTATACAATATGTCTTCATGCTCTCTGAGTCTGGCAGATGTTTCGAGCTGCTTCTTTGTCTCTGAGGCAACTTCATGGTTCCTCAGGAGACATCCCATTGCAGAGGTCTTTTACTCATAGATCTCGTGTCTCAGGAGGATGCATTTCTGACCTAAGTGGTCACTGGTAATTTTTCCAGTAGTATCTAGGATATAATGTCCACTTTCAGCTTCTTGCTGCTGGGATTCTTTGGCCTTTCAAGGATGCACCCTAAAGGTCAGGGTCCAGGATGACCCCAGACCAACTCTCTGTCCCACTTGGCTTATGTCTGGGAGCATTCCTATAGTCCTGCCTCTCACAGGGGCCGTAGGTTGATCGCAGCACAGCTATCATTTTTCTTCTGCCTCTGGCCACTTAGCTTCTTCAGGTCTGAGCCCTGCATCAACCCTTTGTGTGTTCTGCCTGTAAATATATACATTTTAATGCTGGTTTCAAGGAAACTTCACTTCTGACACCTGAGGCCAGGGATGTAGCGTTGCCACCCTCTTCCTCTCTGTGTGCTGTTGGATGTCAGGACAATGACTCAGCACAACACAGCACTCCTCTCTCTAAGAAATCTTTCTCTTACCTCTCTCAATACTTTCATATTCTTAGAGTGGGCAAGAGGATTTGTAAACTCTGCCTGCAGTGTGCGTCTCACATTGACTTTGAAATCTGATATCTCTCTCATTGGAACTTCAGTTGAATCAGAACCAAGAATTCTATTTTTAACATTCTGTTATATATAGAATACAACTCATCGACTGGTAGCCAGTGTTCAGCAATATTAAACCAATGTGATTCCAATAATCAAGGCTGGTTATCTCAATAGTGGGAAACATCAAATCCTGTGATAACCGGCATCTCCTGCTGTGAGGGTTCTTCCTGCCTGTAGTACTTGCTGTGACCTCAGATCCCATGATTCTCATAGCCCTCTCATTTGAGGAAGGTGTATTTCTAGCCTGAGTGTTCACTTGCAATTCCTGTTACCTGCTTCTTGCTTAGAGACCCAGGGTTTTAACAAATTAGAAAGCTGGTAACCATTTTTTAGAAGTATGAGGATTGACTTGTAAAGACATTTTCCTTCGTTCTGCCTCTGCCTGCATTAAAGCTACATGACAGAAAGTGGGCACAAGAAGAGATTGGTGATGTGTGCCAGCTACTGCTGAGTGCTTTACTTTGCTATCTTGTTTAATCCTCACTTAATTCTTGGGGATCTAGTATTCCCATTTTACAGATGGAAGAAATGAGGTTTGGGAGTAAAATAACTTGTCTAAAATTACACGGATCATAGGTGCTGGAGATGGAATAAAGCCCAGTTTGTTCTGATGCCAAAATTGGTGCTGGTTCTCAACCCTGAGTGCATTTTAGAGTCATCAGACAGCTTTACAAATACCAATTTTCTGGTCCCCTTCTCAGAACAATTAAACTAGAACCTCCGGACATGGGGCCTGGGCATCAGAATGTGTTAAAGCTCCCCAGATGCTTCTAATATGCAGCCAGATCTCAGATAACTGCTGTGGTTGTATGTTAAACATGGTACAGTTAACCCTGTGTGTGCTAGCTGTATCCACATTATTTTCCCCTTCATATTTTCTTTCTCCTTCAAAAGTCAGAGAGTGTGTGGTTGCCCGTCCATATCAGAGCTGGCATTCCTAATCAGATTCCAAGGGCTGCGTTCATGGCCATGTTTACTCTGGAAGTGGATCAGTTCATCCTGACCTCGCTGACTACATCAGTTCTGGACTGCGAAGAGGATGAGACCCCCAAACCCTTGCTGGTGTTTAATGTCACTAAAGCCCCGCTCCAGGGCTATGTGACTCACCTGTGGGATCACACCAGACCGATCTCCTCGTTCACCTGGAAAGATCTCAGTGACATGCAGATTGCCTATCAGCCACCAAACAGCAGCCATTCGGAAAGGAGATATTATGAGGTAAGAAGGAAGAGAGACCAAGCTTCTAGCCTGTTTGGTATTCACAGAGTTAGTTAAGAAGCCACTTCCTTTAGCTTTCAGGTTAATTTGTATATTCATTGCCTCTGAAGGGAATCAATCACTGTAGATCAGAGTGCAAACTCGAATTCCCAAAGGAGCTAGGCTGGTGAGGCAAATAAGCAGGCCTTTTCGGAGGTACACTGGGGGCTCCAGCTGACACAGATGTACCTATTGCTCTTACGTGTCAAGAAAAGTTGGAAATTCATAATATCTCTGTAAAAATAATTTCTGTTTTTAAATGTAGGAAACATATTAAAGACTTTAAAGTATATTGCGCCAGCTATAGACTATTTCTAAGGGCCACATTTGGCCCAGGGCTCACCAGTTTGGGAGCTCTGTTGCCTTCAACAGCCTGCCTGTGTCAGATTACCTAGACCATTGAAGTTAGGGGTTTTGTTCATAATTTTTTATTAATAATCTTTTAATTCTTTTTTGTTTGCAAGAGTGTTTTACTGGGATCTTGCATTTTAATTAATAACACTGACCCAGGATAGCAGATTCCATAGTCTCAAAGGATAACTGATTTTACTGGCAAACACTCTCCATCAGGAAAGTCCTCTTTCCACCTGATCTAAATCTTTTCGGCCGCCACTTCAGGCTCTTCCCTCTTGTTTTGTATTCAATGGGAATAGTGAACAGCTGGTGACAGCCTTGCACATAATAACCCTTCACATACTTAAAGACCTACCAGCAAGCCGAAATTTAAGTGAGCAGATTGATACAGACTTGAGTTCAGGTTTATTAATGGAAATGAGTGTCCCTGGGGTGACCAAATTGTCCTCCATCTAATTTAGGCACTTGCAGCATTTAGTCTCAAGGGCAGACAAAAGACTTCAGACTACAAGGGCTGTGTTGTGTCCTTTGCTTTAATTTCCTTTATTTCATAATAGTAAGTGGCAGCTTTTGTCTTTCCCGTCCTGGCCTCTCCTTCCTTCGGTATTTTGAAGTGCTTTCTCCTTAGTTGTCTGGATTCACCTGCTGCTCACACGTACAGCACTACTACCCTGCTGCTTCCTGTGTGTATTTTCTGGCATCGTGTAATGTAATCTCAATGCCGAATTTGTTCAAGTGTGTGATATTTTTGTCCTAAGGCAACCCAATTTTCTCAGTGGACATTATGCACTTGCCACATTTTGTGGGTGGGAAGCCCTAAACCTCTACAGAACTTTGTTCCCTCAGCCACCTGGGGTGGGACTTCCGAGAGCAGAGCCATGGCCAGTGCTCCTGAAGCTAGCTGTCCCTTCTCTGGGCTGTAATGCCGAGGTGGTCTACTGTTTTGGTCACTTTTACCTCTTTGGGAAATTAAAACTGATTTAATTAGGAATTACATATATTTGAGAAGAAAGTTCTTTAGAGAGTACATAACATACAGTTTCATATGGTTCAAGCTAATATTTATATTATATCTGCATAAATATATCTCCCACCTTGGTATAGTTCATTTTTGTCTGTTACTTTGGCACTCTTGAATCTGTTTCTTTTGTTATGTCGTATTTGCTGATACGCTGCTATTTGATAATTGCTCTCATCCTCTCAAATGGACCACATGTTCTTCACAAGTAGGCGGTGTGCTCCCATTTCTGTATTATACCTCATCCTTCTCTGTCAACACCTGGAGATAATACACACATGTCATGTAACAAGGCTCAAAACTTATCATATAACTCCACTTAGTAGTTATGGATTTCACAGGAGCAAATAAAACCTGGATATTTAAAAATATGACTAGTGGGATGGATACCTCTGGATCCTGGTTCCCTAACAGCAGCACCAGTGACATTTTTGGACTAGAGAATTCTGTGGGTGCTGTCCTGTGCGTGGTAGGATGTTAGTAGCATCCCTGGTCTCTCCACCAGAGGCCAGCAGCACCCCCTCCACTTGCACACCCATATGTGAGACCAGAGATGTCTCCAGACATTCCTAAATATCAAAAATGACAAAATTTGTCCCAAATGACAAAAGGACCTCAGTGGAGAACTGCCCTGGGCCCTCTACCTTTGAGAGAGGCTCAGTTGGTCTGATGCTGGACTGACAGTCTCCTGAGCAAATGCAGTGACACGTTTTCAGCATATTTGCTTATTTTAGGTTAAGAATTCTTTTGTGGAGAAGAAAATTTAAAAATACCAATGACCTAAGGAACAGGATTTAGAGCCCCGAAAAGGGAGATCAGGTTGTCAAAAATGAGATCAGGCAGCAGCAGAAACCTGAATCCATCCAGCCTCTGTCTGTGGCATATACCCCAGAAGTAACGGTGTTTTATACTCTAACATCTCAGCGTGTGGTTCACATGCAACTGTTTGTTAACAGGTGGAGTTGGAGGTTTACGACTTCTTCTTTGAAAGGAGCGCACCAATTACCGTCCTCATCTCCGTCAGAACATCAGACACAAATGCCCCACGAGTGTCCTGGAACACAGGTATAGACCAGTGTAGAATGTCAGGCATCATAGCCCTGGAGAAAGACAAGAAAATATGTGGGTCGGGAAAGAAAAGTTTTAACACCATTTCACACATGAGGCAACTGAAACCCAGACTGGTTAGGGCATCAGATAATTGGTTTGGTTTTGGTTTTCCTACTGGGAGGGTGAGAAATTCAAGTCCAGGATTCCTGAGTCCTGGGGTCAAGTTCTTTCCTCTGTAAGAGATGAGCCAGAAGGACAACTTTCACCTGAACAAGGCAGCAAAGTGACTGTGCATGATACTGAGCTATAGTTGGACCGAGAGAGAAAAGGTCTCCAACTCACACTGCTCACAGGGATCGAAGGAAGGAGTACGCCGGTGCTCTCTACGTTGTCTTATTTCTACGTTGTGTGGTATGGAAACCACAGCATATGAATAAGAACTTCAAGTGCTTTATTTGTTTTAAAAGAAAGCTTTGCTCTGCCTCTCATTTCTAACTGAACTTACTGTGCAATGTATATATTCAGGTCAGATATAGATGCGGAATCTAAAGGAAGATTGTTTTCTTTTCCACTGATCCCATTAATAGTATTTAAAACATGTAAGGAGAGGTTGTAGGTTCTGTTAAGGGGATAATATGTGTCTGATTTAAATCCTCAGGTGGCAGCTTAAATTAGTTGCCTCTTGTGTTTGTGTGTGTTTCTGTGCATGTGAACGTAATGTATGTGCTTGCATGTAGGTATATGCATGCACATGCATGTGTTTGTATGTGTTGAGTTTCAGTAGATGGAGAACATTGGTTGAGCAGCCTTGATTTATAATTCTGGCTCTGTGTCTCATCTACTTCTGTTAGAGGGATGATGAAAGAAAAGAAGGAATTGGTAACCTATAGTTTAGTAATAATCACATATTAAGTGGCTTATTGCTTGAGTGTAGAGATTCAATAGTCTGCATGTTTATGTGTGATCTGTGAAACCCAGGCTTGTTAAGAGAGCTTTCCAAATCTGGTGTTGGTTACTTTGGACATCAGACTCCATTTTACAATGAATTTTTACTCATTATGAAGTAATAGTATGTTCACCATTGAAAACTTAGAAAGTACAATAAATAGAATAAGTAGTAAAAAGAGAATAAATAGTAATAAATTGTCAAGAAAAAATGAATAAGGTGGAGCAGGGGAGAGTGGTGAGGGGAAAAAGGAGGCAACTGTACTTGAACAACAATAAAAAAAGAAAAATTGAATGAAATAGTAATGAATAAAATCATCTATTACTTCATGAAAACATAACCACTGTTAATATTTTGTTATATATACTTCTAGTTTTCTCGCTTGTTCTTTTGCTGTGTCCTTTGTGATGCCTTTTCCTATGCCATACTGTGCACTTTTGGCTTCAGAACCATCATTACTAGTCAGAGATTCTTTATACGTATTCATCTTCCCCTCATGTTTCCCCTCCCCCTTCCTTCCTTCTCTTAACTATTCTCTTAACTATAGCCCAGGTTCCCTAGAAATCGCTACTAAGGCAGGTTATATGCATTAACCCTACACTGAAAACAAGAGTAAGGGGGAAAGGGAAGTCCAGATGGTGTCACTGAACTGGTCTCAGGTTTACAAAAATATAAAGCTGATGGTGACTTCGTGTAGTGTTGATGTCTCCGGAAGGATATGGACTCACTGTGTGTGGGAAGAGTCAGAGCTGGGTGGGGAAAGGGCGAACAACCTGACAACTCCTTCCCGTCTTCTGTCTCTTCTTGGTTGGTTTGCCTCCCTGGATGTTAACTCCCACAGGCCCAGGTTATGTTACCTGGCCCCCCTTAGCAGCTGCTGCACAAACTCCTGGAGTCCCATGGTGTAGGACCTGCTCATGTCATACAGAGGCCACGTCTAAACCTGGTCCTCACCACAGACAGAAAGGAGGTGACCAGTCAAATTGGAAGACACACAACAATGGCACTCAGGGCTTTACAATTGGGAGGAGTGTGGACACCCTCCCTGGAGAGCAGGCCAAGGTCAGGGAGCCCAGGGAAGCTGGGCAGATTTGAGGGAAAGCGTTAAATGGGCTCACTAGTACACTGTCTTCACATTTTTATCAACTTGTTTTGTAAAGAAAGAGTTCTGTTCCCTTTTGAGATTCTCTGTTATCTGCTGGCTAGCAGCCCTACTGGGCAATGACAGTGGTTAATGGTGCTCCCTGTCTTTACCCCGGTGTTTAATCTGTAATCTGTATTCTTTTTTTAAAATTATTTTAATATTTTTTTATTTAATTATTTTTCAAGTACAGTTTTCTGTCTTTTACTTCCATCCCAGCCCACCTCCCCCCACCCTGTGCTCCCCACCTCCCTCCCATTTCCACCCTCCTTAGTTGTTGTCCCTGTGTCTTTTATACTAGTGTCTTTTATACTAGTTTCTGTAAATGCTTACCCTTTTCCCCTGAAATTCCCTCCCCTCTCCCCTCTGGTCACTGTCCCCCTGTTCTCTACTTCGGTGTCATTGTTTTTATTTTGCTTGCTTATTTGTTTTGTTGTTTAGCTTCTTGTTAAAGGTGAGATCATATGGTATTTGTCTTTCAACGCCTGGCTTATTTCACTCAGTGTAATTCTTTCCAGTTCCATCCAAGCTGTTGCAAAGGGTAGTAGCTCCTTCTTTCTCTCTGCTGCATAGAATTCCATTGTGCACATGTACCATAATTTTTTGATCCATTCATTCACTGGCAGGCATCTAGGTTGCTTCAAACTGTACTTGAAAAATAATTAAATAAAAATTTAAAAAAAGAAAACTGTGCAATTTTCTCAGAAAACTAAAAATGGACCTACCTTTTGACCCAGCAATTCCACTGTTAGGAGCATATCCTAAGAACCCTAAAACACCAATCCAAAAGAACCTATGCACCCCAATGTTCATAGCAGCACAATTTACAATAGCTAAGAGCTCTATATCTATAGATAGCTCTGTAGCTATAGAGCTATCTATATTCTTGTTCTGAGCAGCACTTATTTTCTCTGCTTGAATTTCCTCCAGTGTACTTGGTCGAAGGAGAAGGTTTTATTTAATTCCTTTAGTTGCAAAAGTCTCTTCCTTATTAGGGCCCAAACTAAAAAAAAACAGTTCTCTTTGTAAAGTATCAGACACTTCACATCTAATGCCATTAAACAATCCTTGCAGAGTAGCTCTGTGTTTGCATATTTGACCATTTCATATTCTTTGTCCTGTGGGCTACTTATGAACTCAAACTACAGTTGACCCTTGAATAACATGGGGGATAGGGTTGCTGACCCTCTGTGAAGTTGAAATCTGTGTACAACACATGACTCCCAGAAGTCATACTGATCTATTCATAGCCTACTAAAAGCCTTACTAATATCATAAAGTTGATTAACACGTATTTTATATGTTATACATATATTATATACTATATTCTTACAATAATGTAGGCTAGAGAAAAGAAAATGTTAGTAAGAAAATCATGAGGATAAAATACATTTACAGTATTTATTTTTTAAAAATCTCTGTTAAGGTTCACTCTGTTAAGTGAACCTGCACAGTTCACACCCCTGTTACTCAAGGGCCAACAGGGTGTGGAAAAGCACCTCTGATTCCTTTGCCCACAGAACATCTGGAGGTAGCCTTTGAAAGCCTCCTTGAGGACATTTTTTGCACTAGAGACTACTGTGAGCATAACATCTATTCTCTCCCTTGGTATTTATTTTCTGGTACCATTGTGTCTAAAAAAGATGTATCACCAGGAGCCAATTGTTGGTTGGCTTAATTGTCAGTTAATAGTACTGAAAGTGAAAATATTACTAGAAATAAAAGCTAAATTCCAGTTTTTTTAAATACACTTTTCAGCTAGTTTTGTGAGTTAAAATTCATTCATTTTTGTCCTAATATACACTCATTGGCATGCCATAGACCATTTTGGTTTTGTCTTGTAGGTCTGAACCTCCTGGAGGGGCAGTCTCGGGCCATCACCTGGGAGCAGTTTCAGATCGTTGACAACGATGACATAGGTGCTGTGCAACTGGTCACCGTGGATGGCCTGCAGCATGGACGGCTCACAGTAAGAGGTGCACCACCAGCCTTTGAACCCTAGAAAGGAGGAACCCAAGAACTTGCTCCCAAAGCAAATCATATTTAACAGGATATACATAGCATCTCTTGGGTCCTATTTTTAAATAGATTGTCATTCCAAAAATCTAGAGGTTTTGGAATCATTGGCATTTAGATTAGGATGCTCAGATGAATGGATGACCATTTATGAGTAATGCCTTATGGTTGGCTCATTAATTGATTATCTTATTCCAGTTAGAAAGTAAAATATTTTTTTCTCATTTCTTTGCTTCAGAGAAATGTATTGGAAAACAAAAAATATGCTTCTTAAAATACATTGATAATCATTATGTTATTATGATATTAGTAAAGTTGCCATAGTTTAAAAGAAATCAATTTATAATTAAAGTTATAAAAATGGTGGTTAAGGTTAATGGGCCTAATAAAAATCATAACCATAATTTATGATGTAATGAGCTCAGGGGATTTACTTTGATTATACTCTTAGTTTGTCAAATTATAAAGCAGAAAGAGAGCTCTTATTTTTCATCATTTGTGATAAGGGAATTCTGAAATAAAAAATAAAGTGATAAATTCTCTTGTCTAATCCCAGGACAGTATGTGTTCAGCTGATGCCTGGGTCTGTCAGTTAGGGTGGATGTTCAGCTGCATGTAAGGGAAACTCAATTATAGAGGCTTAAAACTTCATTATTTCCTCACATGACAAGTTGTCCAGATGTAGGAATTCCATATCTATGATGCCAAAATCTCTTTTCTGCTCTGTCAGCAATCACAAGATGGCGCCTACATGTTGAGGCTTTGGGTCTGCATTTAAGGAAGGAAAAAAGAGTGAAAAAAGTTATGCCATCTAAGTTTGCTTTCTTTAACAACTTGTCCCAGGAGTCTGATACAGTGCCATTCACTTATATCTCCTGCCAACTCACATGCTCCCCATAAGTGTGTGACAGAGCCTGGGGACATGAATTTTAAAAAACGGTCACATGCCATTCCAAACAGAACTAGGTTTCTGGTACTGAGGAAGAAGCAGAAAGTGGCTAATGGGCAAGAAGCTTGTCGTGTCCATTATTCTATTGTTTAATCATTATTTCAGTGAGATCTTTCTATATGGTGTATGGAGAGTAATGAGGCAGTTGCCATTAAGTATTATAATAGTTTAGACAAAAGTGAAGCAATGTTTATTAATATTGTGAAATGAAGTGTAGAGCAGTAATCTATAAGCTGATGTTCTGGGCTTGGAGGAAATAGAAAATAGTACTGATATTTATTAAACATTTTTTTGTGACAGATATGGTACAAAATATTCTACATGCTTTATCTTATACAACTTTATAAAGTGAGGTACTATCATTATTCCCACTTTACATATGGGGAGCCTGAGACTTAGAGAAGTTAACTTGTCTAATGTCATCTACCTAGAAAGCAGTGGAACTGGGATTTTAACCTAGGCCATTTGATACCAGAGCTGTAGCTGCTGGCCAATAAGACAACGATTCTCAAATTATAGCATGCATTAGACTCTCTCAGAGGGCTTGATAAATACATAGTGCTGGGCTCCACATCCAGAATTTCTGATTTAGTAGGTATAGGGTAGGGCCTGAGAACTTGCATTTCTAACTTCCCAGATGGGGCTGATGCTGCTGGTTTGAGATCACATCTCTAAGAAGTGTTGCCATGTGGGATGATAACAATGAGTTAAAGAACAATTACATAACATTTATTGTAAAATTACTATTGTTTAAGTTCTCTCATCCAAACTAGGGAATATGAGGCAGTTATTATTCTTGTTTTATAGAAATGAGTCTCAAATAAATCAAATACCTTGCCCAATCTATACAGCTAACAAGTGTTATAGCCAATGTCCAAAAGCAGTTTTGCAAAGGCTCAGAGCCCACTAAACAATCCGTGGTTTTTCCAAAAGAGGAAAGTATCAGCTGTACCACTTTCTTCCATGCCCTCTTGCCTAGTGCTGCTTTCACTGCAAGGGCTGCCTCTGTATTGCCCTGCTACCTCCTTCAGTCAGTGCCGCCTCTGCTCTCTCCTTCAGGGGGGAAAGGATTTCTCTTCACTGTGGCTGACCTGCAGGCTGGAGTTGTTCGCTATCATCACGATGACAGTGACTCCACCAAAGACTTCGTGGTCTTCAGGATCTTCGATGGTCAGCACAGCATCCGTCATAAGTTTCCCATTAACATTTTGCCCAAAGATGACAGTCCCCCGTTCCTCATAAATAATGTTGTTATTGAACTGGAGGAGGGACAGACCATACTAATCCAGGGTTCCATGCTGAGAGCTTCCGACATGGACTCCAGTGATGACTACATCTTCTTTAATATCACTAAACCTCCTCAGGCTGGAGAGATCATGAAGCAGCCAGGGCCAGGACTCATAGGTAAGGTCTGGCAGTTAAGATAATTTGTGTCAAAATTTGTGTGAAGGTGGACATCTGTTTATGAGAGGGGATACTATTATTCCCATTTTATAGATGGGATCCTGAGACTTAGAGAATTTAAATTGATCTGTGCAAGGATGGGCATCTAGAAAGTTCTAGAACTGGGCCTAAAAGGAGTCATTACATTTGAAAAAATTAAGTCCGCCAAGCATGGTGATAGAACAAATAAGTTGGAAGGGAGGTATTTGGTCTATTCTAGATGATTGATAAAGTAATTGCATAAATGGCATTTCATATTTTGTTAGAATAATTTCATAACTACTTATGGTAGTCAGAAGCAACAAAATAGGGATCAATTAGTGTTTCTTAAGACAAAGTTTCTTAAAAATATTTTGTAATGCAAATTCCTCTACATATTTTAAGACAGTTACTAGCAACTTTATTTATTTTTTTTTTGCTTTATAATTTATAATCTTTGATAAAAGCTTTTAATGAAGGTTTGTTGGACACATACAACACACTAGGCAGAGAAGATTTGGAAATAAGTCCACTATGTTTGTATCCAAACACTTGCAGATGGTTACAAACATGTTTGGTGTTTTGTGGACCCAACAGGCTATCCTGTCCCTGGCTTCCTTCAGAGGGATCTATTCAGTGGCATCATTTACTATCGTCACTTCGGTGGAGAAATCTTTGAAGATTCTTTCACATTTGTCCTTTGGGACAGTCATGAGCCTCCAAACCTCTCAGTACCACAGGTAAGAGGCCCTCTCTGAACACTTTCCCAAAGTCTTGTCTGCAGATAGGAGTTCTGGGAGAAGTTATAGAACTAAGTGAAAATGGGTTTTATGGTTCAGAGATTGAGAAGCAATGCAGTGAGCAAAATTAGGTCAGTTTGTTTACAACATCACTTCTCTACCAAATACTTTCCTAACAAGTTCTATAAATTTCTGAGTATGGTGTTTCCCAGATTTTTAACCATGGGATCTTTTAATACAGAGCAGCTCACAAAATTTGCTGTTCTCATAGCACTCAAGAAAATACTGACACTATAGTGGTAAAAGTATAGGCTCTGGAGTTAGGCTGCCTATGGTTCTCTTCTGTCCTTGACACAACGAACTGATTGATCTGTGCCTCAGTTTGCCCATCTGTAAAATAGGGAATAGTACAACTCCCTTATGTATGGAATGATTGTGAGAATAAGTGAGATAATACATATAAGTACTGAGAACTTCCTGGCACATGGTAAGTACTCAATAAATAAATTAGTTATTACTTATTGTTGCTTTTGAAGAACTAAGAGTTTACTACCATTTAAAGATATTATTTAAACATATAGGATACAGAAATAATTTGAAAGAAGCATTCTCATATAAAAATTACAGAAAATTGAATTAGTATAGGGTCTGGACAATTATAAAAGTGTAGACTCTTTACAAGGAGAGAGTGGTTAGTGGTAGGAGTGAAAAAGGAGAGCTGAAAATAAGCAATCATCTACTATATAGTTACTTTTGCTAGGCATTTTACACCGATTACCTTGGGAGGTAGAATGTATAAGGATCTAAGCAAATCTTGAACTGGCTCTAGAATAACTACTTACAGCCTGTGTCCCTATTGGTTATATACTATCTTCTCACCCCACAGTCAATCACATTAGCCAATGCATAGTTGACTGAGCTATTCATCTGTTTGCTAAGATAAAGGTTTAAAAGGGGTGATCAGAAGAATGATGTCAGAGAGCCCAGCAACGGAAGGAAGTAGGTGGTCCCTGTTAAGAGGAATTGGAGAATGAGTAAGGAAATCTTAATTCAACTGCTTATTGAATAACAAATCAACTCCTTTACAAATAAGAGCTCCTTCTTCCTATTAATGTATTATACACCATTTATACATTACATTTTTGTTTGAGACCTTAGTTGATTGAGTAATCCTAAATGACAACTAAGATTACATTTTTGTTTGAGACCTTAGTTGATTGAGTAGTCCTAAATGACAACTATTGATAGAATTTATTTCTAAATCATCTGTTGTATCTATTTAAGCTGAGCTTTGCTTCTGATTAGAATACCATATCATTTTTAGCAGACTATATACCTTTCCAAGAATAGAGAACTTGAGATTTCTTTTCCTCTTCTTCTATTATGTATTTTTATATCTTGTTTTCTTATATATATTTATACCATATTTAAATTCAAAAGTAGATGATAGATCCCTCTATAATGAAGACTACAGTAATGAAAACTTTATCAAGACAAAATTAATTCTAAATCTTGGCAAATGAGTCAGACTAAGTACTATAGCTCCAGTTACAAGATTATTTCTTCTAGTGGGTGGGTTTCTACAGAAGGAGTCATAATCACATTTTTCTCTGCTTTCAATGTATTAATCTATGTTGAGAAGGAGAGAGGCAAGGAGCAGGGATAGAGTGAATACAAATCTATAAATTTGCTCTGTATTTATGTGTGGCCCTTTGTTTGTCTCCTAAATGTTCTACAGCTCAGCCTTGTGTACTCACCTCTCTACCTGACATCTCTACATGTATATCTCACCAGCATTTTCAAATCTCCACGTCCACAGGCATTTAGTATATAATTCCCCCCAAACTTGTACAAAACAACTGTAACTAGACTCTCTGAAGTCATCCCTAAACCCTTCTCTCTCTAGTATTTGAATAACCGAGTAATCAGAAAGTCTTACTAAATCTAACAGGTGAATTTCTCTCATCTGTCTGTACTTCCCTTATTGCCATTGCTTTATTTTCAACCTTCATCTTTTTGGAGCTAGAATATGCTCAAAATCCTTGACACAGTCTCTTGAAGAGTAGAAGAAATCAGTGACAACTTTGTAGTTAAGGACAATTAAAAATCCATTAATACAATAGCATTATGTGCAATAGAATTCATCTAGCATCCATTTCCTCCGTTTTCCCTCTTCTGATCCGCGGCACTGTCAGCTTGTTTCCTCTCCAGACTGTGGACCTGCTCTCAGTGATGACATCACCAGTTCTAGTAAGCTCCCTCTGATGCCTTCATTCCACAGTCTCCCTGGCTGAATCAGCTGGTCCAAATATGCATATATGATCCAATATCAGATCACTATAATGTGAGGCCATTATTTGTTTTATTGGGTCAACTCTGAACTCGTTGATGGCAGGAATCTTGAATTACTCATCTCTGTATTTCAGACCTTGGTACCTGACTCAGAGTAGAACCTCAAAAACTGTTGGTCCCAAAATGAGCTCTGGTTCTTTCAGCTTTTATTGAAACTAGGAAGAAATAAGAAAACTGAAATATTTTATAAGAATTGGGGAGGAAGTGAGATGAGGAGTTAGTGAGTTTAAAGCTTTTTGTCTTAAGAGTTTCCAGGAATGAGTGTGTGCATAACAACAGAACAAGTATTTTATGTGTGTGTGCTGGTAGGAAATTTTGTGTTGTAAAATTCTGATACCTTCATTTTAGTCCAGCTTTTAAGGGACTAAAATGATTGTCTAGTCTATTTGATTACTGCATCTTAAATTTGGGCAAGTACCGAGTCATGCTCTACAAAAAAAATATTTAAAATATTCAAAATGAATTTGTAACTTTTAGCTGTTCAACTAAAAGTCCAAATAAGTGTAGCTCAGTGGATTGAGCACAGGTCTGCGAACCAGAGGATTGCGGTTCAATTCCCAGTCAGGGCACATGCCTGGGTTGCAAGCCAGTTTCCTGCAGGCCAGTTCCCAGCAGGGAATGCACTAGAGGCAACCATACATTGATGTTTCTCTCCCTCTCTCATTCCCCTCTAAAGATAAATAAATAAATATTAAAAAAAAAGTCCAAATAAGACAGTTATGTAATGGGGGCTTTTGTAATCAAAGATTCAACATTCACCAAAGATTAAATAAGATTAGACATAGGATCCTTCAGGCCATACTGTTAAAACACTTTCTTTGAGAAAGGCAGAAACCAAGCATCTCCTTAGATGAGAAGCAACTTATCTAAAGCAGGAAGAAATTTGCATTAACAGGGATGCTACTCACCTCCTCTCCTCCTCCCTAACTGGATACTACTACCAAGAGATTTACCTGCACATCGACAAGGTGTCTACACATCAGCAAGAAACCCTTCCCTTTTTCTCTCTTGGTTGTCATGACTACCATCAAAGAAAGCCTGTCCCACTCAATTTACTTTAAAAGAAATATTTTCTTTTTTATCCTTCTCAGTAGAGGGCTTTATAGAGCTTAAGCCTAGGAGATCTTAAACCAGAGAGGGTAACATTGGAAGTAAAATGGAAAATGCTAAATAAGGATAGGAGAGAGAAGCAGAAAGAGGACTAAGAAATGTAGGAAGAACAAAAGCAGATGCCCCAAATGCCTGTGGGTGAAGTGGAAGGGAGCAATGAACCATGACCAGAGAGAACAGGCACCCGGAGTGTGGGCTTCTATAGGTCAGGCCAGTATGTGGGTTCGCAAAACAAGCATTGGAAGTAGTTCTTGGAAGCAAGAGATAGCTCTGGATAATCTCAAAGGAAGCTGTAAGAATCAGGCAGGAATCAAAGGTCAGGGCAAAGAAAAGACCAAGAACCCAGGTCTTCAAATCAGATATCAGCCTGCCGAATATCATATTATGAACACTGAGGGTCAAGGTTAGGCTTTGTCATTTTATATACTGATTTGTCACTTCATATTCTGATTTCCTACAAATCTGCCTGTGGGTGACCCCCAGCAAGCAAAAGCCCAGCAATTGGTGTGGGCACTAGTTTTCCACTGACTGGGAGTGAGTATTTAATAATGTCTTTGTTACAACCAAATGTCAGTAAACTAAGAGCAGTTTATTTCTCTATGGAGTCTGTTACAGTAGGATGTTTCTCATTGACATACACACACAGTAATTGTTTAAACATGCATAAATATGTAAAGAACCATCAACTTAGGGGATCATAAAGCATGTTGAAAAATGTACCCACCAAGAATTACTGCAGGGCTATAAAAAAGCATGCTTGCTCATTCTTTTTTTACACAAAGAACACATTGGAGAATAAATTAGCATGGAAAATGGTCTCTTTGAAGGCACAATGACTATTGTTTCCTTATTAAATCCAGTTTTTCAATTAAGTAGAGCTTCACTGATCCACACTGTGGCTAGGAGTTCCCACAGAGAATTTCTGAACTTTGTAGATTAGCAAAAAACTATAATTGGAAAAAAACTGTGACACAGACTCCAGGAGACTAGAGCAATGAAATGCCATTGTGTTCCTTTATTTTGATAACTGGCTTTAGTTTTTAATTATTGAAATGCTCTGTAATGGAGCAGTTGATATGGGGTAGGCTTTCGTAAGAGTACTGAAGAAGGGAGACAGGGCATTAATTGATTGAACACTTACTACCCATTACTCACTGTGCTACTAACTATCTCACTGGATCCTGAAATCACCATAGTAGCCATTGTTATGCCCAATGTTCAGAGAGAAAAACCGATCCCCCACCGATTTGCCTTGTGGAGCACAGCTCGGAGGGGGTTGAGCTAATATTTCAGTATTGTCTATATCATAGTAAAAGCTTCACCATGCTTCAGTTTTTTGCTTTGTATGTCAGTTTAAAAAGGAATTCACTTCATTTTCAAATTGGGTATTGTGAACATCATTATTATAGTAGACAAAATTGGCATTGCTGATCTGTGCTTCAATAACAATATTAAATTCATAAAAATAAACTAAATTAAAAAATAAATTTATTAAATCAAAATAAATTGAAATGAGAACAATACCCACACTAAGAAGCAAATGTACTATTGTAGGAAAGAATAAGTAATTGCTTTTTCATAGCCCAATGTGGATTATTGTGAGAAAATGCGATGATTAAATCTGTTTGGCAAAAAAACCTCCTTGCTGTCTAGCAGGATCCAGACCTGTGGGGGGGGGGCTTGAAAGAATTCTTAAAATCACCAACAGGGCATGTTGACCCAATCAGTTATCAAATACTGATGAAGTACTTTCTATCTACAAAATAGTGTGTGCCAGAAGTTGAAGAGCTATAGAGCCGAACAGAGTATTTACTGAGCACCTACTGTGTGTGAGACTTTTTTATCTACATAGTGCTATTGTGTGATCCTCGTAACAAGTCTGTGGGCCTGTTGGCATTATGCTTGACTTACATGAAATAAAATTGACATTTAACAAATTTAAGTGACATATTCAAAATCAATAGCTGCCAAGTGGTACACTTAGGCCTTTAACAACCTGCTCATCGCCAAGTTCCGTGTGGTTTGTACTATACTATGATCCCCTCTTATGGAAATTTCAGTCTAGGAGAGACTGACCTGACCTGTGAAGTACTAGATAATAATACAAGACAATAAAATAATAATGTTTGTTAAGGGATAAGCAAAATCCAGGATCAATTAATTCCAACTGAGAAATTGGAGAAAGTTTTAAGAGCCTTCGAGGGCATGAAAAAACTCAGGTTGCTGGAGAAAGCCGGAGAAAAGAATGCCAGACTGAAGAAACAACACGAGTCAAAGCAGAGAGGCATGCTTAAAGACCAGGGGCCAGTCCTTCATGTGCAACTACAGTGCTGAATTAATGTTGAACGGAGTGAAAGATAAAGTTGAAAAATAGTGATGTAAACTGCGGAGGGTTATATATGTATATTTTCACAATAACTATGTAAAAAAATAAATTTGAAAACCCCATAATATTCATGAAAATATCACTACAAAAATCAAAACCAAAACCAAAACCAAACTATAGAGGGTCTTAGGTGCCATGCTAAGGAGTTTGAATAATTCTGTCACTCCTGGGCAATTTAGATTTTTGCAGAGGCAAATAACCTGATTTGATTTGTATTTTTTAAAAAGATAACACTAGAGGTATGGAACTCTGTATTGGCTATTGAAGTTGGGGCTAATGGGAAGCTGTTGTAATAATGTAAGGAGGAAATTATGAGAGCCCGGTCTGGGCCAGTACCAGCAGGAATGACAGCCAGGGTGGGAGCGGCTTGTGGGATTTTATGAGGGGAAACTCTGGGAGGGGTGGTATACATACGTGGGTAGAGAAGGGGGACCCAAAATTTATGTCGAGGTTTCTAGAATCAATGACTGAGTAGGGGGAGGTTAAAAAAGCACAGTTTGTTGGTGGAAAGGAGTTGTAGAAATAGCCATTCCATAACACTCATGACTACACTAACTATAACTGTGGTAATTACATTGTTAAAATACAATATAAATGGGTGGAGAATGTTCCATTTTTTCTGGCTTGCTTTCTTCATAGTTCCTGAATCATTTCAATGGAGGTATATGATTTATGACATTTTTTGAAAATTGTCAAAAATCACTGTGATAAGGTGATGGTGGGTGTTTGGTGTCTGTCTGGTACTTCAAATTAATGGCACAGGTCATTTCTTTCCAGGTCGTGACCATTCATATCACTCCAGTGGATGACCAGCTTCCCAAAGAAGCTCCTGGAGTTTCGCGGCATTTGATTGTCAAGGAAACTGAGGTGGCCTACATCACAAAGAAACATCTACATTTTATAGATGTGGAATCGTATGACCGAGAGCTGCTCTATACAGTAACAACTCCTCCTTTTTTCCCTTTCAGTCACAGGTATCTCTATGAAAAGCCATTACCTTGGCTGTTAGTTGAGATGTATGTTCTAGCCTGCTGGGGTGTCCAACCCATGGCCCACAGGCCGCATGAAGCCCACCATGGCTATGAATGTGGCCCAGCACAAAATTGTACATTTACTTAAAATCTTTTTTTTAGCTCGTCAGTTTTCATTAGTGTTTGTGCATTTAATGTGTGGCCCAAGACAACTCTTCTTCCAGTGTGGCCCAGGGATGCCAAAAGTTTGGACACCCCTGGTAGAGAGTCAAAAGTGGCAATATATAGCACTGTGATTCAATTGCTTTGTTGGTTAGATGTGAATTTACATTCTATTTACCATTTACTCTAATCTCAATCATATACCTCCCTTCAAAAGTTGTATTAATTAGTAAGTTACCTGTGTCTTGTAGTGTCTTCAGCTTAGTTGGTCTAAAACAGTCTTTAATCTCCTCTCCTAAAGAGAACGATTCTTTTTTTTTTTTTTTTCAGTAAAATGTATTGAGTCTTTATAACATAATTTTTAGGTATCATGGGCCACTAAATGGCCATATTCTATGATCCCAATCCAGGAAAGTGGCATGAATATAATTTAGGCTGGTGACATGCACACAATGGCAAGGAAACATGTTAGGATGAGGATGATGAATCTCCTTCATGATGTCAAAGAGGAAAATGTTGTGCAATACTCTGCAGTAATGATAAAAATGGCATTAATGAAAGTGGGCTTATGGCTAGAATCCCCAACATGTAAAGACAGAATATGTGAACTTAATATTTTATTTCTTCTCATTATATGCTCTTTTAGTTTTAAAAAGTTTGATTGTAGGCTATTTGACTTAATTTTTGTTACTTGGAAAATGAGCTGGTGTGTTCAATATTTCTCTTTAGACACTTGGAAGCTGGGAAATTATTCATGGTGGATAGCATACCAAAGCTAGCCAAAAATCCCGCAGCCCCAGGCTTGAAGTCATTCACTCAGGTAGGATGCGATGCTAATGTGTTTAAAAACATGATGGAAGTGTCCTCTGAGAAATCCCAGTGCTCCTATGATTGCACTTGAGAATGATGGTCTTTGACATCTGTTACAGTGCTTGATATCTTTATTCCTTCTGCTTGTACCTTTACATTAAGCGTGCAACATCTATTTGACAGAGCTTGATCAAGTTAGATATGATTCCAAAATCTTGTAATTTGACACAGGCTTTTGCATTGTTTTGCCAGCAGGGACCTGGCACATATGTTTTTATTCCACCAAATTCAGTGTATCTGATATCCTATCATGTCAGTGTGCTAGAGCTGCTCATACCAGAGTACCACAAACTGGGTGGCTTTAAACAACTGAGATGCCTTGTCTCACATTTTGCACATTTCACACAGTGTGAAACCAGGGTGGTGATAGGGCCTTGCTCTTTCTGAATGTATGTAGAAGAGTCCCTCCTTTCCTCTTCCTAGCTTCTGGTGGTCTGATGTCAATCTTTGACGTTCCTTGGCTTGCAGACATATGGCTCCAACCTCTGCCTGTCATCTGAGGCCAACTTTTTCCTGTTTGTCTCTTTTCTATTATAAGTCTACCAGTTATTAAAGGCTCATCCTTCCCCACTATGATCTCACCTTAACTAATTATATTTGCAACAACCCTGTTTCCAAATAAAGTCACATTCTGAGGTACCAGGGGTTAGGTCTTCAACATACCTTTTGGGAGACACAGTTCAACCCAAAACATCTACTACTTTCCAAAAATACTGTATCAGTCTTCTCCCTATGCCTGCAGACCCTACTCTGAAGACAGCAGAGGGCTCACAATCATGGCAATGAGTGTGCTTAGGCAGCAGCTGATCTGTAGTTTGGGGCTAATTATGCCTAATCTCACTGTAGTTACATGTTGTAAATGGGTATGTCAGCCCAGTGTGGTGGGTACTATTATTTTATGATTTCATTATTTTATAGATAAAGAAAAATAGGTCTAGCAGATGTAAGCAGCTAGACTGATGTCACAGAGCTTCTTATACTAGTAGAGCTTACACATGAGCTCTACTTATGGGGAAGCTGAGTTAAAATTCAAGTCTCCTGCTTTTTACAGAGTTGGCTGGCTTCAAGTACTTGATATATTTACTTAATTTCTTTGTCCTTTTCCCTCCCAATTTTTAGAAAATGTGCTTTATAAAGTAGACCTTTTCAGAATCCTGATTGATGGGGGTTCATTTATACTATTCCATGTTATTATTATGACAGTTCCCTTAGACCCATATCTCTGAAAGCCTCTAATCCTTGCAAATTGGCACCCATGTGTCCATCTCGATTTGCCTTACAGGATGCTGTGAACTACATGAAAGTGGCCTACATGCCACCTCTGCATGATATAGGTCCCCATCCACAACATGTCCAGTTCACACTTTCCATCAGTAACCAACATGGTGGCACTTTGCACGGGATCTGCTTTAACATCACAGTTCTCCCAGTGGACAACCAGGTTCCTGAGGTATGTGTGATGTTTGATGTAAAGGATGAAAAGGAGGAATGGCCTAAGGAAAGCAAGAAAAGACTTTAAGACTTACTGGAAATGCTAACTTTTCTTTAGGCAATTTTAAAGAACTTTTTTATTTTCTAGCCACAGTGTAGGAAAAAGCATGGGCAGGGGGCAGTTCTTCACCTCCCATGGGACTTTCTGTCTAAAGGTGAGATTTTTTCCAGTTGCTGAATTTGGCATTATTTTCAAAGCTTTATCAAAATCTCTTTCATTTCCTCTCTTTTCTTCTGAGTTTCACATGTTGATCAGGGGAAGGGGATTAAATTATAGGTCTCTTAGCAACCTGAAGGGCTTATTTGCTCTCACTGCAGGCCAGCTATGCTACTCTGTAATCTAAAGACGCTTTTAACTTTCCAAAATGAATTAAGATGGGCCCTTCCATTTTATGCAGTCCACTCCCCAGTGTTTGTGAAGCTGGAAAGCACTGGGGTCTCTCATTAAATCTGAACTACAAAGGCGATGCCTCCTAGACAGTCTTATCGGAGAGGTGGGGTTCATACTGAGAGTTTGTTCCGTACTTTGCCTCCTCCCCAACAGAGTACTAGACTTAATTGGTGTGGCTTTTTTTTAACCTTTTTATTGAATTTATTAAGAGGACATTGGTAAGAAAATTTTATAGGTTTCAGGTGTACAATTCTATAATAAAACATATGTATATTGTTTTATGTGTTCGCCACCCCAAGTCAAGTTTCCTTCTATCACCATACATCCCTGCTTTACCCTCTGTTAGTTCACTCCACCCCCTCTCCCTCTGGGGATCACCATGCTGTCAATGAGTTTTGTTGTTGTTTTTGCTTAATCCCTTCGCCTTTTTCAACTAGCATACAACCTCCCTCCCCTTTGACAGCTGTCAGCCTGCTCTCTATCTCTGAGTCTGTTTCTATTTTTTATCAGTTTATTTTGTTCATTAGATTCCATGTATGAGTGAAATCATATGGTACTTGTCTTCTTTTGACTGGCTTATTTCACTTAGCAGAATGTCCTCCAGGTCCACCCATGCTGTCTCAAAGGGTAAGATTTCCTTCTTTTTTATGGTCACATAGTATTCAATTGTGTGAATGTACCATAGCTTTTTTATTCACTTACCAACTCATGGACATTTGGGCTGCTTCAAAATCTTGGCTATTGTAAATACTACTGCAATGAACATGGGAATGCGTGTGTTCTTTTCAATTATTGTGGCTGTTCCTGGGCTCATTTTTCCCTTCTAAGAAGCAGAAAGGCAAATTAGGTTTACCTATCCATTAGGGACCTGAGGAGACAAGAGCCTACAAATGTCTGATCCCCAAGGAAATAGGTCACCTTCACAGGTAGCTGATGCGGACACCAGCCCCACAGTGTCCAAGTCATTATGGATGAAATGAAGTGTTCATATGGAGTACTGAGTTCTGTGGAGGAAAAGGGACAGCATGATTTTTTCTCTCAAGGGGAGCAAAAGCCTTGGACCTTGCCGTGACTGGCCTTTATTTGCTTTCTCCACACATTACCTTACTGTCCTCATTTACTATGCACAGGTTTGCTTTAGGGGGTTACCTTTTACAGACAACAGGGGAACCAAAGCCACTAATCACATCACAGAAGAGGGATATTTGCAAATGAAAGGCAAAAGTAGTTGAACTGGTTAAACATCCTTGGAAGGTTTAGCATGGATTGTAGGAAGTTATTTTGCAGTAAATGTTTGCCACAAATCCAGGCGAGGGAGTTTTTAGCAAAAAGCAAGACTCAAAGTGGCCTAGGCATATTGCAGGCCTGATTCCCACAAGGGAGAACCCATCCATGGGCATGGGTCCTGTGCATCTCCCAGTGGGAGCTGGCCCGCAGAATGGTCTCCTACAGGTAGCTACCTGGAATATAGCCTGGAAAGTACTGCTGCTCCTTTTCTCGCTTACTCCTTGCCATCTCTATACCTGCCCAGGGTTGTGGGGCACAAAGCTCACTCTGAGGAAGCAAGGTGAACTTGGGTTGGGTAAAAAGCAATATTTTTGAATAATGAGTTGCCAATATCAGGAGGCTTCTTATCAAGTCTGGATTTTTGGCATTTATTAAAAATTTGGAAACTCTGATAACACTGAGCCCACATATCCCACAGCGACACTTGGAAAAGGCATGTTCTCCAGTCACCAAAGTCCCCACCCAACTCCACACAGCCATTTACCTCAAAGGCCTGACTATTCAGTGCTGTGAGCTTGCAATCGCTGGTAGAAGAAGCACCAAGGAACTCACACAAAATAATCTCAACTCTATTCTTCAACTCCCTGTCAGACACCAGATGACATGACTGTGGAGGAAATAGTTTAGAAAGCCAGCTAATTTGATTAGATTTTATTCACACCACTTTTTTCTGTGTAGGAGATAGAGCCCTGAAATAGAGACCCGGCATCTAAAAAAGCAAAAGCTTTTTCTTGAACAATCAGGGAGAAATACCCTTTGATGCAAAGCAGTCCGAGTCTTTTCTTAGAGAAAGATGGTCTGTGGGGAAAACCAAAAAGGATGCAGAATGGTGGAATACTTATGAGGACTTGGTGCTCAAGTGGCACAGCAGCTTGAGACACAGTTGTTTTGCTTCTGTCTTTTTTGTACAGTCTCTGGAACAAATGAAATATTATCTGAGAGACCTGAGAATAGTAGAAGTAAAATTAAATAAGTAGTATCAATGAAACCAGTCATAGGAGTGATTTCTGATTTCAAATGCCCACAGATGGCCGCCCCAGGACCCTGACACTGTGCTACCCTGAATGCTGAAAATTTAAGCACTTGGTTCTGGCAGGGACTAAAAAGTTCATGATGATGAGTAGGGGGCAAATGAGCCTTATGCCTTTATTTTTTGAAAGTTGCTCTAAATATGTATGTATTATATTTAAAAATCATCTACTAAAACAAACTGTATTCCTTGGGATAGTCATTGGTGCAACTGAGGAAAAAATGAGGATGCAGGCATGGACCTTGTTTCAAAGATAACACTCCTTTCTCAGTAAGAACTCCCTTTATTCTTCCTCCTAAAACAGTGAAAATATAGGCTTGGCAAAATTAAAGTAAGGCATCAGAGGAGGGATGGGGTTACAGTGGTTGTAGGAAGAGAAAGTTCTTGCTTTTATGTTTTCCTTTGCTGGTGGAAATAGTTTATTAAAGACTAGAGGGCAGGTGTCTCAGGGTTGTCACTTTTATAATCTCTAGGATCCTTGGGCTGTCCTTGGGACATGTACGGATGCCCCTGGCAGCTGCGCACTGCTGGGCTGGAGGGTAGAGCAGGGGTCCGAGTGAGCTGCAGCTTCTTCCTGACTTTTCCATTCCCTTCCCTCGCCCGTTCCTTATCTCATCCTCTTTTCAACCCTTCCCTTGGGAACATCCTCCTTTCTGGGAGCAGCAGCTGCTCTGAGGAGAGTGGCTGCTTCCTTGGAGAATGCTGTGTCCTCACATTGGCAGGGCACCCAACCTCAGTCATCTCCTAGGAGCCCTCAGAGCCCATGACTTGGTGTCCCCACTGTGTCTTCTTGCTTTGCTTCTGTGTGGTAATATATACAGAATAGTACTACATTCTGTAAGATGCTACATTTAAAAAAGTTTTTCTTTTTTTAAAATATATTTTATTGGTTGTGCTATTATAGGTGTCCCATTCCCCCCTTCATTCCCCTCCACCCTGCACACCCTCTCCTACCCACATTCCCCCCTTTAGTTCATGTCCCTGTGTCATAAGTTCTTTAGCTTCTACATTTCCTATACTATTCTTACCTTCTCCCTATTTTCTATCTACTGTCTATGCTACTTATTCTCTGTACCTTTTCCCCCTCTCTCCTCCTTTCACTGCCCTGTTGTTAACCCTCCACATAATTCCATTTCTGTGGTTTTGTTCCTGCTCTAGTTGTTTGCTTAGTTTGTTTTTGTTTCTGTTTTAGGTGTGGTTGTTACCAATTGTGAGTTTGCTGTCATTTTACTGTACATATTTTTTACCTTCTCTTTCTTAGATAAGTCTCTTTAAAATTTCATATAATAAGGGCTTGGTGATGATGAACTCCTTGAACTTGACCTTATCTGAGACGGGCTTTATCTGCCCTTCCATTCTAAATGAAAGCTTTGCTGGTTATGGCAATCTTGGATGTAGGTCCTTGCCTTTCATGACTTGGAATACTTCTTTCCAGCCCCTTCTTGCCTGTAAGGTCTCTTTTGAGAAATCAGCTGACAGTCTGATGGGAATTCCTTTGTAGGTGACTGCCTTCTTGTCTCTTGCTGCTTCTAGGATTCTCTCCTTATCTTTAATCTTGAGTAATGATGTGCCTTGGTGTGTGCTTCCTTGGGTCCAAATTCTTTGGGACTCTCTGAGCTTCCTGGACTTCCTGGAAGTCTATTTCCTTTGCCAGATTGGGGAAGTTCTCCTTTATTACTTATTCAAATAAGTTTCCACTTGTTGCTCTTTCTCTTCCCATTCTGGCACCCGTATAATTTGGATGTTGGAACATTTAAAAATGTCCTGGAGGTTCCTAAGCTTCTCCTAATTTTTTTTTGAATTCTTGCTTCTTCCTTCTTTTTTGTTTGGTTGTTTCTTTCTTCCTTCTGGTCCACTTGATTGATTTTAGTTCCAGTTTCCTTCCCATCACTATTGGTTCCCTGTACATTTTCCTTTATTTCACTTAGCACAGCCTTAATTTTTCCATCTAATTTGTGACTACAATCAACCAGTTCTGTGAGCATCCTGATCATCAGTGCTTAGAACTGTGCGTCTGATAGGTTGGCTATCTCTTTGTCACTTTGTTGTATTATTTCTGGAGCTTTGATCTGTTCTTTCATTTGGGCCATTTTTTTTGTCTTGACATGTCTGTTAGATAGGGAAGGGTGGAGCCTTAGGTGTTCACCAGGGCTGGGCATCCCAGTGGCTGGGTTGTAACACAGTATGTGAAGGAGGGGTCCAAGAGGGAACAATGGCACTTGCTCTGCTCTCTGCTGGATTTCAGTCACTTTCCCTGCTTCTCCCAAGCAAACTGGGCCCTTCTAGTGCTGATTCCCGGGTGGGTGGGTTTGTGTACATTCTAGGACCCTGTGGGTCTCTCCAATGAACTCTCCTGCGAGGCTGGGAGTCTCTCCTGGCACCTCAACCCCCACAGGTGTTTTCAATCAGTGTTTTGAGGTTTTATTTCCCAGTGCTGGTACCCTGGGTTGTGAGGTCTGTCTCCCTCCCCAGTTTCACCTGGTTTATCTGCATGCAAACGTGGAATCTCTTGGTCTGCCAGCTGCTTTGTTGTACCAAGCCTCTCCACAATCTACCTCCTCACTGGGTCCACCCACTGCTGCCTGCATGCCCAGGGTCTGCCAGCCATCACTTTGCCACAAGACCTCTCCACCCGGCCACCCGACTCCACCCTTCCTACTGGTCTGAATGAATGTTTCTTCTTTAACTCCTTGGTTATTGGGCTTCCGCAGACTTCAGTTTTTCTGTCAGTACTGGTTGTTTTTTTGTTTCTAAATTTTTGTTGTTCTTATTTTGGTTGTGCAAGGAGACATAGTGTGTCTACCTGTGCCTCCGTCTTGGCCAGAAGTCCCCTTAGTACCAGTCTTGATGTGGTTTCTTCTGTATGTCCTTGCTTATAAGGCTTCTCTCCAGCTAGTGTTCAGTTGGTTATTCAGGATAATTTTTCTACAATTTAGTTGTAATTCCAGTTTGGTCCTGGGAAATGGTTAATTTAGCTCCCACCTACTCCACTGCCATCTCAGATTGGCTTCAATACTTAAGTCTAATATTTGAGTAAATCTATTATTTCCTATGGAATGTTCAAATTCTTATCTTCAAAATCCCTGCTTCACTTCCACCTCTGAAACACTATATTTGATGGTAAAAACTCCAATTAATTTCCTAATTCTTTAAGAATTTTTATGTTGAAGAAAAGAGATGGGTTGTTTCTCTAGGGGAATTTGATGTAGGTTTTGCTCATTTTGTGTTGAGCAATGGTAAGTGTGGACATGATGATGAATGGTATTATTTTCTTTCGTTAGCACCATTGATAGTGACCAATTTCCTGCTTTTACTAAACAGGGTCTGGAATAGATGAAATGCAGATACTTTCAGGTTTATAGATCTGCTTTACTTCTTTGTATCCATCAAAGCTTAGAATCTGACGCATTTTATAAACAGTATTTTTCAGCTGAGATGTTTGGCTTTGAACTTGACCTTTTTACCACAATCTTGAAAAATTATTTAATATGTTAATATGGTACTGGGATTTTTTTTGGATTAATGAGCTCCTCTTCAGAGATACCTCATGAAACAAAGCTTTAAGTGTTTTTTTCTTTCTTTCTAGGTACTAACCAACCCTCTGAGAGTGGCTGAGGGAGGTCACTGTGTTGTCAGCACAGAGCACGTTCTGATTTCTGATGTGGATACCAAACTGGACAATATCTACCTCTCCCTGCAGAGGCTGCCTCAACGTGGAAGGGTGGAGCTGGATGGGTTTCCTCTAAACACAGGGGCCACATTTTCTTGGGGAGACCTCCATGCCTTAAAAGTTAGGTTAGAACATTTCCTGGCTTTTTTTCTTTACATTCTTTGGCTCCCATCTGGATCAACTGAAAGGCAAAGTAAGAGAAAGTTCATCCAGTTCATTCAGAGGTACTAGCATGCTGCTCAATACCTGCAAGGGTCAGTTGAAAATTAGAAATGACAAAATTTTAATTTTCCTCCAGTTTCTTGCCCTTTGGCTTGCTGTAACAACAGGAATGACTTTATGGATATTTAAATAGCAAAAATTTATTACCATGAATATTAAATATCACAAGAGAGAACAGTCCAAGTAGATAAATATAGACTGAAGTAATCTGTAAAGCTAATCTATATAATTGAACTTGGCTTTAAGAAAAGCCAATTTCAGAACCCTGGAAACCAAGGGATAGAATTCTGTTGATCAATGCCTTTATTGTAAATTTTATTATTTTCTACGGGGAAGGGGATTTGCAGGCAAACAAATAGGATAGGCTGGGTAGGTAGGATATGGAGTTGGACTTGGTTTTCTGACAATCAGGGAATAAGACAGTCAGTCTCTGCTCATTGTCCTACAGTGGTTCCCTTGCCTTGAACCCAGTTTTTCATAGTTTTGTATGAAGCTTTTCTACAAAATCTAGCAAAATTTTGTAAAAGAATGCAAGATACTCAAAAGCAATGGTCAGGTAGAACAACAGTGGTTAATTTCTCACAAATGTAAGTTATAGATAGGAATTCTACCCTTTTTGATAGAGTATAGTAGAAAGTATTAGGCATCAAATGTTTAGTTTCATACTTTAATGTTCATTAGGAAGTAGGATTTATGAACAGCAAGGTCAGTTTTATCTGATGGTTTAGTTACATTATTGATTTATAGTCTCCAGTATTTTTAACTCTTTTCATGAATCTTATCCTTGTTAAAATTTCCTTTCCTTTTCTTTTGAGATCTTAGTTCTTAGCTATATATTAGAGAGGTATTTAAGTAATTTTACTAGGGCGTGAGTGATGGATAGAAAAAGAAAAATACCAATATTAGACAGCACACATAGTTTAAGTATTCTTCTAGAGATTTGCAATTATTATTTTTTAAAATTTAATCATCACATCAGTCAAGCCTGACAAGGTAGATGGTTATACTCGTGTTGTAGTTGAAACTAAGGTACAAAGGGATGAGGTCACTTAGCATATGGCAGAGTCTGATTATAACAGAAGTTCAGTTTGACTGCACAGCCATGCCTTTGGCTGTGTACTCCTAGACCTCCTTGGCTCTTTCAGAAATCTTGGCATGGTAAGGTAGCATTAGCACATTATCTCATACCAGTCTAGTTTGCTGAAAATATCAGGGAGCAGGACCAAGTAAAGTATAGGAGACAGCTTGTGGAAAGGATGCTGGAACCAGGAAGTGGACCTTCTCCACCACTGGACTAGAAGCCCTACTCCTCTAGTCAGAGTAGGAGACTAGTTCTGAGTAAATATCTTTTAACCCCAGGAATTTTCATATGTATTTTTAATATATGTTCAATATACTATACTATTTTTAATGCAACTCCCTTTTCCATTTTAACTAACTTTGTTGAGATATAATTTACATGCCTCACATACACAATTCACTCATTTAAGTATATGATTCAGTGGCCTTCCATATATTCATAGATTTGGCCAACTCTTACCATAATCAAATTTGAAATGTTTTCATTACCCCAAAAAGAAATCCTGTGTCCTTTATCTGCCCCCTCCCAATCCTTCCTCCCCTCCCATCACTAGACCACCACTCACCTATTTTCTATCTCTATAGATTTGTCCTTCAGGGCATTTCATATAAATGGTATCATACCATGTGTAGTACTTTGTGACTGGCTTCTAATGGAACTTCCAATTTAATTGTATAAGTCTTATTTCCTTTTATGTGTATCTTAAACAGATGATTGATAAGCTAGAAATTTGGCTCAGGGCAAGAGCTATTTAGAACTCACTGAATATTAAATTACTCCTGTGGGCTGGAGAGTAAATGGAGAGTCTAGGAACAAACAATTTCTTTAAGAAACTTGACTGAGAATTAAAGGACAAGGAGCCCAAGGCTAGATTCAGGAAAATATTTTTATGTCTGAAATTTTTATAGATGGAGAGGAAGAGAGGCAGTAAATAGAAGGGGAAATGGCAGAAGAGAAGCCATACTCCTTAGACTTGAGTTGCAGAGAACAGATGAGTAGCTCCAGAGCACAGGCAGAAGGATCGGCCTTAGTGAAGGAGGAGGGAGAGTCATCCAAGTCCACATAGTGTCCCGCTCTTACCCGTCTACTGCCCAGTCTCAGAGTCCCCCTTGCACCGACCACTGTTTTCTGTGCATGACTGGAGATGCACCAATGGGTTTCCATTGTCATAGGGGCAAGCTTAAGGCCTGCTTTTGGATTTGAGGAGATATTAGGAATGCAGGTGACATGTTTTTCCAAGGTGGAGCAATTTTACATTCAGGGATACTTAAGTAGTTAAATATGATTATCCTGCATTTTTTGATACTTATTTTTTGAACTTATGACCAAACCCAAGGGTGAGCTCTTGTGTCAGGTATCTCAGGATACTCTCAGAGTGGCCTTGAGAGGTTATGACAAATTCCTCCCCACAGGTATCAGCATGATGGATCTGAGATATTTCAGGATGACATACTCTTGGAGGTCACAGATGGCACCAACTCAGGAGAATTTGTTCTTCATATTGAGGTGCGTGGAAAGTTTCCTCCCTGGTCACATAGGAATGGAGCATCTTGTTTAGAAGCCTCTTAGAGTCTCTGATAGAATTTAAACACACAGCTCCAAAGACAAGAATGCCTGCTTACATCTTTGAATGTCTCAGGACAGGAAATGGAGAGCAAAGCTGTACTGGTGAAATGGGCATACTGTGTTCTCCAATCTGTTTAAAGAGAGAGCTGCTCCGGCCTCACACCCACATGCTTAACTTAACAAACAGTTGGTTTTATGAATAAATTATTTATTATATTTTCGAACTGTAACATCCAACCTGCAGCTGGGCCAGCAAGTTAGACTACCGTCACTAGGGTTTTCTCTGTATTATGGACAAAGCTATGTCTGTATGAGCCTGGTGCCCCTTTGTGAATTGGCCTCAGGTGTGTTTGAAATGATGATTTTCCCTCTTTTGACAAATGAAGAAAAATATGCACATAAAGGTTGAGTATATGCCCAAAGGCCTGATGGGAAACCCCGAGTTTTGCTGTTGAGTGACCACCCAGGTCCATAAGCATAACTCCTAGGATTTGTCACTGACTATAGTCAGTGACAAAGGAAGGTCTTCAAAAAGGCTCATTATGCTATGGCAGAGCCTCTAATTATTCTTACTGTACTAAGTTCTATTTTTGTTTGAATTTTGTCAATCTTTGTAATATGAAATTATTATTTGCGATAATACTAAGGGGTTTATAAAATATTTTACAGTTAATAATTCATTGAGAATGATCACATTCATCTAGCATTTTAAGGAGAGACAGGGAAGGCGTAATCCCCATTTTATGGTGAAGGACATGTAGACTCAAGAAGGTTCAGTGACTTGTCCTGGGTCATATCTTGACTGTGCAGACCTGGGCTGGCACTCCACTCTGTGGTGCTTAGACCAGTGTTCCTGCCTCCTCACCATGGCCATGGCTGCAAAGTACCAGGTAGTTATAATAATCACCTTGCTAACATCTCCTGAGTACTTATCCATGCCAGTCACAATGAAGAGCTTCTTCCTTCCATTTTTCCACTTGATCCTCATGATGGCCTTGAGGTCTAGATGAAGAACAGTATGTTATTTCAGTTTCAATAAGAAATTTTATTTTTTATTGGCAGGCTTTTATATACAGAGAGAGCATTTCTGAGTCACTTTTTTTACTGAAAAGTAAATTTTAGGGCAAAAAAATGTAGCCCTGCTTGTCTTCCAGCATTTACCATCTTCTCATTAGTGACAATAAGCTGTGCATTTGGGGAAACACTGTTTATTTTTCCCTTTTTAGACAAAAGGGCACGGCCTTTGAAAGCCAATCAGAAGTGAAAACAAGTTTTAAACAATTACATGCAATTGTTTTTTTATCTAGGAGGAATGTTTTAATTCTGTTGCAATTAGACCGTATTACTCATTGGAAACTGAGGCTATTTTTTGAACTGCTGGGAAATGGTCACCATGAATGCATTGGTGAGATTCACTGATCATGCCAAGAATAGTAATAAAGATGGTTTTTAATGAATCCACTTGGAGGACTTGAACAAAGATATTGTTTCCTTATAAGCCAATAGAATATTGTATGCTTTTTAATCTTTGATTAAATAAATAAGCCTGGGCTTCTAGCACCCCCTGTCTCTATGCATTAAAGTGTCAACATAGTTTCATGTGTACTTGCTGCAGGGCGTAACAACTGTTGAAATAGCAGGGTGATGAAGGCATATATACAGGGTTACATTAATTTATTCACTTATGCCATAAATATTTAATTAGTGTCTTCTTTTTTGATTTTTACTACTTAATTTTTTAATTGTATTTTTTCTATTGCCATTTATCCGTCCTACACCCTCTTCTACCTTAACCTTCCCCCACCCCCTTTGCTAGTGTCTTTTATATGCCAAGTCCTGTGCTTAGATGCTGGGGATATGATGATGAACGAGATGAATAAAGCTTACAGGCAAAGATTGAAGATAGACATTAAACAGATTATCACTGAAATAATTAATTCATTAAAGTATGGATGTGTCCTACAAATAAACGGGGTGCTAAAAGAGAGAAAATAGTAGAAGTTCCTAAATGAGCCTGAGCTGTCAAACAAGTTTTTCCGAGGAATGCACATGTGGCCTGGGGCGGAGATGGCCACGCAGAGAGCTGGGCGCAGGGCCTACCAAGCCAAGGGCAGAGAGAGGATGCCAGGTGGTGCAAAGACCTGAGACAGGGAGTGCAGTGTTTTGGGGTGAAAATGGAGTGGCAAAGGCACCCCCTAGCATGAGATGAGGCCAGAGACATCCTAGGAGAAGCCCTGGGGAGCCATTGAAGGTTCCCACTGGGCAGTGACTTGATGAGAGCCAAAGTTTAAAAGATCCCTTTGGCTGAAGCATGGGGGAAGGAAATGTTGGGTTGAGAGTGTTCACAAGCTGGACTGGATAAACCAACTTGCTGTATACACCAAGTTGCGCTTGTGAACTCAAGAGGAGGAATGTCCTTCATTCCCATTTAGAAGACATACATTTTCAAATTTCTTCATCTTTTAAAATTCCGAGAGCCAGTGGGAGCCTATGTTGCCTTCTTTCCCTTTCACTTGGAGTTTTATTGTCATGGCAGTGACAGAAAAATGTTTTGTCAGGTTGAAACCTGGCATTGATTTGATGGGTATGGAGTTTTGATTTAACTCAAAATGTTTCAAATGCAGCTGCTACTTATTGTGGATCCAGAGAAACTTCCTGGGTGGCAGGAAATTGAGGGTGGAATAGAGCTTTGTAATTTGAAATATAAATAACTTTGATGTGGTAGATGTAAATGCATAAGACCACAAGGACCAAATTTCCTCTAGAATATGTGAGAATTTAATGAAGGAGGATAGGGGCTTTGGTGAAGGATGCTTATATTACATTTATATTTTGTCTGCCTGAAAACAAATGGGAGACTTGAGTCCCAAACCATAACTGCACTCTCCCATTCCTACCTAAAATGTCTCTCATGTGGGTCATTTCTTGCAAGATGAGTCCTATGGGGAAAGTTAAAAGATACAAACTGCTTGGCCAAATTCCAGGGCTATTGTTTCATGTGTCTGGAAGATTGAAAATGCCTGTCATTCAGACTATGAGCTATGGGTTACCAGTTGGGCAATTTGTCATTGCTTGCTTTATTTGAAAATGTGCATTTCTTTCCTCTACTTAGGTATTTCCTGTAAATGATGAGCCACCAATCCTAAAGCCTGACCTCAACCCCAATATACATTGCTCAGAGGGTGATGAGGTGGTCATCACCTCTGAATACATTTTTGCTACTGATGCGGACAGTGATGACTTGAAACTGATGTTTATAATCTCTCAGGAACCTCAGCATGGGGTGGTGAGGAAAGCTGGAGTCACAGTGGATCAGTTCTCTCAGGGAGACGTTGTCTCAGGGGCTGTGACGTACAAACACACAGGTAAATGACAGCAATGTGACTAGTTTGAGTGAGGGAATGCAAGTAACATGCCAGAGTCTTAGCCCCATGCCTCACTATAGGTTCCAATAAGCTAACGGTGTTAATGCCTGCTTCCATTGAAAAGAAGCAGCAGCAGCCTGCGTCCCATTTTTCAAGTAGGATTGCATACTTAGAAGTATTTCTGATCTCAGTAATATAATGAATTTCAGAGTAGAGAAAGAACAAGTATTATTGTTACTCTGTTCATCATGCTTGCACATAGGCCTTCTGTTCACTTGGGTTATTATCCTCACCCCTTTTTGGTCAATTGGGTTTTTTTTTTTGCCAGTTGGATGATGGGTTTATTTGACCATCACAACTTCTGCTTCTGGGTTCATAAATCATACCATCATAGCAGAAATGTCTGCACTAAACTCCCTAAGATAATTACATTATTAATTTTAAAAGTTTACTGATCACATCTAGCTTTTAAAAAGTAACTGGCCTGCCTTTGAAGTTTCTGAGAAGCAAAGATGACATCTCAGGCTTTGTGTGACTTGTCCACAGCACCTGGCACTGGTGGACACAGATTAGAGATGCAGTAAATGCTTCTTTATTAGCACCGTGCTTACATTTCTGGCATAACATTATAGTGTTACCCAGTGGCATGTGTTCCCCATGTAAAATGTTAAAATAGATAAAATGTTAATTCATCTGATATCTGCAAGGCACAGTACTTAGGCACTGTAGGCTGCAAAGGAATATAATCCAGACCTTGTTGTGAAGGACTTTTCCTTTAATTAGGCAGACAAACCCATTCACATGAAAACATAATAGTGTGATACATCTGCATCTTCTGAATTCTGGATGGGGGGCACTTCCTCAGTAATGACAGCATATACTTCCTCTAAGTACCTTTCATTGCACTGTGTTACAATCTCATGTATGCCTCTAACCTGTACATTCCATGGGGGAAGTATGATTGGATGTGTTGGCCAAGTGAGTGGTTGTGGGAATAAGAGGTATCGGAATTCAAATTATTTGCTTAATTGAAGAGATACATAGAGAGAATGTAAGCAGCGTGAGGAGGGTGAAGGGAACTCAAGGAGGGAGGATGGAGATAGCTAAGAGTTAATTTGGAAATGGGAGAAAACATTTGGAAATAATATCCTTTTATGCACTTTGGTAAACAATGCTTTATTAGGATACCAGTTGTCTCATGCCAATTAATACTGTGCATTTTAATTGCACCCAGACATCTTTTTTCTTCAAATGATATTTCCTTTTTATCTGTGTTTAGTCTTAGTTGAGGGTTATGTAGTTATTTCCTTGTCTTGGGGAGGGAGTATGGCCCAGGTACTTGATGCTTTTCAGTACCTCTTAAAAGTTTATAGCGAGGTACTTCTCTTTGGGTTCCCAGGAGTTCTCAGACCGACTGGCAGAAAGGCATCCACAGACCAATGATCGTTGTTTGTTACATGATTTAAACATCTTTGGCAGGCTCGTGCAGCACAGATAAGCTAGGATGAGATGACCGTATCTTCTCTTCCAGTGCCTTCTTCCAGGTGCTGATCCACAGGTGTGGTAGCCACGTATAGAAGTGTCAACTATTTTTTGTCATGAGACCTAGTATGACACTGGGGCAAATTATTTCAAATATATATTTTTTGCTATGTTATTAAGTTAGCAGAAATATTGTATTCAAAAGATGTTTTCTTTTTGGATTGTTATGTTTTCTTATAATGGTCACAGAATTATTCAATTGGTAGTTAGGTAGCACTGTACTGAGATTTGTATAAAGAACCACAGTATTGGAAGATCTAGTTTTGGTGGCCTCTGGTCTGCATAGCAGTGATTATAGAAGTCACCTGAGAGTAATTTGTTACCATTACTCTATTTGCTTCCTATTGTTATGAAAATAATACATGCTCACCGCAGAAAACTTGGAAAGTATGGAAAAATATCATGATGTTTTGGGAAAAAATCACTTCATTTACCTGTTAAAGATAATCACTATTTAACATTTCAGTATTACAGTATTTTATTTTCTTTTTCTAACCATAATTTTCAATATAATTGCAATTATATTGTGTGTGTAGTTTTATAGATTATCTTTTTCATTGAGATTATCACCAAAAAGTTTAAAGTCTTTTTAAATTAATTATGAAGATTCTTTTTCTTTTATTTATTTTTTATTGTATTTATTGGGGTGACATTGGTTAATAAAATTACATAGGTTTCAGGTGTACAGTGCTATAATACATCATGTGTATATTACATTGTGTGTTCAACCACCGCTAGTCAAGTGTCCGTCTGTCACCACTTACCCCCTTCCTTTACCTTCTTCAACTTCCTTTTACCTCCTTTACTCTGGCAATTACCATGTTGTTGTCTGTGTGCGTGAGCCTCTTTTTTTTTTGCTTACTACCTTCACCCTTCTCACCCAGGCTCCAAGCCCTCTGTCTCCTCTGACAGCTGTCAGAATGTTCTCTGTGTTTGTCTCTACTTTGTTAGTTTATTTTGTTCATTAGATTTCACATATACCATATTTTTCAGACCATGAGATGCACCTAGGTTTTACATGAGGAAAATAGGGGAAAAAATTGAAGCAAAAATGTGCTAAAATATTTAATATCATAAATAACATAATATTTCACCAATGCAAATGTAAACAGAACTCAACAGCAGCATTAACAACCATTATTCCTTCTAAGTTTTGGGGTAGAAGTGTGTCTTATAGTCTGAAAAATATGGGTAAATGAAATCCTATGTACGGTACTTGCTTTTCTCTGACTGGTTATTTTACTTAGCCTTATACTCTCCAGGTCTTTCCATGCTACTGTAGAAGGTAAGATTTCCTTTCTTTTTATGGCTAGGTAGTATTCCACTGTGTAAATGTACCACAGCATTTTTATCCACTCATCTACTGATGGGCACTTGGCTCCTTCTAAATCTTGGCTATTGTAAATATTGCTGTAATAAACATAAGGGTACATATATTCTTTTGAGTTAGTGTTTCAGGTTTCTTTGGCTATATCCCCAGAAGTGGAATTGCTGGATCATAAGGCAGTTTCATTATTAATTTTTGAGGCAACTTCATAGTGCTTTCCACAGTGGCTGCACCAATCTAAATTCCCACCAACAGTGCATGAGGGTTCCCTTTTCTCCACAACCTCACCAACACTTGTTGTTTGATGATTTTTTGCTGATAGCCATTATGAGTTGTGAGGTAATATCTCATTGTGGTTTCAATTGCATTTTTTCTGATGATTAGTGACACTGGGCAACTTTTCATGTCTATTGACTATCTCTATGTTCTCTTCGGAGAAGTGTTTCTTCAGGTCTTTTTCCCATTTCTTAACTGGATTTTTTTGGTGTTGAGTTTTAGAAGTTCCTTATAAATTATGGGCATTAAGCCCTTTTCAGATGTATCAGTCAATAGTTCACCCATTCAATGGATTTTCTTTTAATTTTATTGATAGTTTCCTTTGCTTTGCAAAAGGTTTTTAGTTTGATGTAGATCATTTGTTCATTTTCTTTCTTTTGTTGTTCCCTTGCCTGAGCTGATACCACTAGTATTCAACATCATACTGGAAGTCCTAGCCTCAGCAATCAGACAAGAAGAAATAAATGACATTCAAATTGGAGAGGAAGAAGTAAAACTGTCATTATTTGCAGATGACATAATACTTTAATAGAGAAACCTAAAGATTTCACCAAAAATTTGTAGAACTGATAAGTGAATTCAGTAAAGTAGCAGGATACATAATAAATATCCAAAAATCGGTTGCATTTTTATACACCAATAATGAAAGAGGGGTGTCCAATGCATGGCCCACAGGCCCCGCATGAGGCCCAGGATGGCTATGAATGTGGCCCAACACAAAATCACAAATTTACTTAAAATCTTTTTTTCTCATCAGTTTTCATTAGTGTTTGTATATTTAATGTATGGCCAGACACAACTCTTTTTCCACTGTGGCCCAGAGATGCTAAAATGTTGGACATTCCTGCCATCAGAAAGGGAAACTAAGAAAACAATCCCATTTATAATTGCTTCCAAAAAACAAAATACCTAGGAGTAAATTTAACAGTGGATGTAAAAGACCTGTACTTAAAAGATTATGACACTGAAGAAAGAAACTGAACAAGAAACAAATAAGTGGAAGCATACTCATATACCATGTTTATAGATAGGAAGCATTAACATCATTAAAATGTCCACACTATCCAAACCAAGCTATAGATTTAATGCAATTCCTACCAAGATACCATGGCATATTTCACAGAACTAGAATTAATATTTCAAAATATATGTGGAACCACAAAAGATCCCAAATAGCCACAGCAATCTTGACAAAAGAAAAATAACATAGTGGAGAAATCATGCTGCTTGATATTAAACTATACTATAAGGCTGTAGTAATCAAAACAGCATGGTACTGGCATAAAAACAGACATACAGATCAGTGGAACAGATTAGAGAGCCCAGAAATAAAGCCACACTTTTATGGCCAATTAATATTTGACAAAGGAAGAAAAAACATACAATGGGGTAAAGACAGACTATTCAACAAATGGTATAAGGAAAATTGGACAGATATGTAGAAAAAGGTAAAACTAGACCATCTTCTCACACCATATACAAGGATAAACTCAAAATGGATGAAAACTTAAGTGTTAGATGTGAAACCATAAGAATCCTAGAAGAAAACAAAGGCAGTAAACTCTTAGACATTTCCTGTAGCAGTATTTTTTCTGATAAAGTATTAAATGTTATAAAATTATAGTTATTATAAACATAGGCTTAATAAATAAAATATGGTGAGACACTGAGTTTTCATGAATTCTCCCAGGAACCTTCACTCTTCCTTTTCCCAAAAGTGACCAGAGGTGACCTCTGAAGATGGTTCACTATTCACTTGACCCAGAAAACCCCCCAAAATCATTCAAATCAAGAGGTTCAAATCTACATGTCCACTTTAAGAACACTCACGAAACTGCCCAGGCCATCAGGGTATGCATATTTGAAAAGCCACCAACTGTCTGAAAGATGTCACTTTAAAGAAGAAATGTGTCCCACTGCATCGATACAATGGTGGAGTTGGTAGGTGTGCTCAGGCCAAGCAGTGGGGCTGGACACAGGGTCGGTGGCCCAAAAAGAGTGCTGAGTTTTTGCCGCACATGCTTAAAACACAGAGAGTAATGCTGAATTTAAGGGTTTAGATGTAGATTTTTTGGTCATTGAGCATATCCAGGTGAACAAAGCTCTCAAGATGCAGCATAGAATTTACAGAGCTCATTGGAGGATTGACCCATACCTGAGCTCTCCCTGCCAGACTGAGATGATCCTCACTGAAAAAGAGCAGATTGTCCCTAAACCAGAGGAGGAAGTTGCATAGAAGGAAAAGATATCCCAGAAGAAACTGAAACTCATGGCCAGAGAGTAAATTCAGCGTAAAATAAATACTAATAAAGTAGTAAGTAAATAAATATGTTATGATATGAAATTTGCTATTCTCCCAACATGAAACATAAAATCATTAAAATTTTTTCTCAATACTATGACTAAGAGTTTTAAGTATAAATCACATCCTTAGGCTATATTTTATTTCAAGGTAAAGAATTCTTCCACCCGTGTTGTAGTCTTTGTGGCTTAATGCTGTGGCTACTTTTCCAGCTCTTTCTATAAATGTTTCCTATCCTTGCATTATATTGACATTACAGTTACTGAATGTACTATATTAACTTTTTTTTTTTAAGTTGCCTTAGCTTCCTGGAAAGATTTTCCATTTCTCTTCCTGATTCCTTCTTTCTGTAGGTCCTCTTTCTCATCTCCCAGTTCTCCACCTTACCTAATGCTCAATACAAAGCCAGGAAAGTTGTCTGGAAGACTTTTCTGACTTTCTCCAGCATGTGTGCCCTGCCCCCACACCGGTATCAGCCAAGACTCTTCTCACACCATATACAAGGATATGGTGTGAGAAGACCATATCATCTTCTTCACCCTCGGCACCCAGTACAGAATCAGGCTGAGCTATTTGTATTTTCCATTTAATGGGTAAAACTTGGTTCAACTGTGGCAATTCCACATTGTTCTACTTTATACATATATACACCTGTGATATTCTAAGCAAATCACATTTCTTTCTCTATAGTTAGGTGGTATCAGTGCCTGACATGTAGTGGTCTTTTGACATTTGATATTCTTTTGAAATGCCTTTTGACATTTTCATAATATCTGTCTTTATTAAAGCAATCAGAACACTGTCATATATTAGGCATTAAATATTAATTTGTTTTTTATGTATATGACTAGATGAGAGTCCTCTTATTTTTTACCTTTCTGAAGGTTCAAGGCTGGCTATTTAATTCTGATTCTCTCATCTTCAACACTATTTTTCCTTAAAACAATTTCTCATCCTTCAATCATTTGGTTACTCGATAATATCACCTCTGCATTGTATCAATACTTGCCTTTTTTTTAAACAGGGAGAATAGTACTGAGCACAGTACTCTGTAGATGTGACCAGTGCATCCTGTGAAAGTGATGAGGTCCCTGATCTTTTGTGCTCTGGTCCCATCAAAACTTCAAGCATAATTGCTTCCCTTTTGGAACTTTCAGAGCGATGCATGAGAATTACCGAAAGCACATCTGGCAAATTTTTCAGTTCCCTGGATAATGAACACTACCACCTCAGTGCTGTTAGTAGTACAGGAGTGACTGTCCTGTTCACTGACAAACTGTCTAATCTTCCTTCTCCCACTCACTGCCTAAGTTGAGAGAATTTTGAAACTCATAGGTGTAGCCCTAAAAAGTGTAAAGAAACTTAAAATAAATGTCACTCCTTCTCCAGGTGCTGTTCTTATTTTGTTAAATCTTGGCTTTTATATAATAAGGAAAATACTGAAACAAATGACAAAATGTGAATTATCTTTGTATTTTAACTAGCCATGCTTTTCTATTTCTTGGAACTATGATATAGTTGGTTTTTCATTTAAGGTGGTTAATGCAGATGAGCAGGAAATTACCAAAGAGAATTATGAGAGAAGAATGAAACCATCGCTAGTTTTGTGTCCCTTCCTTGGTCATTTGTGAACTGTCAGACCCTCATTAGCCCTGTCTTGCGCCTCCATTTGGTAATAGGTGTTCTGCAAGAATTTCACCAAAGGCAACAGATGGGCAAGCATTTTTGCATCATTTTCAGGACTCAAATTTCATAGTGATAAAATTGAGTTTTACTTTTTAGCCACATAACTTCCTGTTCTTGACACTCTATACTTGTTGAAGAGGTTTGAGTAGATTTCATTTTGGTATTCAATATTTTCACAGTCAGGTTTCAGCTATGGTTGCATCTTCCAGGTGGTGAGATTGGCCTGGTGCCTTGTTATGACACCATCACATTAGTGGTTTCAGATGAAGAAGCTGGCCCTTTGGTGAAGGGCTGTTGCTACAATGGACCTCATCCATCTGTTCCTCTTCATGAGTCCTTTCCAGTGTATGATCTCAACATCACAGTACATCCAGTGGACAACCAACCACCTTCAATTGCAATAGGTGACAATGTTTTTTCTGTTCAAATCCTATTACCTCACCTAGTCACATAGCCATGGTTCAGTGAAATAATGCACTTGTAGTCAAAATAGAAAACCATGATACAGAATTACCTCCAATAATTGCCTTAAAGCACATTTATGGAAAATACCAAATCTATAAAAGATTACAGGGCAAAAGAATTGTTTAAAAGTTTAGATAATTCTGTATGGAGAGAGAACACAAGGGTGTGCGTGTGTATGTTGGGATGAGGACAGCATCGAAATCTTCAAATATTCAGGCTTCATTTCACATGAGAAAATACTATTTGCCTGCTGGAGAGAGAGTAATTTATTTTATCCATAGTAATTTCTATTAGAACAGAATGAGTATACCAGAGAGACCATTTATATACATTTAACCATATTTGCTTTTTAGAAAGTCATCTCTTCATAGGCATTATGTATATGTTCTGTCTCTCAGAAAAAAAATATGAGCATATGTATGAATGTTATTGAAATTTGCAAACTATCTCCCAAGCAATGTTCTGGAAAGAAAGCATGGTCCCTGCAGAATAATTAAGTACCAATGCATAAAAAAAATGGTGGTTATGAGCAATTCGTAATAGCTTGCAGGCAATTAACACTCTGATAAACAGAGGTAACAACTGATCTTGAAGAGTCCATAAACTACATTTAGTGGCTTATCATTAAAAACAGTTTGGCAATTCTTATTTTCATTTGTCACTTCTATAGACACACAAGGGAAATCAGAGTTCCTTGAGAATGACTGAAGGGCTGTACTGAAGCACTTAGTATTTCTGCTGTCTTTCCATTATTGTCTGGCTTGCTTGTACAAGAAAAAATGTAATTCCATAAGTCAAATTCCACTCATTAGCCCTGAATATTTTCACTGTAACGAGAATTATGCCAGAGGAAATGAACATCTCCTGTGGAAGTGCATTTGCATATGGGAGACTTCTCTGAATTGGAATTTCAATCACTCCCTTTGTCCTCACTATTCTGATTAGAGGATTTCACGCTAAGCCATAATTGTGTTATTATTTGTATGCAGGTACCATGTTCGTGGTAGATGAGGGTTTCTCAGCAGCTCTCACCATTAACCATTTGTCAGCTACTGACCCTGACACGGCAGCAGATGACTTGGAATTTGTTTTGATTTCTCCTCCCCAGTTTGGCTACCTAGAAAATACACTACCTTCTTTGGGTTTTGAGAAAAGCAATATGGGCATAAGAATAGGTAAGTCAGTTTCATGACCAGCAATAACTGGCTTATGTTTATACTCTTACTGGCTAGATCATGCTCAATCGCTGGGTAAGGACTTAAAAAAATGGTCAAATCACTATGTACATTTAAGAAATTATTATGGCTGGTACTTTTGAATGTTATTATTTTTAATTTTAACTTTGAAATTTTCCATGCATGCAAGTTTACTTCAAGATAAGTGAAAATTTTACCTATGAAAATGAATAATTTCTGGGCATCTAAGATATCACGTGGGAACTGTAGTTAGCAATAGTGCACTGTAGATTTGAAAGTTGTGTTGCGAGTCTGCTTCAATGCTCTCACTGCCTCAACAAGAAAATGGTGATGATGTGAGGTGAGTGATGTGTTACCTAACCCTACTGTAGTAAACATTTTGCAACAACTGTGTGTATTAACTCATCACCTTAAACTTACACAACATTATATGTCAATTATATCTCAGTAAAGCTGGAGGGAAAAGATTAATTGCATTAAAGTTTTTACAATGTTCCTGTGACTTAATGAACAACATTTAACATCTTTCTCTTTTGATCAAGATGTTGTCAAAATACCAAACAGCAGGTCAGCTGATTCTATCCAATCCAACCAATTGCTTAATATGAATGCGAAGCAGGCAGATGATTGACTCTTGTTTTGCTTTTATTTGAAAGAAATAGTTTCTTCCTTTTTTCTTACACACCCTTTTATTTGGTATTTAAAAAAATTACCAACCTTCTATCAGGAGAAAGTTAATATATAGTGAGAAAACTGAGGCCTTGGGAGAGGAAAGGTAACACTGTAAAGAGTCGATTTTCTGACAGCTCACAGTCTTCACTCAGTGAATGGCTTAGAAAACACTGGACTCTGTCTTTCTTATCTACCAGGGAAGATACAGGGACTTTCTTAGTTTCTTCGGAAGGTAGAGTTGGTCTCTTTCTGAATGAAGCATGACAAGAACCACTGATGCTGAAGTTGTTTTAACCAAAAGACAATTTCACTGATCCGAGTATGTGAAGACTGGTGATGAAGACCCTATACATCCTGGGTAGCACTTATCGCCCTTCTCCTCTCTATGCACATTTGAACCCTTCCCTGGCATTTATGAATATCTGTTTTATGTTGACAGCTGACAGTCATTGTAGCAGCCCTGATAGCTGATTCTGAAGTCAACTGCTATGATCTTGTTTGCTTTGCTGAGAAATAGGCTGTTGATTGAAGGATTAAGGACTAGTAGCTTAGAATAAAAATGATTTTCTCATTAACCTGCTTTATCTTGGTGCGCTTTAGCTTCATTTCAGTGGAAAGACATGAAGGCTTTGCATATTAACTATGTGCAGTCCATGCACCTGAGGATGGAGCCAACGGCTGACCAGTTCATGGTGTATGTCACAGATGGGAGACGCCGCTCCTTGGAGATACCATTTTACATTACAGTCAACCCCACAAATGATGAAGCTCCTGACTTTGTGGTACAGAATATTACTGTAAGATCAGAAGTTTCTATTTCTCTCTGATAACTTTCTGATTTTTATTTTCACCTTGTCAACTTACATTAGTTCAGGTATACTTAACACTTTTTGTGTATGTGTGGTTTTCCTGTATGAGTCTATTTACAAATCAGGGAACATATTATATCTGTTACTCTACTTAAAAAATAATTAATTATGTATGTTAAATTTTTTTTGTTTTATTTTTTAATATATTTTTTATTTTATGGATTATGCCATTACATTTGTTCTATTCCCCCCTTCATTCCCCTCCACCCTGCACACCCCTCCCCCACCATCCCCCCCTTTAGTTTATGACCACATGTCTCAAGTTCTTTAGATTCTATATTTCCCCTACTATTCTTGCCCTCTCCCCTATCTATTTTCTATCTACTGTCTATGCTACTTATTTTCTGTACCTTCTCCCCCCTTCTCCTTCTCCCACTCCCCTGTTGCTAACCCTCCACATGATCTTCATTTCTATGGTTCACTCCTGATCTAGCTGTCCTCTTAGTTTGCTTTTGTTTTAGATGTGGTTGTTAATAACTGTGAGTTTGCTGTCCTTTCACTGTTCATCTTTCTTATCTTCTTTTTCTTAGGTAAGTCCCTTTAACATTTCATATAATAAGGGCTTGGTCATGATGAACTCCTTGAATTTGACCTTATCTGAGAAGCACTTTATCTGTCCTTCCATTTTAAATGAAAGCTTTGCTGGATAGAGCAATCTTGGATGTAGGTCTTTGGATTTCATGACTTGGAATACTTCTTTTCAGCCCCTTCTTGCCTGTAAGGTCTCTTTTGAGAAATCCGCTGAGAGTCTGATGGGAACTCCTTTGTAGGTGACTGTCCCCTTATCTCTTGCTGCTTCTAGGATTCTCTCCTTCATTTTAATCTTGGCTAATGTAATTATGATGTGCCTTGGTGTGTTCCTTCTTGGGTCCAACGTCTTTGGGACTCTCTGAGCTTCCTGGATTTCCTAAAAGTCTATTTCCTTTGCCAGATTGGGAAAATTCTCCTTTATTATTTGTTCAAATAAGGTTTCCACTCATGACTGTTCCTCTTCCCCTTCTGGTACCCCTATAATTCAGATATTGGAATGTTTAAAGATGTCCTGGAAGTTCCTAAGCCTCTTCTCATTTTTTTGAATTCTTTTTTTTTGTTTGTTTGTTTTTTGTTTGTTTTTTTTAAAGATTTTATTTATTTATCTTTAGAGGGGAAGGGAAGGAGAGAGGGAGAGAAACATCAATGTATGGTTGCCTTTCATACGTCCCCTGCTGGGAATTGGCCTGCAGGGAACTGGTCTGCAACCCAGGCATGTGCCCTGACTGGGAATCGAACTGCGATTGTCTGGTTCGCAGGCCTGTGCTCAATCCACTGAGCTACACCAGCCAGGGCGTTCATTTTTTTGAATTCTTGTTTCTTCATCCTTTTCTATTTGGTCTATTTTTCCTTCCTTCTGGTCTGCTCCCTTGATTTGAGTCCCAGTTTCCTTTCCATCACTATTGGTTTCCTGTGCATTTCTATTCATTTCAATTAGTTTAGCATTCATATGTTCCTCTAATTTGTGACTAAAATCAACCAGTTCTGTGAGCATCCTGATCACCAGTGGTTTGAACTGTGCATCTGAAAGTTTTGCTATTTCTTTATTGCTTAGATTTATTGCCTCTGGGGCTCTGAGTTGTTCTTGAGCCATGTTTTGATCTGTTTGTGCCTGTTACGTATCAGGAGAGGCACCTTAGGTGTTCACCAGGGTGGGGCCACCCAGGTTGCTGGTTTGTGACACTGTATGTGGGGGCAGGGTCAGAGAGGGAGCAATGGCAGTCCTCTCCGCTCACCCGGTCCGCCTCACCTCTTTTCCCCTGCCTGTTTATCTGAGCGCAAATGTGCGAGCCCACCTGTGTGGTCTGTCTCAATGCACGTCTCTTCACTGGTTTATCTGCGCGCAAATGTGGGACCTCAGAGAGCCAGCCATGCCGCGCCTTCCCAGAGCTACCCGGCACCTGTGATCCACACCTTTGGCTGCTTGCAAGCTACCCGGGTCAGGTGGTCCTTTTTGCCTGATGGGCTCCGCTGCTGGCTTCGCCCCTCTCACCGGTTTATTTGAGCGGTTCGTAGTTTTCAGACTCTGTATTGTTGGATTTTCTGTGGTTTGATTGCGTTTATTGTTGTTAAAACTTTGTTGTTTTTAGATTTGGTTGTTCGAGGAAGCAAAGTGTTTCCACCTATACCTCCATCTTGGCGGAAGTCCTGTATGTTAAATTTTTGATAACAGCATAGAATTCTTTTGAAACACTTCTATTTTTTACATGTGGTGATTTAATCCAGGCATACCTGCAGCCAAGCCTGACTAAATGGATGAGCCCAGACTTTGGAATAAGAGGTACTTTGGTATTGCAGCTTGCTAGTTACAGGGTTTGGGATGTTATCTCCCTATGACTCTGTTTCCTCATCTGCACAATGTATAGCAAGTCTTCCTTAGGGGTAGTCATGGCGATCAAGATGGCCAGGCATGACTCAGTAAATAGGTGCCATTTGGATTATTGTGGTTGTTATGTTTGTCCTTTTTTTCCTGACATTGACTGAAGCAAATATCACCCATTTTAAAACTATTATCTTACCTTATGTTTCACTAAAAAATGCAAAAGTCTTCACTTGATTTTGTTTTCTACTGAAACTTAATGGTAAGTGGGAGCCAACACACAGTGAGATTTAAGTGCCAGCTTCTGCCTTTACCCTTCAGCTGGAACATGGATTTCTCTGAAGCTCACTTACATAGTTATGAGACAGAAAAGAAACATACAAATTTTTTCTTCTACATCTACCTCTATTGTCTTGAATCTCTCCAGGGTTTAGGGTTGGGGTGTTTGAAATAATTAGGACACTGGGAAATTGTTTCTTGCTCTTCTCTGAAAGTAGGCATGCTTTTTATCTGAGCATTCCTTAGAGAAACTATTAAAGTATAACAAATGTGGAGCCCTATTTAGATTATTTTTTAAAAAGTCATATTTATTTTGCTTTCTTGTCAAAAAATATATTTATTTTGTAGATAGCTGGGCTTCCATCCAGTTGTGTGCAGCATGCAAAAAAATGACATTTTAGTTTAAGTTATTATTCATTTCAAATCTGTCTACTAGTCAGTATCTATATTTTATATATGTATGTTGATCTAAACCTTTTATTTATAATCTCAATAAGCAATTAGATTGGCAAAAAAAAAACCCCACATTTTTTCAATAAAATGTCCCAGTCGTCTCGTGAACTGATTTACCATTGTTGCCATGTAGTGAGTCCAGGAGTTTCAAACTCTATGAAGAATAATTGGAGCATATTTTTAGGTTGCTTTATTAAATTTCTTGGAGACAAGACAAGTTATCATCAAAGACAATTTCATAATTATATCACTGTGCATTAAATTTTGAAGCTATCTTCATCCTTAGTAAGTAGGAGACTTAAAAAATCACATAATTTTAGCCCAGGTATCAGATATGGCAAATGATTCTTAATTATGCAAATTCAATGAAAAACAGTTGTAGGAAGGCTCCCTTCATAGTCAATAAAAGAGGCTAAAGAGAAATGAGATTTTCACAAATGTAAACCACATAGGAGTTCTGTTCAGAAAAAGTCCAGCCATTATTAATATAATGAGAATAGTTTGCAAAACATCGCTGTAACCTGGCAGGGAGAGTAGACTAGAATGCACATGTGTGAACATGACAACTTCTCTGTACTAGTCAGTGGGGGAGGTAGATATCATTGAGTGAGCATTTGTCCTGTGTGGCTGTTCTATTCAAAATGACTGAGTGAGTAGAGCAAGGAATCTGCATCAGATTTTGCCTTAAACTTAAACATTCCTCCATGGAAACTATTTGGATAATTCAGAAGGCTTTCAGGGATGATGCAATGAGTGCAGTGCAAATAAAAATGTGGCACCAGCACTGCAGAAATGGTCAAGAAGAAGATGTGGTGAAGTTGCAGCAAGATCAAGTCATGTTAACTGTGGTGTTTTTTTAAAGTATATTTTATTGATTATGCTATTACAGTTGTCCCAACTTTTTCTCCCCTTATCCCCCTCTGCCCTGCATCCTCCCCATCCTCCAGTGTTCCCTCCCCCCTTAGTTCATGTCCATGGGTTTTACATATAAGTTCTCTGGCTTCTCCATTTTCTATACAATTCTTAATGCACCCCCCCCATGCATCTATTTTGTACCTACCAATTATACTTCCTATTCCCCATACTTTTTCTCCCATTCACCCCTCTCTCTCCCCACTAATAACCCTCCATGTGATGTCCATTTCTGTGATTCTGTTCATATTCTAGTTGTTTGCTTAGTTCGTTTTTGTTTTTGTTTTTTAGGTTCAGTTGTTGATAGTTGTGAGTTTGTTGTCATTACAGTGTTCATAGTTTTGATCTTTTTCTTATCGAAGTCCCTTTAACATTTCATATAATAAGGGCTTGGTGATGATGAACTCCTTGAACTTGACGTTATCTGGGAAGCACTTTATCTGCCTTACCATTCTAAATGAAAGCTTTGCTGAATAGAGTAGCCTAGGTTGTAGGTCCTTGCTTTTCCTGATTTTGCATGCTTCTTTCCAGCCCCTTCTTCCCTCAAGGTTTCTTTTGAGAAACCAGCTGATGGGAACTCCTTTGTAGGTGACTGTCTCCTTATCTCTTGATGCTTCTAATATTCTCTCCTTATCTTTAATCTTGGGTAACTTAATTATGATGTATCTTAGTGTGTTTCTTTTTGCATCCAACTTCTTTGGGGTTCTCTGAGCTTCCTGGACTTCCTAGAAGTGTATTTCCTTTGCCAGATTGGGGAAGTTTTTCTTCATTATTTTTTCAAATAACTTTTCAATTTCTTTTTTATTTTTTTTAAATCAAGGAAGTACCTGCTGACTTGTGTACATTGCTTTTCTTTTCTTTTTTTGAAAATATATTTTATTGATTATGCCATTACAGTTGTCCCATTAACCCCCTTCATTCCCCTCCACTGTGCACGCCCCCTTCCCCCATTCCCCCTCTTTAGTTCATGTCCATGTGTCACAAGTTCTTTAGCTTCTACATTTTCCATATTATTCTTGTCTTCCCCCCTGTCTATTTTCTACCTACCGTCTATGCTACTTATTTTCTGTACCTTCTCCCCGCTTCTCCTCCTCCCACTCCCCTGTTGTTAACCCTCCTTGTGATCTCCATTTCTATGGTTCCACTCCTGACCTAGTTGTTCACTTAGTTTGCTTTTGTTTTAGGTGTGGTTATTAATAATTGTGAGTTTGCTGTCCTTCCGCTGTTCATCTTTTTTATCTTCTTTTTCTTAGGTAAGTCCCTTTAACATTTCATATAATAAGGGCTTGGTCATGATGAACTCCTTGAATTTGACCTTATCTGAGAAGCACTTTATCTGTCCTTCCATTTTAAATGAAAGCTTTGCTGGATAGAGCAATCTTGGATGTAGGTCTTTGGATTTCATGACTTGGAATACCTCTTTCCAGCCCCTTCTTGCCTGTAAGGTCTCTTTTGAGAAATCAGCTGAGAGTCTGATGGGAACTCCTTTGTAGGTGACTGTCCCCTTACCTCTTGCTGCTTCTAGGATTCTCTCCTTCATTTTAATCTTGGCTAATGTAATGATGATGTGTCTTGTTGTGTTCCTTCTTAGGTCCAACTTCTTTGGGGCTCTCTGAGCTTCCTGGATTTCCTGGAAGTCTATTTCCTTTGCCAGATTGGGGAAGTTCTCCTTTATTATTTGTTCAAATAAGGTTTCCACTCGTAACTGTTCCTCTTCCCCTTCTGGTACCCCTATAATTTGGATGTTGGAGCATTTAAAGATGTCCTGGAGATTTCTAAGCCTCTCCTTATTTTTTTGAATTCTTGCTTCTTCCTTCTTTTCTGTTTGGTCATTTCTTTCTTCCTTCTCCATTTCATTGATTTAAGTCCCAGATTTGTTTCCATCATTATTGGTTCCCTGTGCAATTTGCTTCATTTCACTTAGTGTAGCCTTCATTTTTTATACAATTTGTGACTAAAATCAACCAGTTGTCAGCATCCTGATCACCAGTGTTTTGAACTCTGCTTCTGATAGGTTGGCTATCTCTTGGTCACTTAGAAGTATTGGCTCTGGGGCTTTGAGCTATTCTTCTGCTTGAGCCATAATGTTTTGGTCTGTTCGCACCTGTTATGTATGAGCGGAGAAAGCTTAGGTGTTCACCAGGGTGGGTCAGCTCAGTCACTGGGTTGTGACTGGGGGCGGGGTCAAAGATGGAACATAAGCATTTGTTCTGCTCTCTCTTGGATTTCTGTCCCCTCTGCCATTTCCAAGAAGAAAATTGGGCCCTTTTGGTGCTGGTTCCCAGGTGGGTGGGCTTGTGTTCATTCTAGGTCCATGTGGGTCTACCCAACGAACTATCCTGTGGGGCTAGGAGCCTTTCCCGGCACTTCAGCTTCCGAAAGTTCTTCTAATTGGTGCTTTTAGGCTTTATTTTCCATCACTGGGGCCCTGGGTTGCGAGGTCTGTGTCACTGACCATTTTAAAACCTGCCTGGTTTCTCTGCAAATGTGTGTCTGCAGTCAGCCAGCTGCCTTGCAAGCCTTACTGGATTTTCCTCCCACACCCACCAGGGTCGCCAATCACTGCCTCCTCCTGCCAGGACTCCTCTCTGCCACTGACTCTGCCCCTCTTACCAGTCTGGATGAATGGTTCATTGTTGTCACTTCGGTACAGTTTACTTTTCTCTCTGTTTGGTTGCGTTTTTGTTTCCAAATCTTTGTTGTTTTTAAATTTGGTTGTGCGAGGAGGCATAATGTTTCCACCTATGCTTCCATCTCCGCCAGAAGTGAAGTTTTCAATTTCATGCTCTTCCTCTTCTCCTTCTGGCACCTCTGTGATTCAGATGTTGGAATGTTTAAAGTTGTCCCAGAAGTCCCTCAGCCTCTCCTCATTTTTTGAATTCTTGTTTCTTCATTCTATTTCTGGTGGATGTTTACTTTTTCCTTCTGCCCTAAACTATTGATTTGAATCCTGGTTTCCTTCCCTTTACTGTTGGTTCCCTGTACATTTTCATTTACTTCCCTTTGCATAGCCTTCATTTTTTCTTCTATGTTGCATCCATACTCAACCATTTCTGTGAGCATCCTGATTACTAGTGTTTTGAACTCTGCATCTGATAGGTTGTCTATCTCCTTGTCACTTAGTTCTTTTTCTGGAGTTTTGATCTGTCCTTTCATTTGGGCCATATTTCTTCATCTCCAGGCATCTGTTACATTGTGAGGGGTGGAGCATTAGGTATTTGCCAGGGCGTTTCAACCCACTTGCTGCATTGTAGTGCTGTATTTTGGGCAGGAGGCAGAGAGGAAACAATGCCACTTGCTTGGCTCTCACCTCACATTCCATTATTTCCTTCAATTCCCCCAAGCAGATTGTGCCCTTTCAGGTGCAGATTCCTGGGTGGGTGGGTTTGTGTACCTTCTAAGATCCCATGGGGGCTCTCCAACAGACTCTCCTGTAGGCTGGGAGTTTCTCACACCACTACAACCCCCACAGATTTTTATAGCCAGAAGTTTTGAGGCTTTATTTTCCCTGCTGAAACCCTGGGTTGTGTGGTCTGTTTCATTCTCCAGGTGTTCCTCGCAGCTTATCTGCATGTGAATGTGAGAAATCCCGTCTGCCATCTGCTGCCTTGCCCACCAGGTTCACCGGCCTGTATGTCCTCTCTGCCTTGGCTTTCCATCTCTGCCCCTCCTACCAGTCTGGATGAATATTTCTTCATCCTTGGTTGTTGGACTTCCATGCAATTAGAGTTTCTGGCAGTTCTGTTTGTGTTTTGTTTTTAAATTGGTTATTATCCTTTTTTTGGTTGTGCAAGGAAGTGAAGCATTTCTACCTACACCTTTCTTGGCTGGAACTCCTTAACTGTGTTTTTTTGATTGAGAAGGTAGGGTCCATCACAAGTATGCCACTCCAGGCCAATAAATTAATGAGTACTACCTCAATGTTCCTTATCAGTTGAGAGAAGCAGTATGGTGAAAATGGCCACAGCTGTGGAGAACTGGTGATTGGCAGCTTCATCATGACAATTCACCTGCTCTTGCATCATGTCTCATGTAGAGGTTTTTGGCAAAATATTAAATCACCTAGGTGACTCAATCTCTCTATACCCCAGATTTGGCACTCTGTATCTTCTGGCTTTTCCCAAAACTACCTTTGAAAGGAAAAAGATTTTAGACCATTGACGAGATTTAGGAAAATATAACCGGACAGTTGATGGAGATTTAAACAAAGTATTTTGCAGGGTGTTTTGAACAGTGGAAGAGATTCTGGGAGAACTGTGTGAGGTCCCAAGATGCCTACTTTGAAGGGGACTATGTACAGTGTTTCTTCTGTCTTGTGTCTTCTTCAATAAGTGTCTCTATTTTTCATTTTACATGGCTGAATACTTTTTGGACAGACCTTGTATATCTTTCAAGGCTAAAATGCCCACTTAGCCATAATGACATTCCTGATCTCCTCTTCCCTTTTTACTTCTTGTGTAGCCATATTTAGTAGCACTGGATATTTTCTTCCTTGTGTTATAATTATTGATGGGTAGACCTTCATGATTCCATCTAACATTGATTCTTGAGAATATTTGTATTTCCCACAAATGTCACACAGTGATATTGCAGATTTCTGATAAGTAAATGTTAAATTGATATGCTCTTATTAATGATATCTTACTATATTTCAAAATAGAAAGCAGAAATATTTCTATTTCTTTGTTCTTATTGTGAGAAAAAGAAGATCAAGAGAGCTAAGTCCTACATCAAGTTCTAAATGACTAGACCCTACATGAGATAAAATGCATTGCATTCCATTTGTGCTTAAAGGAGTAGAAACCTGATGTGAGGAGTGAGTGGAGGAAGGTAGTTCAGGAAAATTAGAGATGTGAGGGCTGGAGAGAAGTGAGGGGCCCAGAATTAAAATGTACATTTCCTATCCAGAAGCACCCTTATCAGTTATTGATTTCCATTGAAATACAGAAGTTTTTAGTGCAATCACAAAAATTTAAGAATACCAAGTACCCCCAGTGTGTATAGCAGATATATGTGCCATTTCTAAAACAGAAACGCAAGAATTACAAAAGGAACAAAGTTCAGAGGGTTAAAGGGACAGATTAGGATCTGAAGGTGAAGGGTCCATCTCAGTCAGTTTTACAAGTGAACTTCATGGTGACTTCCAGAAAGCAAGCATCTTTTGGTTGCTTTCCCCTGCCAACTTTTGAACTATGAAATTTTACACACACCCAGTATCCCTCATCTGTCATGGACATAAAATGCTTTGAAATCTTCAGTAAAAATGTGAAAGAGATTGAATAGATGTGTTCTTATCTTCTAAGGTTATGTTAAACCAGCAAATACTTAGGACTCATAACACACCAATCTCATGGAAAATTTGCAGTAGGATATCCTAAAATTTTTCTTTTGAGCCACTGGCCAAAAGAAAGACCAGTTTTATTTTGCATGCAGCTGACTTTTCCAACTTGCTGTCTGTTTTTGTAGGTGTGTGAAGGGCAGATGAAAGAGCTGGATGCTTCCATCATCAACGCTGCTGACCTGGATGTTCCCAGGGACCCCTTGCTGTTCAGCATCACTCAGAAACCACGTCATGGCCTCCTGATCAGCGGGGCATTTAGCAAAGACTTTCCTCAGTATAATCATCCTGCCAGCCCTGGCCAGAAGCATGAAATTGTTTCCAACTTTTCCATGGAACTTCTCAAGAATGGTATATCATGTTTCACTTTTGTTTGTGCTCGATTCAATAATTTAACCCAGAAAAGATAAAAATAAATCAGAGAAACAGGAAGTAAAGAAATGGCATTTATCTACTTTATTCATTTATACCTCAAGGGTTTTCTCTTGGCTCTGGATTAATGTAGGACATGAAGATCCGGCTAAAGATAGTGAGTAATTAAAAAGAAAATAATATATTTTCTTCCACTTTTAGAGCATCAATAAAAATGACATTTGTGATACTTGGTATTTTAGCTAAAGCTTTTAATGTCATATTAAAAATTTCCTTTTTCAAAGCATTGAGATCATGGAACTAAATTTGAAGAGATTTGTCTGCCAAAATTTCCACATTTGAAACAAATATAGAACCATATATAATAATTCATTGCTCTCTGAGAAGAGAATTTCCTCTTTAAGGAAATGAAACATTGAAACAGTAGTAGCCTGAATTACATTTTTAATTCCTCTTATTTAAAAAATGATATAAACCCATTTTCTCTATATAAAAATACTTTTAAATATTTGAGAAAACTGTGTGCATCAAGAATCACTGCCTGTTCTCACTCTCCTTCCTGTCTTCATGTAAGCTTCTGCTTCCCCAGCCTGGAGGGTCCTTCCCCCTCCTTCACCGGGCATCTAGACAATACTGTGTCTTCAGAACCAGTTTCCTATTGACCTCCTCTGTGGAGCCCACCGAGACACTCCAAACCATTCCTTTTCTGTGCTTCATCTTAGTACTCAGTCAATAGTTCTTACTGGTTTTCCCTTTCCTCAACAGGAGGGCAAGGTCTCTGCCACAAGGTTAATTTTGCAATAGTTGTGCAAGTCATCTCATGTTTGAGGCTCAAAGGCTAATTCTTATATCTCTCAGTTCTTCTCAATTGCAAAGCTATATATTCTGAAGCTTAAATGACATTACCAAATCAAAACATGTGCAGCAAATAATACAATTTGTTGTTACATCATTTGTTTCCAAATTTACAACACAGGAAAAGGAATAATTCAAATTTTACACACACAAAAAGTCAGTTCTTTAAAAATAACATTTATGGTAATGTTAGGTTAAATAATTATACACCTATTGTATGAAGTTTAACTATACAGTCATTCAAAGGAAAAATAAAATTTGTTTATATAAATTAATATTTTGGTGACATTCTCAGAGATTAGATTTTCACTTCTATGTTATTTTTGGTTCTATTATGGCTATATTTTTCTTAACTTTAGTATGTTCTCTCACACATTCCCCAACCCCAAGAATATAGAACTCATAAATCTGCTAGCATATTATATAATCTGTTTGTTATTAACTATTTTAAATATCTTTTAAATTTTTAGAATATTAATAAAAAATCTAGTTTGTGATGATTACAGTTTTTCTTTTAATGGACGTAGTACATGTAATTTTATATAACTGTCTTCAATTTTTAATACACGGATAGCCTTTAATTTCTTGATAATACTGGTTACATATCAATAAACATATTTTACAGATATTTATATAACGTAAATCTGGGGGCACATCTCTTATTTTTTTTCATAAACTTTTATAATGAAATGACCTGGCAACAAAAGATGAGAATTTAGAATAGTTTTAGGGAAAAAGGGCCACAACCACCATGTGTATAAGCACGCCTATTTCCTAGTCAGTCACCAAGATTGGTTTTAAAAACCTTTGCAAATTTGGGAGTCAGTAACAGTCTCTCATTATTATCTTGATTTGAAATTCTTAGATTTTGAGTAAAATCGGAACAATTTTAATGTTTACTGACCATATATGTTTCACCTTTTGAGAATTGCCTGATAATGTCCTTTGCCCATTTTTTAATCAGTTCATATTGATTTATAAAAGAACATTAAATATTGTTTTATATTTTTGTCACATGTTACAAATAAGGTTTTTCATACTTTATTTTCCTTTTCATTTAGTTTTTAAGTACAGAGATAAAATTGTGAGTCCTCCAAAACTGTTCTTCTTTCTCAACACTGTTTTGGCTTTCTGGGTCTCTTCATATTTCCATATGGAATGCTATATGGGTGTCAAACTCATGTTCACCAGGGGCCACATCAGCCTTGCGGTTGCCTTCAAAGGGCTGTATGTAATGTTAGGACGGCGTAGGTGTAACTGCTCCTTAACAGTGAAGCGAGAGCTCAGCGCTGCTGTTGAGTAGAAACAAGGCGCCAGGAGGTTAAAACAAGGTGGAGGGCCGGGTTCAGCCCCTGGGCCTTGTGTTTGCCACCTGTGCTATATAAAAATAGTTTTATATTATTGCTATATTAGTATAGCTATATTTATGCTATATTAAAAACAGTTTTATACCTGAAGTTTGATACATCTAGAATTTATTTTCATTTTGACTTGAGGTAGGGCAGGAATCTAATCATAATTTCCCCCATGTAATGAACAATTTTCTGTTTCATCTGAGCACTGTGACACCATTGTTCTCATGTAGTTTACTAAGTCATATGTCCTTTTCTCACTGATTTTAACTAAGATTTTTATCAAATATTGAAGTTTTTAAATAGGAATTTTTAATCAATGAAGAGGATACTTTTACTTCATAAAACAGTTTAATTTCACCCCCTGTTGCACTAATTAATGATCTCTTGCTAATACCAATGGCATAGAAATTAAAACAATTATCTGACATGTTTTGAAATTGTCCAATCATGAGAAAGATTTACTTCCTCTCTTTTTCCCTTTCTTCCAGGAATGAAGCTGATGTATGTGCATGATGACTCAGAGAACCTTGCTGATGACTTCACAATCCAGTTGTCAGATGGGAAACATAAGACACTTAGGACCATTTCAGTAGAGGTCACCCCAGTCAATGACGCGAAACCAATGCTGACCAAGTAAGCTACCTGAAAAGAGTCCCTTTCAGATTCTTTATAGAATTCCGAGGTCTGGAAGGCTAGGTGTACATGTAGTGTGTGTCCTCAAAGAAAAACAAGTGCTCGCTTGCTCCCGTCTACCACAGTTTGTCCAACCTACCCAGGTACCTAGAACTTTATTTAGTACAAAGGCTACTTAACGTAACTGCTCCTTAATGATTCTCAAACGAGCCCTTTAATTATTTTGTTTTCCTCTGAAATATCTATTTAATTGTAAACAATAAAGAATGACTGAAATACCATATAAAATGAACAGTGTATTAAATATTTAAACATGTGCACACACATGCACCAAACTGCAATTAATATATAGATCCAACTGAAGTGTGATAACATTAACTGCAGGACATCCTCACTGTGGATCTGGTCCAACTTTTTGCTAAGAGTGGCTGAGGGAAATGTACAAATACCACTTTCTTATCATCTTGGTATGTATTTCATTGTCCACCAGTCTGCTACACTGTTCCCTATGAATCAATAAGCCCCTGTCCACCTAATATCAAAATAATCACTTTTTAAAAATTCTGAGCCAGTATTATTAATTGCTTACTTTCTCCATATCTTCCTTTCTAGTTGTTCAGAGTTTGATCATAGGGTATGATCTTTATCAATTATATTTCTATAGCTTCAGCCATTTCTCTTATTATTGGCAACTGTACAGAAGTGTATGAGGTGAGAGCTTGGTACCTGTGAGTGCCGAGTGTAGAGAAGCATCTGCTCTTTGACACTTTACCTTCACATTCAATGTGCAGCAGTGAGAGGCTTGAGGGGATAGTTTTTATCAGGAAGTGAACAACTTTCTAAAATTGAGTAAACTCCCAAAGTTTCCTCCACTTTGCAGAAGAGAGGACCTCAAATAAGTCCCTGCCAACTCTCCTGCTATTCCCTCATGGGCCACCAGCAAGGCCCTTGAAAAGCATTATGGGAAATACTGATGACAGTTTTTTGGAGGACTGCATCTCAGACATTAGTTTAACTAAGTGTGTCCAACAGAAATTTCTTCTGTAGGTGGAATGTTGGATTGGTATTTCTTGATCTGTTTATAAAATGAAAATATGAAGGATATTGCAGTGTTATGAGACCTCCTTTCTGAGGACCTCACTTTACCTAAGAGAGAGGGAAGGAAGTAAAAACTGGAGCTTACTAAGTGCTTACTGTGTGGCAGTGTATTGGATCCTTTCACATATATTATTTCCTTAAATCCATCAGCATGGGGAGAGTAGGAATTATTTTCCCTACTAAAAGAACAGATCAGACAGATAAAATTAGTAAGACACTCACTCAGTTCTGTCTGGTTTATATTTCTTGCTAAGCTCTTGTTATTAAACTTCCTGGGATAGCTTCATCTACAGGATCTCCAAATCTCCTTTAACCCTGCTTCAAAATTCCTCCTTCCGCTCTCTCTTTTTTCTCCTTTCCTTCTGCCCTGTGGTGAGGAAATTACAGTCCCCCTTCTTTTCCTTCCATATGTATCCTTGGGTAAATCACATCTTGCCTCCTCCCAGAATGTACTCCATGATATTTTTTCTCCTGCATTTCCAATCTCTCCCTTTTTATTCTTTCTGTTAACAAAATATAGGGATAGGGTTAGTGGTTGAGAGAGCAAATTTTGGAGCCAGATTGCCTTGGTTCAGCCACTTACTAGTGGTGCAACCCTGAACATGTTACTTAACCTCTCTCTAACACTTTGCCAACCCCTTTGTAAATCGAGATAATAACACATACTCTTTATAGGGTTGTTGCAAAGATTAAATGAATTTAAATATGTAAAACTGCTGACAAAATGAGTTAGTGCGTAATCAGAGCTCATAAGTGTTTGTTACTATGATTATTACAAGCAGGTATCCTCATTCTCAAGCTACAGAGGTGGCTCAGTTCCTCACTTACTTCAAACTACTTGAAAGAAGGGCTTGTGCTCACTCCCTCCATTTCTGTCCACTGTCTTCCCCCCTCAGCCACTTTCTTAAAGCTGCCCCCTTGATTCCTAACCAAATCCAATGGCTCTTCTATTCTTACTGGACCCTGTTAGACATTTGACACCATTTCTTTGGTATTACTTTTAGATGCTGTGGTAGAAGCTTTTGGATCCCTGGATCACAGCCCTGAGCCCCCCTGTGATTGCAGTGTGGCTGGGGTGGCATGTACTCTGTGCACTGTCACGGCCCCCCTTCAGGGCCCACAGTGCCTCGATCCTGTTCTCTGCCTCAGGGCTTTCTCTGAAGTAGCAGTGATTCATCCAGCCCACGTTCAGGCACAGCAGACACACTCAGCGGGCAGCCCTCCACCTGTGGAAGCTGGTGGATAAAATATCCTAGCCTCCTGCTCTTCAGTAGCGCAGTCTGAGACTGTTCACACTCTTCTTCATAGGATCCTAGCAGCTCTGAGCCCCGTAGTGGTAAAAACACCCTTTGTTGCCACTTCCTCCTTCCTTCACTCATTCCTCACTCCATCTCCTGTTCCTGAAAGCACTTCCCAAGGAAATTACCTGCAAACGTCCTAGGGTCTCTTTCAGTGTAATTCAGACTATGACATACTTTCTTCTCTCTCTCTGCTTCTCAGTGAAAGACATTGTGACAGACATTTTATTAGGTCCTTTCCATATATTATCACGCAGAGGGAGAGTCACGTAGAAGGCTACCGATTACCTAGTATCAGCAAACTCCTAACAGTATGTTATAAAAGGCGCCAGAACCCCTGGTAAATCATTTAATCTCTCTAAGTTTTTGTCTGTAAAATTAGTGCGATAATACCTGAACCACTTCATGAAGCTGATGTTATATGAAATAAAATATTAGAAACAAAATATTTTTATAAAAATAAGTTATAGCATAAAATTGTGAAGTTCTGTATATAAACAATTAGAAGTATGTAATTACCTCATACCACATTCATTATGGCTAATTGTCTTTTAGGACTTTAATGCGTAAAGAAAAATGAGAGCCTTTTGCATGAGTCTGACTCATCATTTTTAATACTTTGGATACTGGACATTATTTATCCCTGAATAGTTGAAATTGGAAACTGTAGTAGCCATGCCTTCTATTTTCACATCAACCCAGACATCTTCCTTTTTACAGGAAGGCCGAAATCACAATGAGCATGGGCGAAACACGTATTATTTCTAGCGCTGTTCTTTCAGCCACAGATGAAGACTCACCCAGGCAGAAGATTTACTATTTATTTGAAAGGCTTCCCCAAAATGGGCAGCTTCAGCTTAAGGTTAGTGACCTTTTTACCTTCATGTTTTTCAAAATAAATATAGCCAATATAAATTTTCTCAAGACACAGATTTCTGTAACCGAGAGTTACAGTTATTCTCTAATTCTATTCTCTAAGTTATTCTCTAATAGCCACATTTTGCCTAAAAGTAGAAAATTTAATTTTCCCAGTTTGGGGTTAACTCACACTATTTAAAATTTTCTTACTCAACTCAGGGTAAATTCTGCCAATGTCAAGGTTCTTCACTGCTCTCTCCGCACGGAATTGCACCTGAACTTGAGGGGGCGGAGGGAGTCTCTTGGTTAAGAAAGTTGTCTAGTTTCTGATGAGAATCTTGAAGATATTTTTACTCCCTCTGGATTAAAAAGATTTTTAATAGACTTTGTTTTTAGAGCCATTGTTGTGAATATCAATAAACTGGCTTTAAAGTTTATGTAGAGAGGCAAAATGCACAAGATGGATACATAGTATCAGAGGTGAAAGAAGTGGAAGGGCTGACAGTGGGAAGGCAGCACCTGCCTTTGAGACTTGCTGTAAAGCTGCAGTAATCCAGACAGGGTGGGTTTGGTGAAAGAATAGACAAATAGTTCAGTGGATCAAAGTAAAAATCCCTCCAAAAGATACATATAAATATAGTCAATTCATCTTTGACAAAGAAGCAGACTCAATGCAACGGAGAAGAAAGAGTCTTTTAACAAATGCTTCAGACTGTGCTCGTGATGCCCATCACAAATTACAGATCAGTCACTTGAAAAGGTCACTTGAGTAATCTGACTAAATGTTTATTTGAATTGTGGATTAAGGCTAGCAACAAACACCACCAACCATCCCCAATGTGATTATTTGGCTGAATGCTTGACTTTGAATGTCATGTAGACACTCCTCCAAAGGCAGCAAGGATTCAGAACAGCTTGATTGTCTTAAATTGTAGGTACCATAGAGAATCAGAGTGAAGAGCAATCACTGATTTAAATTGAGGTACAGCTGTGTCCTTATTTCATTTCAAAGAGTAATGAAGCAGAAAGGCAGTGAGAGCTCACACATTTGGGTGGCTTGGGAACTGACATGTTTTGGATACGAGGACGTCCAGATGGGTCCAGGTTCCCGGTGTGGCACCGTACAATTCTCTCCCAGCTCTTTTGTGGTTCTCCAAGTCTCTGCAAGGCCAGGGACCAAGACTCTAGGCATCCTGAAATTTCTCCAGGGTTCTTGTTTTCTTGTTGACTTTCCTTAGTTTCCCCACCGTGCGTGTGACTCTTTTCTTCCTCTTTTGGGCTTGCAAATGATTTTGTCACATCAAAGGTTACACTTGGGAATGTGAGTGGGGAATAAGTGGAGATGAGAGAGAACAAAATCTTCCTGGGAAAAGATTACAAAGGAAAAAGTGAAATAGAATTACAGGATGTCCAGTTTAAAACCTGAAAGAGAATCTGTTTTAAAAATAAATATGCAAATAGATCTTAGAATGGAAGCAATGAACCTAATTATTACAATATAATTAATTTTTAACCTGTGAGCACTAGAGCAGAACATACCTGTGTAGAAATATCAGATGTACAAAAATAATTAACAGATGAAATTTTACCAAAAAAATGACTAAATGGGAAGCGGTAACACGATGAGAGAAGGACAAAGCATTTTTGCCAGGAACTGGGAGTCTGGGGAATAATGTGTCAAGAAAAAAAAAAGAATGACTTAAATTTCAGTTGTAGTCTCTTAAACCAGACAGGAAAACTGCAAGATATCACATGATAAATTTTTAAGATGACATTTTTCTTGAATTATGTCAAATGACTTTTATGGTTTATTCTTGGGGAAAGCTATGTGTTTTGAGAATTACAATAGAATTACTAATTACATACAGATTTATTATAATTACAGTTTGTAATATTCTCAATTGTCAGTGCCCCCTAGAGTAAGAACCTCTTTTAATTGAAAATACCACAATTTCTGAACTGAATTCTGCACAAAATATATGCTTAACTAAATTGACTTTTAAAAAACAATTCTGAAATTTGCAATTGTACTTTTTGCTGACTCAGGGTATAAATGTAAAGAGTAATAGAGAGCTTGATAATTTTCTTTGGGCTTTAGTAAGGCTAAAAAATGTGTAACAAATAAGTACATGCATTCTATTTTTGTTTTATCTTCTTCAGATAAGCTCTATTACAAACAAATTTGATAATATAGGTTTGATTAATTGTACAATGATACAAACTAAAAAAAAAGGAAAACCCCAGGTGAAACACATTTAATATTTAAAGAATCAATTCCAGCAGCTCAATTACCCACCTGCTCTCCTTAATTAGAATATTTAGTCTGCTATGATTGCTTATGATAAATACCTTGGAAGCAGCATTGCTGTTGAATTGCCACATGACTTTTTCAAAAATCTTTTGGCTGATGCTGTTTTTTCTACAAAGTTTTAAATTGTTTTAATATATTTCTATGAAAGAAAAAAACAGGAAATGATGAAAAAATTGAATCTGGAGTTTCTCTGAACTCTCATTATATTGGAGGTGTTCAGGGGATACAGAAAATGTCCAGTAACACGACTGGAAAAAAGAAGAAGCATGGGCAGCTGACTGATTCTGGCACCTTTCAGACAGGGAGGGACTGGGTCCCGCTCTACCCTGGCATGAAATGCACTCAGGAGGAAGTGGACCTGAACCTGCTGAGATACACTCACACCGCAGCCACGGATTCCCCAAACCAAGACAGTTTCACCTTCCACCTCTGGGATGGCGACAACAGGTCACCTGCATTTGACTGTCAGATCACTATCAAGGATGCGGGCAAAGGTAAAAGCATCTCTACCAATGTTTGCTGCGAGCGACTTTTATAACCAGAATAGCTCTAAGTTTTCTCTTTCCCTCTCTCCCTTTTTCTTTCTCCGTCTCTCCCCTCCCTCCCTCCCTCCCTTCCTTCCTCACCCAAGGACCCTTTGTTTTTCTTTGCTTTTTTAGAGAGAGAGGAAGGGAGGGAGAGAGACATTTCTATGAAAGAGAAATGTCAATTGGTTGCTCTCTCATACAACACTCAACCAAGATTGAACCTGTAACCTGGGCATGTGCCCTGACCAGGAATTGAACCTATGACCCTTTGGTCTAAGGTAGGCCGCTTCAACCAACTGAGCCACATCGGCCAGGGCCTTCTCTTCTTTTTTTTCCTTCCATTCTTTATACCCCAAATTCCATAATTTGTGATTCAATCCTGTGGCTCCTCATCTACGCTGCCTAGGGTCTATGAGGTTCAGTGTATTTGTTACTTTCAGTATTTCAGAAGGCCTCGTGGAAATACAGCCTTATCCACAACATGGTTGCATGCACTACTTTAACTGTCACGGTGTTGTGCTTTAAGTAAAAATTTGACAAATCAATGTGTTTTATCTTCAGAAACTGGATTATTAGTTGAAAATGGAGTTTCAAAGGAAGAAAGAGTATAAGCAATAGAGAGTGTAAGCCCTTGATGCCCAGCTGCCCCATACTGCAGCTTAAAGATTTCATGAGGGGGATGAGAATCGTGTTTCATTCCCATGTAGAGTCCAGGATCGACACATTCCCAGGACCAAGCCCAATCTTAGATCCTTAGTGCATGCTTGATTGACTGAATGCTTGCTTTTTTTTTTTTTGCCTTGGCTGCCAGGAACCTCAGAGCTAAATTGGATGCTTACGTGTAGTAAAAATTTTACTTCATGTGCATGGTAGTTACAGTTGTCCTAAATCTTTTAAAACAAACTTTAAGTCTGCTTGATTGATTTTTTAAAAATATATTTTATTTATTTATTTTTAGAGAGAGGGGAAGGGAAGGAGAAAGAGTGGGAGAGAAACATCAATGTATGGTTGCCTCTCATGTGTCCCCTACTGGGGACCTGGCCTGCAAGCCAGGCATGTGCCCTGACTGGGAATTGAACCAGCAACCCTTTGCTTCACAGACTTGGGCTTAATCCACTGAGCTACACCAGCCAGGGCATGATTTTTGAGATGTTTATTTTGAGCTCTATAATAATATATTTTTACTTAATTTGTTTCCTGGTTGTACAATAAAAATGTGTTGTGTTAAGATGTCTAACAAATGACTCCTGGATAAGCTAGGTGTTTCTGTTTCATATTACTCAAAAGTAAGACTTGTTCATGATAAGTATGTGTCCAGGCAAAATATAATACAAGTAATATTAGGGCAGACAGCTAATGTGTTAGGACAGACAGTCCTTACTGCCTTAGTGTAATGCATTCCTGGGGAGGGGGTGGGCTGGAAGGGGGTTCTGTTCCACACAGCCACCTGGGAACTCTTTCTGGCTAGAGGATCCTTCGTCTCTGAAGGCCTTGGAGTCACTCTAAAGGTGAAATATAGAGGAAAATGAGAGGATTTCATTGGTGAGGCTTGGAGGTAGGGTACCTGTCTGTCTTCCACATGTCCCAGTGGCTGCTTTGCAATAGCATTCTACAGAAACTCTAGCTGTAAGCCCAGGAAGAAGAGGAATTGAGGCTGGCAAGTGCCTCAGTAGTCTGCCTCAACCGACATGTGATCATTTTCTAAAAGGATTAATGACTACATTAACTTATTAACATTGTCCCAAGTTCCACATTTATTCTCTTAATTTCTTTTTACATTGTAGTGTTTATATCTGTATAGCTTTATATTCTTATTTATTTACCTAGTATGAGTTTTCTCAGGTTGCAACATAACTTTATAACCATAATTATTCGTCTTGAAATAAAATTACACTGAATTGTTAGACTGACTCGCAACCCCATGATTTGCATTTGGGTTAATTCCATTAGGGAGCTGTTATAAATAATGTGAGGTCCTCCATTTGTGCTGTGCCTTCTGATTTGCCCAGGGGCCACAGTGGTGTGGGGATCTTTGAGAAGTTTAGAAGTTATGGTCTATACTTGACCCTACTCCATACTTTGCCATTAACAGTGTTGAGAAACTGCACTGAGGCAACACGGCTCCTGTTCCTCCCTTCAGATTCATTTTCTGCTCCCGATGAAGCTGCTTGTGGGTGATTTTTGCCCCCACCTTTGTTTGGCCTGCTCACTGCTTTGATGTGTCCATCTTGACTCCCTCTGAAGTAGGTGGGGCTCAAGTTTTGATTTAAAGTTAGATGGTCATTGGTTTGGCTTTGGACTCTAGTTGTATAGAATGTTGAGTTAAAAGCATAGTGTACCAAAAACTTGATCATCTAAACCAGGTTTTCTCAATATGGGCCCTATTGGCATTGTGGGATGGATAATTCTTTATCGTAGTGGCCGTTCTTGTGCATTGTAGAATGTTTAGCAGGATCTCCGGCCTCTATGTGCTAGAAGACAATAGCGCCGCCCAGTTATGATGACCAAAAATGTCCCCAGACCCCCAGACATGGTCGCATGTCACCTGGCAGAGGCAGAACTGCCCCTCAGGAGGACCCCTGGGCTAGAGCTATGTCTGCTTGATGTTTTGTTCTGACTTTTTATAGCCTCATGGGACAGAACAGCTTTTCAAAATTTTATTGACCTTTTGTATTTTTTAATTTGAAATTGGTTTGGCATTTCCTTCACCCACAGTTCCTTTTGAATATTTACATATTTAGTGTTGAAGTATAAGAAATCCTTGTATATTCAAGAGAGGAAACAAAATAAGAGAGCGTTTAAGTTTGTGCTCAAGTCAGATAGCTTGAGTACAGATTCTAGCTTCACTTTTTATTAATTGCATGATAATTAACAAATTAGTTAGCATTTCTCTACCTTAGTTCCCTTATTTATAAGCTGGGAAATACCATAATACCCGACCTTACAGTGTTGGTGTGAAGATGTAGGAGCCCTTCGGCTTGTACCTGGCATATGGTAGAAGCTCTATATTTTAGATGTGATTATTTTTTAATGAACAAAATTGGATTATAATTCTTAATTTGTGAAACACTGCATCATTATTCGTCCATGTGTGACCCACTCTGCTTCGCTCATTCATATATGCACTCATACATTATTCTAAAAATATACAGTAAACACCTGTGCAGCCACCATACAGTTCAAGGACTAAGATATGAACAGTAGTCAACACCTACCTCTGTTCTCTTCCCACCCTCCACCCCAAATTTTGTATTGATTATTGTCTTAATTTCGTTGATGGTTTTCTGGGAAGTCCTTGCCCACAGAGCTGTTAGTGAGCTGTGTCTGTTGCTGTGTGTAGCCGTAGTTCATCCATTGTGCTATTGTGTTAGATTTATTTGCACGAATAGTGTACTTACATACTCACTTTTTGAGAAAGTGTCTCCAGTGTGTTCAGTCACAAGCTCTGCTGCAGTGACTTTCCTGGCACATGCCTCCCGGTGCAAGGGCGTGCACTCCTCTCCACGACACAGCTGGGGCGGAATCCCTGGCTCAAGGACTTTGTGACATTCAACTCTTTACAGAATCATGCCGGATTGTGTACCAATCCATTCTCCTGCCAGGATCGTATGAAAGATTCTCTTGATCTCCAGCCTCTTCAATACTCAGCATCATCAGATTTCTCCATTTTTGCTAATCAGTGGGTTATGAGATGGCAACTTATTGTGATCTGGATTTATATTTCCATGGTTATTGAGATTGATTGTCTATTTATATTTTTATTGGCCGTATGTGTTTCCTCTTCTGTGTAATATCCTCTCATAGTTTTTGCCTAATTCTTTCATTAATTATAGTTATATAAACCTTTCTATACCATGTTAGTTTTGATTTCTACACCATTTAGCATTTTATTTTTTACCTTGGACACTGTGTTTTTTAAAAAATTGGGTCCTTGACCACACCCTCTTCTGCCCTGTAGGTGATATTGTCATCCTTGCAAAGCCGCTTGTGGTGCCCAAAGGCGGCAGAGGTTTTTTGACGACCACCACTCTCCTCGCTGTGGACGGAACAGACAAGCCTGAGGAACTGCTCTTTGTCATCACCTCCCCACCGCAGTACGGCCAAGTGGAGTATGCCCACCATCCTGGAGTCCCCGTTACAAGCTTCAGCCAAATGGACCTAGCAGGGCAGACAGTCTGCTATGCACACAAGAGGAAGGCACCTGTCCCCAGGGACACATTCAGGTGAGCCCTCGGGAAATGTTTCCAAACCCCTTCCCTGAATTGGTGCTTAGAAAGACAAAAGGCGGGAAAAATGAATCCTTTCCAGCTCTGGTACATCTGCGTTCCTCTTCTACTGCCTCTCTGTGTAAGGGCGAAGGTGTCCCACTGAAGTGACAGCAGCAAGGCGAGAAATCGGGGCTTGTTTAAAAATAAACACATAAGCAGATTTAAATGCAAGCTGTTCTACAAGGGGGAACGTGAAGACCTGAGGATGCCGTCTAAGGGGAGACAGAAAAGGAATTCGCCACTTTTTTCAGTATGTTTTCCTATATGAGGAAAGGTATTTACTAGTAAACATTTGGCATAGGCAGATCCTGCCTGGTGACACAGTGTGTTGGGTGAACTGTGTCATAAATCACGCTGTCATACCGTGGGTCGCGTTTCCCCACAGAAGCAGTGTTGTAATTGGGGGCTGTGCACCTGTTCAAGGATTGTGTATCAAATAAATCATCGGGATGAATAACAATCTGGTGAAAAGGCAAAGATGCGACATTAATGAAAGTGTCTGTTCATTTAAAGCACTGAAATCTGTTTCCAGTCACATAAAGCAGGATAAACTCTAGAGTGTCTATCATCTAGCAGTTCTCAAAGCTGGCAGAGGCAAAGTCCTTGATAGAAATACATGTCTTCAGGGCTAGGATAAGAACCAAAAAGTCCCGGCCTAGCCTTTGGGGGAACTACCGTACACATCCAGCCGTGAGTTTTAGCAATTAAGAAGGAGGCCCTGAGAGCGGTGGTTCATCTGTCGTACGTGCAGGGATTCTGAGTGATTTTCACCATGTCAGAGTACAGCCTTCAAAGAGTGCTATCGAATAACATAAATGGAGTGTGCTTCTGTGTTCTTCAGTGCTTTTCCCACAAACTGGTAGAGTGTACCAACACACCCGGGTTCAAACACTACTCCCATACATTTTTTATCTATCTAAGTTCAAGATGTCTGCTGTGATCAACACTGTTCAAAGGTCAGTAAAATGATTTTTTCTTGCCTTTTTAGCATTTAGAATTAAGATTTTGGATCGTTGAACTGTTAAAACATCCAGGGAAGTTGGAACTCATACCCTTTTTTCTCTTGACAAATGTCCTTAACAAGCAGATAATCATTTGATAATCATTTAATTAATCAATATCTTCATAATGAATTCACTTTTTTAAAATATTTTATTTATTTATTCGAGAGAGGGGAAGGGAAGGAGAAAGAGTGGGTGTGTTTACGGCCGAATTCACTTTTGAATGTTGCTAGTCACCTACTAAATAAAACATGAGGCATGGGGATTCCTCTCGGCACTGGCTCTTCTGCCCGAGAGGCAGTGCGGTGTAACTGTGGCGGCGCAGGCCTGGGGGCAGGGGCGGCATCCACCCTGTGGATGCAGATAGAAAGCACAAAATAAGGATTAGCTGCTATTATTACTACTATCGTTGTTGTCATTTTTCATTCTGTTCTTTCCTTGGCTCCCTTTGACCTCCAGTTTTTATAACACCAGGCATAAACTTAGGGGAGGAAAGAAGTTACAACGAAGATTGTTCTCCCTGCCACCCGCACCCCCATAAGGGGAAGGAGTAGTTGCTCCTTGGTTTAATCCGTGTGTGTCAGCCTTGGCTCCTAATTTTATGCTTGTCTCTAGACCTCTGCTCTCATTTATTGCCACTCTGCACAGTCAATACTCACCAGAGAGCCTATTGAAGACATTAATAACTTTATTGATGAGTAAATACATAAAGATGTTCAAAAATGAATGTTAGGTATTAATCAGATGGTGGTGGTGAACTAAAAATGAAAAACAATATTTTCACATTGGGTGATACTGTAAAACTTTCCTAATTCACATCTATAGGAAGTCTTACTAGATGGTACTTTAGAAATTGTTTATCTCGGGAACCCCTAACTTTCTAGATTCACAGAGTTACCTGTGAGATTTATCAAAATAGAAATTCTTGGGCCTCACTGCAGAGAGGTGACTTTGGTAGGTCCTGTCTAAGGAATGTGTATTTTCACGAGCTCTCTAGGCGGGTCTAATGCAGTGGGGACTGGCGGGCAGCGACCAGCCCAGTCCACTGCTCTGAGTACTGTGTTCTGCGGTTTTAAGGATGCCCTCTCAGAGTTTTCCCAGAGGCAGAGAATGAAGGGGCTGAGTTGGTGGTGCCCTGGCCCCTCAACCCAACTTACTAATAGGGCTTTGTTTTGATTGTTTGATTTTTGGTTTGTTTTGTATATTGGACTTCTGTTTTTAAAGTATATTTTATCGATTATGCTATTATAGCTGTCCCAATTTCCCCCTCTGTCCGCCTTCTGCCCTGTACCCCCCAACCCTCCAGCATTCCCCCCACCTTAGTTCATATCTATGAACTAAGGAATGTGTATTTTCATGAGCTCTCACACAAAGAGTTGCACATGAGTTGCACACAAAAGTTTTTTGACTTCTTTGTTTCATGTGCCATTCTCAACCTCTCCCCTGTCTATTTTAGGACTACCAATTATGCTTCTTCTTCCCTGTACCTTCCCCCTCCCTCTTTCTCCCCTCCCCCTCCCCACTGAAAACCCTCCATGTGATGTCCATTTCTCTGATTCAGTTGCTGTTCTAGTTGTTTGCTTAGTTTTTGTTTTCATTTTTTCAAGTTCAGTTGTTGTTAGTTGTGTTTGTTGTCATTTTACTGTTCATAGTTTTTGATCATCTTCTGAGCAAGGTTTTCTTTGAGCAAAAATGCCATGGCCTTATTTCCCAAAGTGTTCTTTGTGCTGCCAGTGATAGAATAATGCAAAGTAAGACAGGCTGGTCCAGGAAGAAGAGGGGCCAGAGCGAGAAACTACTCCTTCTAGTTTTCTTCACGCTCTGGGTGGCTTCCAGAGGGAAGTCTCGGGCCTGGGCTAATCTGTCCTCAACAGCTTTTCAATATTTACTGTTTTCCCTTTTTAACAGAGAGAGCACAGGCCTCAGGCTCCAAGCTATTGGGCAACAATATCCAGCTAGAATTAAAAAAAAACCAATATTTTCTTATATGTATTTTTGCAGTATTTATGCTGATTAAGTTTTTAGTAGTTGAAATGTTTCCTTTTAAGTGCATTTATTTAAGTAAAAGAGTGAGTTAGTATGAAGCAAAGTATTAAGTAATAAGAGTACAGTTAATGTAAGAAAATGGTAAAGATTGTGAAGGTAATGCTGGAATGACTCAAGATTTGGCAACAGATCTATAGGGAGAAAATAAATAACAAGGGTTGAGAGCAGCGATTTCGTCCATTTATTTGCATGTGGGAAAGACAGTGTTGCTCCAACACCTGCAGTGCATCAGGCAATGTTCTAGACCCTTTCTGCACATCATTTCCTTATACTGCCACCTGGAGTGAGATGGTTTATTCCCATTTTATGCATGAGAAAACAGGGTCTATCAGGTGAAGCAAGTCACCTAACAGGAAATAACTGAGAATCAGGGCTGAATTGGGGCTGAGATTTCATTTTGGAGAGTTCTTTCCATTATACCTCATTGTACCAGTGATTTGTGGAAAATCTGCACATGTGCAAAGGAACTTCCTCACCGTGTCATTCTGATGTTTGGCCAGAAGTTTTGCATATTCATAATGGAAGAGCCCAGCATCTGCCTGAGACCCTCGTTCTAATCTCGTCACTCCCCAACCCAATCACGGACCGCTGTGCTGTTTGTCAGGTGGCGCGGAACCAGAGCTGAAAGCCCGTTTTAATGAAAGTGTGATCATTGTGCTTTTTAAAAATTAAATCTCTGCAACTGATCTAATCACCTAAATTTATGTTGCTTGCTGTTAAATCTGGCAAGAAATTTGGCTGGGTAGAAGAGATAAATTCTGTGGCAGAGGATTTTTCTCTCTCCTCTTTTCTAATGTAAGGTATGGCAGCATTAATTAAATGGGGTGAGGGGGGAGTTTAATGATCAGATTTTACCTTCTGCAGAAATATTTTGCGAATCATAAATTTCTCCAGCATTGTTTGGTGCTGCTGGCCTGGAAGAAAGATTTGGCAGCACATTCTAGGACAGATGACACCAAGTGATTAGCAAGCTGACTTCAGCTCCTGGCAGGCGTGCACTAAAAGAACATGCTAATATCCCCCATTTTGACATGCCGGCTGGACTTTTTTTTTCCCCCTGAGGAACTGGCTCTATTTATGATTCCATTTTTATCCTGTAAATGCCATGACAGATGGCAGATTCTTCAGCCAGCTCTATTGCCAGGAAATGCAGAAAGCTTGAAAGCACCATGGTAATGGTGAAATCAGACCAGGCAGGCACCCAGGCAAATCTGAGAGTCATTTCCCAAATTTTATGAGAACAATGGTCATCTTGGCTGTCTTTTTTCAGGGAAGTGTAATAAAGGAAATTAAACAAAATAGACCCACAGAAGGAGCTGCTACCTTGATACCACCGACTTCCTAACCTTGGGACGGGTGCCATTATAGCAATGGCATTGTTGTTTTAAAAGTTGAGGATATGTTTGGAGGGTTTCTTTGGGGGGAGCCAGGGGAGCCTTTGGGAAATTATCTGGTTAGCCTTTGCAGACGTGAACAGCGCCGACCTTGTCGCATTTGTTCTGCTAGGCTGGCTTTGTCTGGAAGCCAACCATGACCATTTGTCCTGTCTGTCTGTCTGTCTGTCTGTCTCTCTCTCTCTGATAGTGTTTCTCTGCCTGTGAGTAGTTTGCATTGTTCCTCATGAAAGTGAATGATGTGTTTGATCAAATCATGTTTAGAAATTGCATCCTTTTCACCACTGGCTTATTAGCTTTAGGTTGGTTCAGACAGCTGTCTCGGTGTCCCAGCTGGGAACACTGGCCTCAGTAAACATATTTCTTTCTCCTCTATGGCCCCTGCCCAGCTCGCCCTCAGTCCCATCTGTTTCTGTCAGGCAGCCCATTTCCAATGTGGTCAGATCACCAACATCAGGTGGAGAGGAGTGTAAGACCAATGCCTGTATCCTAAGACAACTTCACAACAGGTCACACACTCATAGGTAAATACAGCCATCCTGAGGCTGAGCTATGCAGACTGGTCGGGTGTTGTCACAACTCAGTCTCCAGAGAGAACAGTCAGAATCAGATCAGCAGCGTGGCTACCTTTGGCTGAGCCCCGGCAGTGACTGGAGCACCCACTTACCTCCTGGCTCCTGAACCCTGCTCCCACCTGCTTTCCCCTTCCTTCTCTGCAGGTATTTGACAGGGTTTAATGGGGCACGAAGTCTTTAATCCCACAATTAATGCTAGTACTGAAAATATGTGCCCCTTGGCTTAAATTTGTGCTCAACTATAAATGACTGGCATAAAGTTCTCTGCAAGAGCACTTTTGATATAGAAACCTGGTAGGGAATGGAGAACCACTTTATTTGTGAAGGAGGGTAAAGTGGGAGGCATGAAACAAGTTTCTGGGTGGGTAAAGTGGAAAAGGGGGCAATTGGAAGCATTGGGAGAACACCTAGTCTCCTCCTGGTTTTACCTCGAGTCAGATGATAGGCTCCCAGGATGACATGTGAGAAAGTAACAGGAAAGAACAGAATGAAGTCATAATTCCGTGGACAGCTTTCCCTGAGGAATAGACCATGGTCTGTAAACCTGTCACTTGATCTTCGACATGGTCAAGGAGACTAAGAAGTAAAAAGTTGAACACAGGTATTTTTTCTGGGTGTGTTTTTTATTGACTTTTTAAAAAGAACTGATTTTGTAAATACTTCATGATCCAGCAATAAAATGACCCCATTTGTTTAGAAAATATTTATCAAAAACTCAGCTTTACAAAAGGAAAATTGATGGTTTTATTTTAAGGAAGCAAGGTGATTTTGCTCAATCTACAATTCCAAAGTTAATTCAATCCCCTTATTCACACTGTAAAATAATACTGTGGGGAAAAAAATAACAGAGTATACTCTTTACAAGTCTGGGTGTGTGAAATGTTGAGGTTGGCTTTGTTTATTATATTTCTCCTAGCATTTTAAACTTTTTGGACATAGATTACTTTATTTTCCTTGTAGGCAGTCTTATCAACTGGATAATTAAAAAAGCTCCAAAATTCTAGCCCAGCCTCCAAAGCAAAATCTAGGTCAGCCAAACTCATCTCTCTTCACTTTTGGTCCAGCTGCTCATCCCCCCAGCCCTGTGCCTCGGGTGCGCTGCACCTCCTTGTGCTCACACAGCCTGGCTCCAGGTTTCTTCATGTTCAAGAGCACAGCAACAACCCTCAGACCTTGAAGGGCAAAACATGTTTTGCAAAGAATACAAAAGTTGTTAGTTAAACTTGTCAGATTAGTAAAACACATATAAGCCCCATTTCTTCTCTAGTTAAAAAAAGAACCTCCAGGGCGGGGGGCAGGTGGAAGAAGGTAAAGGGGAAGATAAATGGTGACAGAAGGAGACTTGACTTTGGGTGGTGAACACACAATACAACATACAGATGATGGATCATAGAAGGGCACACTTGAAACCTATGCAATTTTATTAATCAGTGTCACCCCAATAGATCCAGTACAAATGAAAATAAATAAGTAAAATAAAATTAACCAAAAAAAATCAAAGAACCTTCAGAGAAAATTCTTATATATGTAATGTTATAGTCAGCTAAAATTATTTTTAGAGGTTTTTACACTTATGAAATCTAAGAGTGTGTACCCCATGAATATTTCTAGCAACTACAGCACATAGAGAGAACCTGATAGACACGACTTCATGATTATTTTCAAGTTTGGGGGGCCTATTGTGAATTTGTCAATCACATTTTGAGAGTAGTGACTTTCTAACTTGTTTGAGTTTTAATAGTGCATTTTGTTTGCTTAATTTCATGATATTCTCAATTCCCCTTAAAATACAAATTACACATTGAAATTTTCTAAAGATCATTTAAATTAGTTTTATTTTGAGATTTGCAGTGGTGGGTGTAATGGGATTTGTGATCAGTATAATCAGAAGCACATGCTGGTATCCCAAACTCAAGACTGTGAGAGAGATTTTATTTATCTTGAATTTTTATCATTTCAGCTTTCTCTTTACAACTCTGCAGCGGTGCGCAGATACCTACTCTGGCCCCGTGGTTTGCCAAACCAGCATTTGTGAATAACTCTGCAAGGGCAGGAGGTGTGGGCTCAGACACCCAAGTTTTAGTCCCACTTCTGCCTCCCACTTGCCTTAGGATCTCCACCACATTTCTGAACCTTTCTGCTATAATTTTCTTTTTTTTTTTAAAGCAGGGAAGTAATGTTTGCTTTAAAGGAAATAAGGATTACTTGTCTATCATAACTCCCACATTCCCTGTAAGAAGCAAATATATTTCAGAAGCACAAGAAAAAGTAAGCGAGCGGAGCATCGCATGATATTTCCCAGCTGGGTGGTATATAGTGATCATTCGGTCCATCTTTCACTTTGCAGAAGGTGGAAATGAAGCCCAGGAAGGAAAGATGAGTTAGACGTGATCACATGGCTAAGTAGTGTGACCTCAGAAAATATCCCACAAATATATACAGCGAATTAGCCAAATTCAGCTGACTCAGCCCTTGATTGAATTGGCCTCCAATGATCAGTATTAAAAGCTTACCTTATTCCACAAAGAGAATACAGTTGCAAATGTGTAACTATATAAAATGAGTGATCTCTTCAAACTCATGCAGTGGGTCTAATTGGGCGTGAAATTCCCACGTGGGGCAAGGCACTATGCCGAGCCCCGACACACCAGAGAAATGTCACTGGGCGCACTTGCCTGCTCCTCCACGAGAGTCTACCATCAGTGTTAGTGGGAACATCTTTTAGGCATGGAATGGGCAATTTGTGTGTTACCCAGTGACGTCTTTAACAGAACGGTGTGCTCCTGAAAGACTGCCCTTGATTTTTCATTTGAACCCAAACAACATATCCTCTAGTAAAGGTGTGTGTTGTTATCATTTCATTCCAGTAGATGGTGACACCAGAATCCATGCTGAAGGCTGCCTTGCCTCTCTTTGCCAGATTCATTGTCAGCAACGGACTGCAGACCAAGCACGGGGTGTTTGAGATCCTGCTAGAAACTGTGGACAGAGCCTTACCCGTGGTGACCAGGAACAAGGGGTTGAGACTGGCCGAAGGGGCCACGGGCCTGCTTTCCCCTGACCTGCTGCAGCTGACCGACCCTGACACTGCCGCGGAGAACCTCACCTTCCTTCTGGCCCAGCTCCCACAGCGTGGCCAGCTCTACCTGCGGGGGGCAGTGCTGCTCCGACACAACTTCACGCAGCGGGACGTAGACAGCAGGAGTGTGGCCTACAGGCACTCGGGAGGGGACTCCCAGGCCGACTGCTTTACTTTTGTGGCCACAGACGGGTCGAACCAAGGCTTCGTTGTGGATGGGAGAGTGTGGCAAGAACCCGTTTCATTCACCATCCAGGCAAGTATGAGAAATGCACAGTTCTTTGCCACCGATGTGCAGAAAATAACTTTAAGGAAAACTATTTTCTTTTTTCCTTCGAACATGTACTCTGTGTCTACAGTGTGCTTGGCACCGAGCAAGGCGCCAGGCATATCAGCGTGAATGAAACAGATGTGGTCCCTGTGTACAGGTGATGATCGACCTTAAGAGGCAGCGGTAGGTAATATAGGAAGGAACAAAAAACACAGGCCTTGGAGTCTGACACACCTGGGCTGGCACTTCTGCTTTGCCATTGATTAGCTGTGTGACCTTGGGAGTGTTCTTTTACTCTCCTGATGCTACTGTTCCTCTTTGTGTTGTGGTGAGAATGAAACGAGAGTAGGTATTCGCTGCACCAGCGTATTGCCTGAGACGTATTAGATTTTCAATATCTAATATAATATTGATACATATCTATTTATATCTAACATTATAACTACTGTTATAATATTTAACTATACTAGTATGATGATGCTTACTGGTCCATGTCACTTACTGTCATTTTAATGGTTTTGAACTAGACATATGGAAACCAACAAGGCAGCGTCAGTGCTCCATGGGTAGTAACAATGAGGGTGATATTCACAGCAGCTGTGGTTTTTCTGGACAATAAATGTAGGTCAGACCCACTTTACATATCTTCTTTAATTCTCATTAAAAAAATCCTCTGAGGAATATGTTATCTCCATACAATAGATGTTCAGGAGTTAAGTAATTTCTTGAAATATACATAAAACCCTCAAATCTTTCTGTCCCCAAAACTGGTGTCCTTTCTACAGCCCTGTACTGCCACATTTGTGTTGACTATGGTGATGATTCTAGGAGGGCATAATGTGTTTTCCATTTTTCAGTCAAAACACATCAAGCGTGTCTGGCTGTCAAAGCCTCAGATCCACTCTTCTTGGACATGGTCCACCCTGTTCTACACACTTCCATCAGCAGCAAGAAAGATGTATCTGCCTCTTACTTCAGAATACCTTCTGATTATGCATAATAATCATAATTTCCCCTTGCTTTTCTCTTTAGTCTCTGTACTAGTCAGGATTCTCCAGGGAAGCAGAACCAATAGGATATATATATATATAGAGAGAGAGAGAAAGAGAGAGAGAGATTTATTTTCAGGATTGGCTCACACATGTCACATGGGTCTCACATGTCTAAAATCTGCAGGGCAGACCGACAGCATAGAAACTCCAGCAGGAGTTGGTGTTGCAGTCTGGAGTCCAAAGGCAGACCTGGGGGTAAAATTTCTCCTCTTCAAGGGACTTCAGTCTCTTACGGTCTTCCACCAACTGGATGAGGCCCACCCACATTCTAGTGGGTGGTCTGTCTTACTCAGAGTCTACTGATGTAAGTGTAGTCACACCTGAAAAATATCCCCTCAGCAACACCTAGACTGGTGTTTCACCAAGCAGCTGGGTGTCAGAGCTCAGCTACATTGACACATAAAATGAAATATCATCGTCTCTCTGTAGCTGGGATCTGAGTAGAAGTGTGGAAAGTCCTGAGCACATAGAGTGGGTGCCGGAGAAGTCTTTGGCACTAAGGCAGTCCAGCAAATGTCATGAAATTGTGATGCATTGGGAGAGGAGAGAGGGTATTGATGTCATTGGCACAGTATACAAGTGCTTTGTGCGTAGTAAAATTATTGTTTTACTGCTTATTCTATTTTTATTGTTATTAGTTTCATCTCACTCTTCAGTCGATTGCAATTTTTTTTATGGACTTTTGACTCCCCACACTAGGTAGAAAAATGTCACTGTATTCTCCAACCAGAAATAATGTTCTGAGTCTGTTGGCAGCAAATTTGTAGCATTTGTCAATTCTGCATGTGAGCATAGGAGTTCCTCTGCTCTCCGGAGCACAGAAGGAAAGCAGGTAGAGTTTGAAGAAAGTACTAGCTCAGGTCTCTTGCAATACCAATACTCATCTTAAAGAGTATGGTTACCATGAGAGAATTATCTTTTGGAAGTTTCAAAATTTAGTGATAGGAAAATGTTGGATACATGATATAAAATTTCTTTCTCATCAACAGCAGAAGGTTTCACCCTGGCTGGTGTGGCTCAGTGGATTGAACACTGGCCTGCCAACTGAAAAGCTGCTGGTTCGATTCTTAGTCAGGGCACATGCCTGGGTTGTGGGCCAGGTCCCCAGTTGGTGGTGTACAAGAGGCAACTGATGGATATATCTCTCACATATTGATGTTTCTCTCCCTCTCTTTCTCCCCCCCTTCCCCTCTCTGTACAAGTAAATAAATAAAACCTTTTTTTTTAAAAGTACAAGGTTTGAGCAAGGAATGTAAAGGAAAGAATAAACAAATGGGATCTCATCAAAATAAAAAGCTTCTGCGTGGCTAAAGAAAACAGTAATAAATTAGCAAGACAACCAACTGTATGGGAAAACATATTTGCCAATGATACCTCAGACAAAGGTTTAATCTCCAAAATATACAAAGAACTTACATGACTCCACTCTAAGAAGACATCTAACCCAATTAAAAAATGGGAAAAGGACTTGAACAGACACTTCTCCAAGGAGGACATACAGAACATTCAGAGACACATGAAGAGATGCTCAATATCGTTAGCTATCAGAGAGATGCAAATTAAAACCACAATGAGATACCACTTTACACCAGTCAGGATGGCTATCATAAACAAAGCAACAAACAACAAATGTTGGAGAGGTTGTGGGGAAAAGGGGTCCTTAGTTCACTGTTGGTGGGATTGCAGACTGGTACAACCATTATGGAAAACAGTATGGAATTTTCTCAGAAAAATAAAAATCGACCTGCCTTTTGACCCAGCAATTCCACTGCTGGGATTATATCCTAAGAATCCTAAAACATCAATCTCAAAGAACCTATGCACCACAATGTTCATAGCAGCACAATTTACAATAGCCAAGAGTTGGAAGCAACCTAGATGCCCATCAGTAAATGAATGGATCAAAAATTGTGGTGCATATACACAATGGAATTCTATGCAGCAGAGAGAAAGAAGGAGCTACTACCCTTTGCAACAGCATGGATGGAACTGGAAAGCACTATGCTGAGTGAAATAGGCCAGGTGCTGAAAGACAAATACCAGATGATCTCACCTCTAACAGGAAGCTAAACAGCAAAACAAACAAGCAAGCAGAAAAAAAAACAAAGACACTGAAATAGAGAACAAGGGGATAGTAACCAGAGGGGAGAAGGAAGGGAAGTTAAGGGGAAAAAGGGGGAGGGATTTGGAGGAACAAATAGGTAGGACACAGGGACGAGAACTAAGGGGGATGGGAGTGGGAGGGAGGTGGGGAGCAAGGGGTGGGGGAGGCTGGGATGGGAAAAATAGACAAAAAACTCTACTGGAAAAATAACTAAATAAAATTAATTAATTAAAAAAAAAAGTACAAGGTTTTCCTTGCCCCTTTCCCCGAAATCATTATGTGTAAAAACCTCACAAAGAAAGCCTCAAACTTTCTCCCATAATTCCTCTGAATTCTCTGGTCTCTGAGCAGAGAGGTCAGGCAGTTTGGGAAGTGACTAACCTCCTTCCCCAAGCAGTGCAGGAGAAGTGACCCCATCATTCTCTTGCCTTCAAGAGCTTTTTCTGGCAAGACAATATGATATCGTCAACTACTGAGTGATGAATTGGCCCAACTAAGTCACCGGTGTGCTATTCTGATGGTCCTGAACTCAGAAACCGGGGGCAAAGCTACTAGATTTAAGCACAAAACTTAAGTGCATTTTACTGACACCACATGTGCTAATCTGACATTCATTTTGTAGGAAACCGTGTCTGTCTGACCAAGATGCTGCAGTCTTGCTGCAGGGATTTCTGTAATGTCCCCTGTGAGGGGACAGGGCTGGAGGTGAGGGAGAAAGGACCAGCATCACTGCTCTCCGTGGTCTAGGCACATCAGAAGATTTTCAATAAATCCAACACAAATCATCATAAGGGTATATAGCTGTCACCATTGTCTCTCCTCCTCCTCCTTCTTCACCTCCACCTCCATCTCCTCTTCCTAAATGAATCATTGTGGTATTAAATCACTATGCTTTGGAGTCATTTCTTACACAGCAACAGGTAACTGATACATCTTTCCTCCATGAAAGCCTTACTTTCCTTCATCCTTCCTAAATCCCTGCTGCTCTTCAGGATTATTATTTCCTTTATAAAACCTCCTCTGAATATTCCAGGTCAAGGTCTTCCTCCTATTCTTGTGCAAAACTGTCCAATACATGATTCCTTAAAATAGTAATTATATGTTTTTGAATTTATGTTTTCAAATTTCATATGTTTTATGTTTTTAAATTTCTTTGCCTATGTTAACAATATTTTGCTCTATGGCCTTTCATGAAGATAACCTTCTTTAAAAATGTTTTATACTCTAATATTTTTAAAATGCTTTTGGTATACTGAGACAGAAGACTTGCTTTTGAAGAATCTAGAAATTTAACAAGGCTAGGGTGCATTTTAGCACAAACATGACCAAAGACACAACAGGGGACCATATAGCCAGAGTTTAGATACTAACATTTTTAAGAAATAACTGATCACAAAAGGAATTCATTCCTCTTGTAACACTTTTGTTTTCAAGAAAAACAACATTTTTAAAAAACCTGCTGCACTCAGCTATTTATCAACTTTAAGAATTTCTTCCATGGTGTGAAATATTCTTATTTTTCTCTCCTGACATTGACCACCACCCCCTACTGGCCCCCATGGCTGTGAGATCTTCCCCCTGAAAGGCCCCGAACAGTAGGTAACCCCCCACCTCCCTCCCAACTGCACAGCTTTGAGTTTTCCACCCATACTTTTCAGGGAAGGAGAATGGCTAACTTTTGGAAATGTTTTACTGCTTTTCAACTTATAAAATACTCATTTTGAAGAATTCATAAACTACAGAGAAGGCTAAGGAAAATATCCTTCACAATCATACCAAAGATAACTATTGTTGGCTGACTTCCTTCCATTCTTTTATTCTGTGCAATTAAAAATGGCACAATATTACACGTCCCATTATGTATATTGCCTATTTCCACTGTTCATTATGTTATGAATTTTGTTTCATGTCGTAAATCTTTCTTGAAAACATGATTTTTAAAGGCCACATAGCATTCAGTCTCAGGTAGAGATGTCTTATAAATCCCCTGTTAGACTTTTATGTTTTCTGGAATTTTGTTAATTGCTGTTATAAATTATATTTTTGTGAACATACAGGGGTGGACAAAAGAGGTTTACAGTTCCTATGGAAAAAGCCACACAGGTTCTGATTATTCCAATAGCTTTATTAACTCAAGAGAATTTCACAGTGCAACTGTCAACCTTTGCTCACCCCATACATGCGTTTTTATGTACATGTCTAATTATTTAAAAAGCGAAAGTGTTAGATTCAAGTATGCGCACATTTTAGTATTTACATATGAGTCAAATTTCTGTTCAGAAAATTTTCATTAATTTGTGCTCCTGTCAGCAAAATAGAAAATACCTCTTCTAAGTATTCTCCAACATGATTTATGGTTCTTTCAAAAAAGATTTAATTAAAGTGTAGTTGGCATACAATGTGATACAAGTTTCAGGTTTACAACATAGCAATTCAACATTTATATACCTTACCCAGTGATCACCACAAAAAGTCCAGTAACCATCTGCCAGTGTATAAAGTTATTATAGTGTTGTCGGCTATATTTCCTAAGCCGTACTCCCCTGCGACTTATTTATTTTACAACCGGAAGTTTGTACCTCTCTGTCCCCTTCACCGTTTTTGCCCATCCCCCACTGCCCTCCTTCTGGCTACCATTCGTTTGTTCTCTGCATCTACGAATCTACTGATATTTTGTTTTGATTATTCGTCTTGTTTTTTATTTTTAGATTCTATGTATGAGTGAGTTCATATGGTATTTGTCTTTCTCTGTCTAAATTATTTTACTTATCATAATTCTTTCTAGGTCCATTCATGTTGTCGAAAATGGCAAGATTTTATTTTTTTATGACTGAGTTATATTTTATATACACCACCTCTTCTTTTCTTTCATCTGTCAGTGGACAGCTAGGTTGCTTCCATACCCGGTTATTGTAAATAATGCTGGGTTAGACACGAGGGTGCGTGTGTCTTCTCAAAGAGTGGTTTTGTTGTCTTCAGATTAAATTCCCAGAAATAGAATTGCTGGGTTATGCATATTTCATTTTTGAGTAAAGGAAGTTAAGAATTGAATGATTAGGAGTAAGGGGGACAGAGAGAGTGTTCCTGTCCCTGTTTGCTAGTGTCAGTGGTGAATTGTGCTAATTGGTCTCCACCTGCTCCATCCCTAACACACAGCAGTCATTTGCAAGATGGACTGACCTCCATCTCACATTTGCACGAGGCCCTCCGTAGTGTTCGAACCCGTATGCCTCCATCATTCATAGTGATTGCTCATCCACCATCTTCACAAATTGAGTTCACCTGTTTAGGTACCTGGCTCTCCTCCTTAATGAAACACTTATACAATGCCTATAAATAATGACCTCTCACTTTTTCTTACTGAGATATTTCTATTTCTATTGAACATTTTTGCTCTCTGAACAAAGATATAGCAAAAAAAAATGTACAATGCATTTGTAAACCTTTATAACTGTATTTCTATAAATCACCAAACATTGAAAAAATGGAGGAATCTTTCTGTGGAGCTAACATTATGTTTATAATACAATTCTTTGGTCAATCTTAATATAGTCATTCAATAAATATTTCTTGAGCCTTTGTTATGGTTTAAGCACTGTGCCAGGTGTAAGGAATACATGGGGGGAGCTTAAATCCTAATGGTGGAGTCAGACAAATAAATAAAGCTGGGTCCAAGTCTCCAATGGAAAGTCCACCTCTGTTCCAGGCACTACGATATTTGCTGAGGACATCGTGAACAAGGTAGTTTTTTAGCAGAAATTAACAAAAGAGGAGGATAAAGAATCTGAATGAAATCCATGGATGTTTTTTGGTGTTAACCATTAAGACCCCGTGGGAATGAGAAGCTTTCATTTAAACTTGTATGCAATTATCTACAATTTAGGTGGACCAACTGGACCAAACAGCACCCCATATCACACACTTGCATCCCCCTTCCCAAGTGGGACTCCTGAAAAATGGCTGCTATGGGATTTACATCACCTCCCGGGTGCTGAAAGCATCGGACCCTGACACCGAGGATGATCAGATTATCTTCAAGATTTTGCGTGGCCCCCAGCACGGACACCTGGAGAACACGACAACAGGTACTGCCTTCCTTCATCCTGTAATTGCTCATTTTAAAATATGCAGTGGCTGGCAACACTAGAAGGCAATTTAATTAAGTGCAGGCCCATTTGGTAAACACTCCCCAGGGCTTACTGATAGATGCAGTTTACAAATCAATATTAGTGCAAAAGAGAGTTTGAAGCTGAACTTTCTTAAATTCATCTTAGTGGGAGAACCAAATACTGATCATTTCCTTCCATGTTGTTGTTGTTTACTTAAAAATAAAACCAGCAAGACTGTAATATATTCAGAGGAACAGTCAGTGTCCGGGCAAAATTTATATTTGTGACTAACTTTTTTCCCACCACAACATGAGCTTTAAATGATGTCCATTTAATTTTAAAATTCTGGGTTTGTTTTATTTTTCAGTGTAGTGGTTTATCTGGATTGTATATTACTTTTGCTTTATGAAAATGGTAGTCAAAATATATCACTAAAAAGGACAGTACATCCCTGGCCAAGTGGCTCAGTTGGAGCATCGTCCTGACTGTGCACCAGAAGGGCAGGGGTTTGATCTCCACTCAGGGCACACGCCGAGGTGGCCGGTTCCATCGCTGGCTGGAGTGTGGATGGGAGGCAACCAGTCGATGTTTCTCTCTTTCCCCCTTCCTCTTTCTTTAAAATCAATAAACATATTTTAAAAAATTTTTTTAAAAGAGGATGGCACAGAATTACAGATTTTATTACTGTATCATCCTTGTCTACCTTCATCTTTGTGTTTTTCCTAGGGCACAATATTTTTGAGGCAAAGTAAACTTTAAAGACTAATTTAAGTTCATTGCACCTGAGTTTTAAGGTAGTTGCAATAATGTTAATTTCTTTTAAAAATATACCTCAGAGATTTTTTAAGCTGATATTTAAAAGAAAATAGCTATACAGTTTTGTTAGCTCTTATTTACTATTCTTTGGGTTACTCACTAAATTCATTTATTTCTTTTTTTGTAGGTGAATTTATCCAGGAGAAATTTAGCCAAAAGGACTTACACAGTAAGACCATTCTTTACGTCATAAACCCATCTTTGGAATTTAATGCAGATAACGTGGAATTTCAAATCATGGACCCCACAGGGAACTCTGCCACTCCTGAAATGTAAATTTTTTTTTTGCTTATTTAGTAGTCCTGCAAGTAATGTTCAGAATGTATCTGATTAGGGAAATGAAATGGTGTTTTTTGAACAGAATCTAAGAGGATAAACTGATAGACTCTTTCACAAGCTCATGAAATATATTTTGGAGAGCGATTATTCTTTCTACGACTGCTTGTTAGGAATAGCTTTCCGGAGTATGAAAACATTAAAGAACTCAGCACTGGGTTGTATAGCGCTGGGTCATTCAATTTATGCATGTAAACACCTACGCTTTCACATCCGGACGGTCTCTGTCCTGACGGTTCACCGGCATCCGGGCCGGAGGCCGCAGGCTCGTGTACTAATCATGCAGCCAGAGGTCACTGTAGGACCGCGTCAGTAACCAGTCTCCTCCAGTATCTGGAGCCGGGGGAAGAAGGTAGCTAGGAAGGGCTGACCAAACAGCTCTGCGCCTCCAAAGAGTCAACGGCAAACATGATTACTTGAAATGGCCTTTACAAGGTAACAAACCTGTCATAGGTAAGATGAAGACAGTATAAAGCAGAAAATAGACTTGGGGGTATGCTGGGTGGCGTGTACAACCCTCAGAATAACAAGAGTAACAAGTCCTCAAAATGAACAAGATTAACAGAGCACGGTAATTTCATTCACTGGATCCCTATTCTAGACTTTTCTTGAAGGTAGACCTTGAATAACTTACCATTTAGCAGAGGACTGTAGAAGGATGTATGATAGTCCAGTGCTGTTTTTCCTTTCTTTTTGAATTTGATACCCTTGCCCAGTAACCTCAAAGAAAAGTTGGTATTAACCATATCCCAGTAAAACTATGCATCGCAAGTGAGTACAGCCTCTTCATTGGATTTTTATGACAGTACATGGACAAAGAAAATAAAGATTCGCCCCCCACCCTTCATTCTTGCTTTTTTTCTGACCCTGATCGCAGTTCCAATACTTACCAGCAGAGGTCTCTGTAGTCATTGTTAAAAAAAAAAAAAAACTGGCATCCTTGTAACAAAACACATTCCCAGGGTTCTTACCTTCATTGCTCTGGTAAAGCGTAGTATCTGGCTCAGATTTATTAACTCCACAGATTTTTATTTACTGTCCATAGGTTCACAGTAATAGAAACTGGTAAATAGTAATGAGGAAGAAAGGCCTCACCCTTGATATTTAAATATAATCAAGAAGTTATAAAATTCAAACAGATGACCACCACCTGTTAAACCGCTGTGGCCTAAAAGAAATGATTCATTAGGATTTCCTTTACAGAAACTATATTAACTGCTTGCAATTTAGACAATCACCTTATAACTCAAGAAAATGTAAAACCAAGGAATCCTGCTCCGCAAACATTAATAAAGTGTGACTTCACTTGCTTTTTAATAGTTCAATTCAAAAATACAAGAATACCAATCAGACTTGCTACTGCGGGTGTGGTCCCCCACATGGGAACGTAGCATAGCTGATGAGATTTCACCCACCAACAGTGCTGGATCAACGTTGCTTCACTCACATGCCCTTTGTAATGCTTCCTCGTCACAAAGAACATTGCTTTGGATGATGATTTGTGTTTTTAAATAATCCTCTGATTTACAGAAGAATCACAGAAGAAATGATAACCTTAACTGAGGCCGTTTTAAATGGGCCCCTGCTTGTGTCTTATGTTCATTTCCGTATACCTAGGCTGAAGATGTTTCTAATCAGCTGAAGATGAAGATTGGAACCAATGGAACAAAGTGATGCTGACTGAGGGTTAATCTAAAAATAATTTTAATTTAATTCTGACCAATATTAAGTTATTTTCTTCAGAATGGGCAAGGGGGAGGCGGAAACTACTCAGCATTTTATGTCCATAATTCTTGAATGGTACAGTTGTCTCCAGCCTTATTTATTAGATGTTTTTGGAACAGGAAGCACGTTTTTTTCAGTAAGAAATAATCTTATCAGCAATGCGTTGTTGTCCCAACACAGCCAGCAAGAATCTAGTTACTGTATAATGTAAATCACAGGCCTTTGCACTATAATTGTTTTCTGCCCTATTTCATTGCCCTTCATGTAATCATCACAGTGACCTGTGCATTAGGTACCATCATAATAAAGGATTTACACATAAGGAAACTGAAGCCAGAAAATAGGATGGGATTTTCCCAGGCTTATGCAGCTAATTAGTGAAGGAGCTGGGGCCTGGGGCCAGGAAGTATAGCTCTCGAGTCTACGGTTTCCTCACTGTGTGGAAGGACTTCTTGCCCACTCTCATCACAGCATGCGAACTGGCCTAACGGGAAGGCAGCTGCAGGCTTATCTCCCTCCTTTTTCTCCAGTCACTGACCACGCAGGCAGCAAGAAAGGAGGCATTCTCATTCTTCAGGAACCTTAAGTTTTAGTTGTTTTTTTTTTTTAACTGTTAGTTATAGCCCTGGCTGGTGTGGCTCAGTGAATTGAATGCTGGCGTGTGAACCGAAGGGTCACTGCTTCGATTGCCAGTCAGGGCACATGCCTGAGTTGTGGGCCAGGTCCCCAGTAGGGGGCACGTGAGAGGCAACCGCACAGTGCTGTTTCTCTTTTTCTCTTCCTATCCCCTCTCTCTATAAATAAATTAATTAATTAATTAAAAGATGTAAGTTATGGATATTAGTATCAGCATCATTCCATGTCTTAGGGCCAAAGACTTAGGGCCAAAGAACAGGGTTTGGGCTTTGACTCTGCCATTGACTTAGGTGAGTGTTCAAGCCTTAGTTATCTCATCTTTCAAATGGGGACAATGGCAAAATTTGTTTAGAGAAGCAAATGAAGTAAAGCATATGAAAGCATCTTGTATATTTGCAGTCCTTAACAAGTTTAACTTGTAGTAATGATTACTATCGTTGTTCATTCATGTGGGTGCAAGGACTGACTGTTTGAAAGTATTACAGAGACACTGGGTGGCCAGTTACAGCCCACCCGTAGTTGGAAATTGATGCTGGGATGATCTACAAAGTGAACAATACATATACTCATTAATCAATAAGCTGAATGCTGTACAACTTTTAGGTGTGTTCTTTGGCTTAGACAAGATTAATAGATCAGAATTCTGCATATTTGAAGGCGTGAAAACCTCCTGTAATAAAAGGGGCTCCTTTAAAAAATGTGAAGAACCTATGTTCAGCGGGAAGGTCCCAGGATGTTCATGGCTAGTACGTGTTTGCTGTTGCAGCAGTTCTAAGGAATACCCGTCCTGATGAGTCAGATGGATATTCCATTAACAAAGGTGTTAGGAAAGGTGCTTTAGACTAAACTAATGAAGTTATTGCTAACTGGCTAGCTTGTGTGCTGCTTAACTGCATCACATCCTAGAATCATAGAGATGCTTGTGTGGACTGGCGATCCTGGGAGCGGAATGCAGAACGCAGCTCATGTGAACTCGATGTGACCTCCCTTCAACTCCCTCACCCTCCACAGCAGCTCCTCGAACAAGTTTTTCATGGAATACATTGGGGATTCATTTTCTCAGGAATAGAAATAATTTTATATCACTTAAATCCATGGAGATTTGCATTAAGATTTAGACATGGCTAAATGCCTGAATTTCAGGTACCGTGCTAGGTACTTTCACATACCTTGTCTAATTCAATCAACAAAGCACAATCCTTAGAGGGTGATAAAAAAAAATTAGACAAAGTGTTTAAGTAATCGCCCTGAAGTCACTTAAATGGATGAGTGGCTGAGCCAAAGGGGACCCCAGACCTCCTGACCTTCCAGTGCGGGCTCATCTTACTCCTCTTACTATAGGGGCCCAGGCCTCGGGCGTGACTCAGTCACAGGCTCATCTGTTCTCACTCCAACTTGAATCTGAGGATGATCTTCAGAATTCTCAAGCTAAGCTACTGAGGACCCACATCATTCACCAAAAACACCTTTGAAAACCACAAAATGTAGCCAACTTTTGACCAGTTTCTTAATATATCCTCCACATTGACCTCTTTCTTGTGTGCAGTGACAAGTGAACTTCAAAAGGAAAGCGGACCCATCCTGAAGTTCTTCACAGGGCAGAGGCTGCTTCTGCCGCTACAGTGTGAGCGCAGGCCCTGAGCGCGCAGATTCCTCCCCTCCCCTGCTGCCAGCACTCTAGCTGTTCTGTTATTCATTCTGGGCCTTAAAAAGAGAAGGAACAAAAGGAATAGAAAGAAAAGGAATGTCTAACAGGTGAACTTTGCAATGGTTTGGCAGCTTTTATGAAACACCTTGCAGGGGAAGAGGTTGAAGCAATTGACTGGGTGAAGCTCTCATGCTGGTAGCAAGCCAGAAGTTGGAGTTATTTCCAGCTTCGATCTAGGAAGGCACAGAGGAAGGAAAGGGAAGTAGCACTTATTAAGCACCCACTGTGTACAGGTGCTTTATACATATTAACAAATTTTAATTTTCATCATTTGACATGAGTACAATTCTCCTCCTTGTAAAGATAACGAAAACTGAGGCCCAGAGAGACTGAGTAACTGACCATAATCACACACTAACAAGATGTGCCCGACTCCACAGCGCTGGTGGCGTGCTCACCACGCTGCCTCCCCGCTGACGGCCATTTCCCTGTTGCCATGAGAAAAAGACAAAAATGAAAACACAGGTGTTCATAGCATTCGATTACAGAGCTTAATAGCATCCTCTTTGAACTGATAAATCTTAGATTGACTACTTGGAAAAATATTTTTTAACATCCCACTTTTCTTAAGTCATATGCTACTTGATTATAGATGAAGATCTCATTATAAGAATAATTTCATCACAATTTTAGCTTCTATGAAACCTTTCACTGAGGAGCTAAGGATACTTAATGGGTATTCATTAAGGTTCATTTAACTCCTTTGAAGTACAGACTCATGATCATTACACTTAGGGATGGGAGGCAACCGAGGCACAGAGCAGTGAAGGACCTTTTTCACACACTCTTGTTAACCTGGATTAAGGTCCCAAATCCAAAACTGGAGTTTTTTTCATAAATGTTTCTTCAACTTTATGGCTCCTTCATAAAAATGAATCAAGTAGCCACAGCATGAAATATCAGAAAGCGTATACTTAGGCCTCTGCCTCCACATTATTGATATTTTGTGCCAGGTGATTCTTTGTTGTGGGCTGGGCAGTGGGCACGGCGGGGCCTTTGGCAACGGCCCAGGCCCCTGCCCCCAGTGCCACTGTTACCCTCCTCCTCCCACGTGGTAATCCAGGCTCTCTCCAGACATCGCCAAATGTTGGAAACCATGCGCACGCTTTAGAAAATGGCATGCGTGTGTTGAGAAATCATACTGTGTGTAGAATGCTCCTTTATCAATGTCATTTTTCTCTCTAATAAAGCCCAATGATAGGCAAATAAGTCAGGGCTAGAAGGAGCATGTGAGGCTCATACTAACCTCGCATTTTTTTCAAATTGTGTGAAATCTGATTTTCATAGGGCAGTGGAGAAAAAACACTTTGGTGTTCAACTGAGCTTAGGAAACAGACAGCTAAAGAAGATTCATTTAACAAATATTTATTGAGCACTTACTATATCCTACTCACTCTACAAAGGGATTGGAAATACATCAGTGAACCGTCCGTTTTGATTTGGAGCACACAGTATCTAAGTAAAGCAAATAGTATGTTTAAAAAGTATGTGATACATACTTTGCAAAATGAGAAAGTTGGTCAGGATAAGGGCAATCACAACTGCTGGACTTGGGGGGCGGATTGTGGTTTTAAATTGAGTGTTTAAACAGCTTTTCTTGTGCTTGACTTAGAGTCCCCGCGTGGCAGAGGGACCAGAAGCCTCCTAACTTCTAATTCAATTTAATCTCTATTACTTCATCCTGTGTGTTTTGGGGAACCAAAATTGTGTTTTCACATTAAGTCAAATGTTCTATTATGAAGATTGCCCCCAGATCACTTAGAGAAATTTTTCTCACCTGGGGATGACTTCCCCCAAGGAGCAAGTGGGTTGGAAATGTTTGGAAAGACCTTGTGAGTGACTGAGAGGGGCGGGGCCACCGCCGTCAGTGGGTGGAGCCCCGGGAGGCAGCTACGCAATTTACAGGGCACTGCGTAGCCTCCCACAACCAAGCCGTATCTGGTTCCGAATGCTGACAGTGTCAAGGTTGAGAAAGCCTGGCTGAGGGGCTAACCAAGTTCTCGCCTCCCGCTAAATGACTCGAAACGATCACCATATGGGTTTTGCACAAAGTGCGTCCTGAAACTTCACCTCTAGTCTTAGAACGTGCTTTCCTTAATGGTAATAGTGGAAGGTAGGGATCATTAATATCTGCAGGTTTGAACCAACCCTTGTCTGCATGACACCCACACATCCAGAGCTTTCCAAATTCCTCTCACAGGCTCCTGCATTTAGTTACCTCCATGATGTCAAGCATGCAGCTGTATGGCTTCTAGTAGGGAGAATTTCCAAGGGATTGACTACACCTCTTACGTTTCTTCCAGGTGTTTGTGTAGAGTTTAAGCACCCATAGTCTCTGTGCAGAAAAGTCTTCTCAAATGCAGCACTGCAGACAACAACAGCAACATCGAGCACATGTGTTGCGCTTATCCCGCAGGCATACAAGTGCTTTGCAGTTCAAATATTTTTCTGGACGTTGGTGAATTTCTGCTTGTCATGGTTCGCATTAGCAATGGATAAGTTCTCAGGAGATTGGACATTGTAACTTACTTGCAACTTATTGAAACTTAGCTGAGATTCATCCATATTTATCTATTTCACATGTTCCCATTGCTTTCCTCTCTTTCCTGTTTCATATTTTTGTCTTTTTCCCCAATCTCTTTTGCTGATTTTCTTTCTCCTTTAGTTGGATCCTTTTGGGATTCTTTGCAACATGTTATTTAGAATAATAACATAATTAATTAGAATAACAATAAAATGTTATTTCTGTTGGCATTTATAATATCTTTGTTACTTGTTACCTTGTGCTTTTTAAAGCATAGTCATTTATTTCTTTATTTCTTGATCAGTTTCAAGCCAGGTTTAAATTCAGGTACATTAAGCACTCATGAGGTTTCTAATACTATTTAATGTAAGGGTCTTGTTTTTATGTCCCGATTTTATGGAGCCCAGCTTGCTAGTAGCAATAAATTCACATCTATTGGTAAATAAACACATATGGTCACAGGAACTCCCGAACCTCTGAAATAATTCCACACTCCCACACTTGCCCCACTGGCCCAGAGTTGCTGGAGCAGGAGACAGGGCTAGTGAGTCTATTGTGCTAGTAAACTTTATAGGATGCAACTGTGACCCATGACTGGTGTAAGAACATGGTGTGGTTAGGAGAGAGTGACATCCTTGCTGGCATAAATGGTGCCCAGGAAACCCTGGAAGCTGTGGGACTTGAGAACTCCGTACTTCCCACGGGGGCACCCAGAATTTCTAATTCTGCAAGAAAAAATATTTAAGAAATATTGAATCCAAAGGAAAGAGTATGAATCCAATTGGAAGTTTGAAAATATGGTACAGCAACCACTGTGGGTTTTGTAGAGTGAAGGAAAATGCATGAAAGAAAACCATGGATGTGAGGTAGACCGTCCTGGTGAAGGGTGCGTGTGTCCTTGCACATGGCTGAACCTTACAGGGGTAAAAAACATGGAAAACATGTTTGGATGGAAATGTTTGGGGAAAATAATTCAACTTTTCTAACCTCACAAAGGGAACAATTTTGGGATAAAGATAAAATCGTATTTTTCTGCTTGAGCTCAAACACAAGAGTCATAAACTCCAAATGGGAAGAAGGACAGTAGAGGAGGAATAAGCCTTTGGCCTCAGACGTGTGCTGGAAATGTCGTCTCTGCTATCTGTTAGCTTTGCCATAGCTTTTTGTCTCCGAACTAGTTATTTAATCTCTCTTAGGCTCAGTTTTCTTTTCTGAAAAAACAAAAAGGCTCTCTCCCTGTGAAGGTTAGAGAACATGGTCTCCACCAAATGGTGGGCTCTCTGAAGATGTGGTGGGGAAAGGGGCGGCACTGTGCTAGATTCTTCAGTGGTGCGGCTGCTTCTGAGGCGCAGGTTAGTACAGCCCTTGTGTGGGCACAGGAGAAGGGACAGATGATGCTTATAGAACACCTACACATTTTAATTCATAGGCACAGCCTAAAAAATAATGTGTTATCTAATGGAACCCAAGTTCAGGAGAGATCTGGGTCGAGAACAGTTCCTGGTGTACTGATGAAGAAGGCCAAAATTTTGAGGAACAAGTATGAAAGACACAGGGATGAGGACTGGGGGAGGGGAAATTGGAGGGAGGGGGGAGACAGGGCGGGGGGTGGGATGGGAGAAATAGATTAAAAAATGTACTTGAAAAGTAACTAAATAAAATTTATTATATATATATATATATAAAAGAAGGCCAGAAGATAAGAGAGAAGGTTTTCTCTCAGCGTCCTTTCCAAAAGTGACTGTCTCCTTGAGCTTCACCTCTGCTGTTCCCTCTCCCTTCGGAACACTCAAGTTTTGGCCTTTTTTTTCCCTTTTGGTCATTAATCATGTAGGAACTCTTAACAGTCTTCTAACCTTAGTGTCTGCATATGTAAAATAGAATTCTAATCATTTCTCTGCCTACTTCATGGTGTTGTGGTAAGAGAGAGTTCAGTGAGATAATGTCAGTACAGGTGCTTTGTGAACTGAAATGCAGCGAACAAGTGGAAGGGTTTCTAGTGCTGGTGTAGGTTGATGAAGCACGTTCGTGTCCGCCAGGTACACCAGCGTGTGGAGCAGGGGTTCGGTCTCCTACCCAGCAGAGGGCCCCTAGAGACATGTGTGTGCATTTCTTATGATTTTCCCTTTTCTTTTTCTCTCATGCACAGTCTGGAACTGAAGTGGTCTCATATTGAGTGGTCGCAGACTGAATATGAGGTCTGTGAGAACGTGGGCACGTTGCCCTTGGAAATCACCAGGAGGGGCTACTCCATGGACTCGGCCTTTGTGAGTGTAAAGGTAACAACTCCAAAATGGAAACCGTCGAGCTACAACTTAGGTTGCTGGTTGGTGCCTTTGATAATGTTTTTAGAACCAATCCGACTGACCAAGGAAATTTAAAATCGCGGGTGTGCCACACTAATCTGGAGATCCTAGGTATGAGATCGTCTTGTCCCTCCACCCTGTATCTAGCTCCCTTAGCTCCTGGATGTGGTATTTCTAACCCTTTTTAGTTTTTAAGCCTGGTTATTAATTATTGAAGTTTGATTTCATGGGGAGATATATCCGACCTAGTGAACTTGGGCCACACTGTGTTTTGGAAAGAAACGCTGTAGGCAGGACATTCTGTGAGGTCCCCAGAGCAAATTTCAGTCCCCAAATGGCCTCCTTTTAGTATGTACCAGATCACCTCCTCTGGTCTCAGTAGATCAGGCAAATCAAGGGACAAACCTATCTTAAGAGTCCCCAAGTCATGCAAAATTAAGAGCATATTTCAATACAGGCACCCTGCAATACAAGGAATTTTCCATAATCACTTTGGGATTAGTCAACTTGCTATTCCTTTCTATTGACATGGCTTCTAGAATTCAAGGCTTTTTTTTTTTCTAGGAGTTACTATCATAATAGCACTTTAAGAGAATGAAAGCATGAAAAGCTCTTTATGTACTAAAGACAGCAAAAAAGCATTAAGAACCCCCTCCTCAATGTAATGAAAGGGACCCTGGTATTAGGTTCTAGGCATGTCAGTTAAGTCTCAATTACAATAATAAATTCAAATCATCCTCAGAACCTTGTGCACCTAATTCTATCATATCAAGACTCAGTGATTATCTTTCCAGTAGACACAGGTACTTTGCTCCAAATTTGTGGGTGCTTTATTGTTAAAACATTAAACAATGCAGTATGCCTTACAGCTTTCTGGCAGATTGTTTATGGGAAAAGACAGAATCTGCCTGGGTGGCTTTTTCATAGTCCTTTGGTCCTCTGTTAAAAGCACCATATGCTCAAGTCTGGAGTTTTGGGCCACACTACCATTCACCTTGCCAGGCAGAAAGAACATAGGTGGTGTGACATGGAACCTTTTGTCTCCTTAAGTTGAATGCACACCGTGAACCAGCCAGCTGAATGTGCAGACTTTCATCAAACACAAGCCTGAGTCCTGCAGGGACAACTCTGTCCACAGCACACAGCCTGCTGATTCATGCCAGAGCTTACTGGCTCATTGACTGGGTGTAGGGAAAGAGAAAGCATGTTACCTGTGTCGTTTGCCTGGGTTTGCATCCTGCACTTTCACCGGACTGAATTCTCCAACCACCTTGCCTCAGCCCATTTCTTTTCCCACGTAGGATCCTGTAAACTCAGTGGCAGTAAATACCAGGTAATTGCACGTGCAAGAACCATGCCGGGCTGTGTAACTCCGGCATATGGTGGCTACAGGTGTATGCTGGGCTGCCTTTCCATGATGAAAGATTCTTCAGGAGGAGCCTTGGCATTGTAGGCAAAAAGCAAATGGGATTTTAGGAGGTAATACCCTTCTTGAGCAAACTGTTCCCCCTGCAGACCCCTTGGCAGATGGCAGAGCCTTTGATCAGAATTGGAGATAATGTCTGAGGCCATAAAAATACGAATTTTAGCATTCTTAATCACACATTTCATTCCTTTGTAAGAAAGGGAAGAAATATATTAACTCACTTTCCCGACCATCTTAAATACCTAAGAAAAGTCCAAAAGTAACAGCTGCCTGTGCTTTGCACGGGGTTCTCATGTGATGCCCTCTTTTTCAGGCAAGGACACTGTTCTTAATATACACATATTTAGGCTATCTCTGGGGGAAGTTAAGGTCATGGCTCTAGAATGTTTAGATCACCTCTGGTTTTTGGCCCTAGGAATAAGGAACAGAGGATCAGTCAACAGCCTCTTTAAACTAGAGCAAGTTGGGGGGTTTTGCAACTCACTTGATAGAGCCTCCGGATTCTGGGTGTGGGTTGCTTTTGTGGGTTGCTCACCAGGTCTGTCATTCCCGCGAAGTCTTCATTCGTGTCTGTGAAGAGGGAGGATTTCATTCAGACAGGAAAAGGATGCAGACTTGCTTCAACTTGTGTAGTCTAAAGACCTTCAGGGCCTCGGAGCTGGAGGAGGCCTCCGAGCTGGCCGACCAATCAGCGCGGAGGTTGTCAGAGTGCCTGCGTTTCTTCTCCTCTTCACTCCTCCGTTGCCCTTTCTCTTAGTCATTATCTTACTACTTTTTAACAGATTCTAGTTATTTATTTTAGATGGAGGGGAAAGAAGGGAGAGAGAGAGGGAGATAAACGTCAATGTGTGGTTGCCTCTCATGCGCCCCCAACTGGGGACCTGGTCTGCAACCCAGGCATGTGCCCCCTCACTGGGAATCCGACTGGTGACACTTCGGTTCACAGGCTGGCTCTCGATCCACCAAGCACACGAGCCAGGGCTTTGGGGCATTATTTTAGAAAAAGGCTGGGATAAAGGGAAGGTAATGAAATAAAACCTTACTTGTAACAAAGAGAAAAATATTGTTTCAAATTCATGTTACGTTCTCTAATAACTGAATGATGTACAAAGAAGAAGCCAAAAAAAGTTTTACTTCCATTGATAGTAGTTTTAAAAATGTTAACTTTAAGGGAGATCCATGTAGTTCAGATCAAACATGGTTTATTATAATAAAAAAACATGTTATGTGAAAAATAGATTTTAAGAGAGTTTAGTATAAGACTAGACTAGGTTTCTGTGTTATAGAATATTTATTTTCATTAAAAAAGGCATTTTTTTCCTTTTAAGGTCAACCAACTGTCAGCTACAATTGGAAAAGATTTTACCATGACTCCATCTAAACTGATTCAGTTTGACCCAGGTATGCTTGGTGTCTGCAGTTCATTTCGTGTCCTTGTGGGAATGTCTGGGGATTTTGGAGAGGACGGAACATTATGCAGCTTCAGCCCACTAGATGCGCTCAGGGAACTGTATCGCCCCACTCTGATAGACATTGGTTTGGACTTGAGGTTTTGCCCTTCATATTTTATTTTATTACAAGTGAATATTTATTCAAAATGAGGTCATAACAAATGAAAATATGAAGTATCAAAGCAAACATCCAGAAATCCAGGAAAAAATGATGTCATTTTACAAATGATTAGAAACTAAAATAATTTAAAAGTTTGCCTCATATTTTGATGGACCATTTTCAGAATGTTATAGTGACATGGATTCTAAAAGAAATTTCTTAATTATTTCTGTTAAAATAGGTTGATATGAGGAGATTCCAGGGGAAATTGTTGTTTAATTAGATAGCATATAATTTCTATTCAATTTGTGAAAAAATTTGCTAGGTGCAAAAGGAAACACCAAAATATGGTGCCAGCTCTCAAGGATGTTCTGTCAGGTGGGAAATACCGACATGAAAACAACTTACTAACAGCACATTGGGACCCAAAGGATGAGCCATTGTTCTGGCTAAAGACCATCCTGGAAGATTTCCCAGAATCCTCAGCAGGTAGAAGAAGAAGGGGACTTTCAGTTGAAAGACAGATGGACCCACTTTGGGAACTGTGCTTAAAGCACTGAGGCTGGAGCCGTGCCTTCTTTCCCTGGCTTCTGACAGTGGGGGCAGGTAGTTGTCACTAACTGCTCAGCGTGGTTCTCCCTCCTTCCTTCTGCTCTGGATCACCTGTCCAGGGGCAAATGGAAAAGGCCTTGAGAAGCAGCTGGGACCTAAAGCTTTGTGGTCCCCTGCAGAGCAGGTGTTGTGTGCTCTAAGAACACACCATCAAGTCCAAACTCTTGCTGTATGGCAAAGGCAAAACAAAATGGCTGAAAGACCACCAACCCTCCAAAACTGACAACTTCAATGTTAAACATAGAAAAGAAATGCATTTCTGCTGTGCATCACAGGTGGCATGATGTTTGAGCACTATTTGTGTGCTGGGACCGCCCTAACAAAGAATCATAAACCAGGTAGCTTAAAAACAGAAATTTACTTTCTCCCAGTTCTGAAAACCGGAAGTTCAAAATCAGCGTTTTGGCAGGTGGACTCCTTCTCAGGGCTGTGAGGGAAAATGTGCTCTCTGCCTCTCGTCTGCTCTCTGGTGGCGTGCTAAAATCTTTGGTGTTCCTTGGCTTCTATTGTCTTCATGTCCACATCGGCATTTTTCCTGGAGGTGTGTCTCTGCTCAAATTTCCCCTTTTTGTAAGACCATTTTATTTTCAAATAAGGTCACATTCTGAGATACTGGGAATCAAAATTTCAATATACAAACTTTCGAGTGACAAAATTCAACCTATCACAATAAGGCTTAAATTTACATTGCAGAAAACCAAATACTGTTGTTGGCTTCCTTCCTGTGATGTGTTTCTGATTTGCGTTAAGTTTATTCCTTAGGCTGAGCACACTTTGTGAGAGACGTATTCCCGTTATGTACTTATTGTTTGTCTTCAGGTCGCAGAAGTCTCTTACGTTCTGGTCAAGGGCAATACCCCCTTTTCATACTTCACATTAAGGCACTTGCCACCTTTCCACTTTTTGAGAGCTGAGGGTCTTTGTCATATGTCATCTTTATTATTTGAGGCCCATTTGTTACAAGATTAAGAGTGGTTTGGCTTTCAGTAGACTTGAGCAGCTTACCAGATGCTCTGTGTGGATTATAGAAACTAGAATGTATCACACTAGAGGGATCTCTGAAAGCGACTTCTTAGAGATTCCACTGGATAAGATAAATACCCATTTGTCTGGAAGAGTTTATGTGATGTTTTGAGGAGATACTAATGACTTCTAGGGACTCTAAATGATCATGATTTTAGAGATTATTTAGACTTGTCAAGAAAAAGAAATAAACATCTTATAAATGAAAATGAAACAACACTTGGTTGTTCATTGTTTAGGAACTTACTAGTCAGACACAGTGTCATAAACTGAAGTCTTGCTTTAGAGACTTTTTTAAGTTTGCCATGTCCACAGATCCTGTAAGTATTTATTTACTCCCATTTGTTAACCCTTGCCTCTTTTGGATCTGGTGTGTCCATCCTCACACCCACACCTTTTGCCCATGCAATCTGTCCATTTCTTTAAAAACAGCAGTTTCCACGATTGGAGAAGAAACAGAGAGTGAGAAATCAAAGATGGTGGGGGGTTATGAGGTTACAGAGTTCTTGGGAGGCAGCTGGAGAGAAACTGAGCGACTTCATGCTAGTGAGCTACACTCAAGGAAGCTTGCAGTGCCTTGCCGACATTGTACCGAGCCAAAAACTGACCTGGACTGCTTTGCAGTCAGCTTTTGTGTGTAATGGGAGTCAAAGTGTAGATATTCATAATGCAGTGATTGCTTTTCTTTAAAATGTGTTCTTGAATGGTTTTCTGCATTCTTAATGGAAACACTATCATTCCTAAGAGTCAAAAGGTTTTCCAAAGGACCAGATCTCTAAGGTGGCATTCACTGAGAAACATCAAGAAAATGTCATTCAATGGTAAAATCTGCTTTGTAGGAAAACATCCAGGAATGACCTACCCTGTAAAGTGGGATACGTCTGCATAAGATGACACCTCCTTCTCTGCTTCCACGCCTTTTGTTTTTTGAGAACAGGAGGCCAGGTCAGGCCTTCTGCAATTGCTTATAATCTCAGTACTTTGACAAATACTTTTCACCTTGAAAGTGGGAAAGGAAGGAAAAAGAAACAAACAAGTTCTTAATTCCAATCTCATTAACCTAAAAAGTGGGCCCTATGTGCACACCTGGTAGGCATAGAAACAAAGTTGAAATACAGGCAAACACATCAGAAGCATGTAAATGAAAATTGGAACAGTTTCTCTCTAACCACCTGGTTCTACTCCATTAAAAAAAAATCTTAAAATAAGAGAGGCTTTGGTTAGGCTTGGGAAGATATATATAGTTTGTATTGGATTTTTACTTGAATAATGATTGACTCTATGAGCTTTGAGAGTCAAAACAGTTCTCTGAATAGTAAAAATCTTAGTGTTCATATGTTTTCTGCCTTGTCCAGCCTCTCACTGCCCTAGGCCCATTTCATCACAATGGTTGCCTATGTGGTCTCCCATCTTCTAGCCTCTCTGCCCAAGCCCCTAAATCTACCCACATAGTAATTTTAGTTTCATTTTTTTCAAGACATCCATTTTCAAGAGCCTTCCCGGTTGCTGTGGTTTCAGGTCTGAATGTGGACACCCAGTCAGTGTCCAGCAGTCTCACTAAAAACTGCTACTGCAGCCTTATCACCCCATTCACTCGCCAGCCACCCTGCTCAGCTTTCCCTGATCAAGGCCACTCACTGCCTTGCTGTCTTCCTGCCTTTGCATCTGCTGTCCTCCCATGTCTTCCCTCCAAACCCTGCCACCTCTGGGGCCCACATACATATAGGACTGACCGCCTATTCTGTATCTTTCAGCAGCTAATCATACATAGCCTTGAATAATTGATTTTCCTCGTGCTTATATCTTATCTCTTCAAAGAGATTTTAAATTCCTTTATGTCAGGCTTGCTTATTTTATACCTCTTGTATTCTCCATAGCATCTAAAGCAAAGGTAAGTACATAATGGACACAAAGTAAAAATATTTTGATGGATTGATTTATTTATCCACGTGGTGGGACTTATATAATATTTTCTGTTAGATACTTCAAGTTCTATTTTTGCAAACTATGAAAGTAATTGATTTAAGAACTCAGTGGATATTGAAAGCCTAAGAAATTAGCTGTCAGCCTATTTTTGGAAAATAAAATGATTCCAAATACACTTACTTTTTTTCCTTTTAAGTGCAGCCAAGGGTAGGATAAGTGAACAGTTTCATCTTTCCACTGGATTTGACTGGGTGTGGATTAGGCTTGGATTAGACACAAAGTCTGTATTGACCTGCCATCAAGAAGGAGGCCATCACGTGGACAGCACAACCAAGAAGCAAAAATATGTAGAAAACAATCTGCAAGGAGAAAAGTACTCAGATTTTCAGGGGGCTAGAAATAAAATGTTTAAGTGTTTACGCAGATGAATGCATGGGGATAAAAGCACTTAAATAGCTCTTAAAAGAAGTAAATTATAGGATTTTTAAAACTTAGTCCTAAAAGGTTAAACCGTAAGTTTATTATCCTTTCTCCCCTTAAATTTGATCCTTTTTCCTCCACTAAACAATGCTTTCCTTTCTTCTTGCCACCACTTTCCTTCTAAATAAACTCAGGAGGATGTCCTGGCATCCACGTCATGGAAACTGGTCAGGATTGGACAACATCAGAGGTTCCTTCCAGCTTTAATATTTTGTGTTTGGATGTTGCTTCGCCTCCCATCTTCGTGCCGATAGGATAGGCTGGGGATATGTTCGAAACATCAAAACTGTTTAGTATTAGGTTCACAAAGTGACATAAACCAAGCCTGATTGTAACTCCATCAGCAGAGGCAGACAGAAAGAAAACAACAATGATAACAAATCAGCTCAGTCTATTTCTGGAACTCCCAGCCCGTAAGTTCTCTCTAGGGGGATATCAAACTACTGACTATTACATCATCAGCAAAAGCGTTTGCAGGCTAGAAAAGATCTCAGGAAGTGGGGCAGCCAATGGAGGCAGCTGTCTCTAGAAATCAATCATTTCAAGGGTTCCACGAATAGCATGAAGTATCATCCAGTAATCACTTCTGTCTGTACCAGCATCGTAAGAGTTTTGAAACTAGTACACTTTTAAGATTGCAGTTCTTGTTTACTCTTCAGTAGAGAAGGGGCAGGTTGGGAAAAAAATTAAACCTTGGATCTCATCTACTAACCATTTTTTTGTTCATCCCTTGCAAAATGCAGCTTACTTTTTGTTACAGTGCATGCATTTAAATGAAATCATTGTCCAGGAACAAATGTGGTCTTTTAATATTATTTGGGAGAACAGCAGGACCTCAGTGAGTCGGTAGCAGTACAATAGCTCACTCAGGCTACTGCAGTCAAGCTGTAGACATGTTAATTAATATATTTCTCTGACACCTAGGTGATTGAAATAGCAATTAAAGAGTAATTAAAATGTTTACTTCTTGTAGGAATGTCAACTAAGATGTGGAATATAGCAATTACCTATGACGGATTAGAGGAGGATGATGAGGCCTTTGAAGTAATTCTGAACTCCCCGGTGAACGCAGTTCTTGGCACAAAGACAAAAGCTGCAGTGAAAATTTTGGACTCAAAAGGAGGTATTCTTTTGATCCTCATCTTGAAATCAGAAGCGGTCCTAGTGCTGTAGCTGCTTGCTTTCAACAGCCAATGTGCTTGATAATGCCTTCACATCAAAATGCTTAATTTCTTGTCAAGAAAGCAACCTCGTCACGATGTAGGCCCTTTATTCTGGTTTCTGCTTCACGCGGTTTTCCTCCCGCTAAGAACTGTCCTTTCAGAAAAGCAACAAGTCAGTGGCGCAGTTAGTTTTTTTCCTACCCGTTTGTTGTTCTCACCAAGGGGGAAACAATGTTGGTGAGAATCTATGGACAATTATTTTCCCCCAGAGTCTGCAGGGCTGTAATTATCTTCCTCTGTTAAAGAGCTCTTCATGCCTAAAATCTGAGCCCCCACTGGAGTGTTTTTAGACCAGGAAAGGTCTAAAAAAGGAAGGAATGGGAGAAAAAAAGATGTGAACGAGGGAGCTGGCTTGGGGATTCAGGAGCAGCTGGAGAACATTAATGAATAACTTTGGGCTGCAGGGCCCAATGGGTCCTGGACAGTATATGCTAAGGAACAACCTGTGAACCAAGTGAAACAAAGACCAGCCAAAGTCTTTGGTGCTCTTGATTTTTCTCCTGCCAAATGCCTTCTTATTTGTCCATTTAACATTTGACGACTGTTCAGTTAGCATGCTAGCTCTTAATCTGCTGTTTTTATAACTGCCATGCCTGATGGTTCGTATGTTTTCTTTCTTTGAAATCTATTATCTCCTCTTTCTCATCCTATAATAAAATAGATACTAACGTCTTTCTTTTATAGTACTCATATTTCCACAACATTTCGCCCCCCCTCCTTTCCCCACCAAGTTTATTTCCTTTTCAGTAGCATTTGCTGGTCACATTAAGTGTATGAACTAAATGAAGTACACACTTTAAAATTGAAGTATAAAGTACCCAGATGTGAGTGCTGGGTTTGAATTCTTTTCATGCTAATCGACAGTGTTTCCAGTAGAGGTAGCTCCATTAAGGTTTACTGGATCTTTGCTCTGCAGCAGTTGAATGCTAAATTTTATAGTGGTTACTTGATTTCACCGACATCTACAAACAATTCCAGTTTCTATCTCGAGGAGACTGAGGAAAGGATGATCACTGGGAAGTGGTACCTGACCAGGGACTGAGCCTGGTATATTGAGGAGCATTATAACAGGAACAGCAGTGAGGCTGTTGTGGCATAAGTGTGATGTGCAATCATGACAATGGTTCTTGTTCGTGGTCTGTGAAATCAGTTTCATGACTGTAGATGTGCAGAAGGGCACAGCTTTGTGCAGTGGAAACTGCTGAAGAGTAAAGGAGTTTCTGGCAAATGGCTAAAAGGCAACATCTGGTGGGAAAACCATTTGTCTAAGTTTCATGACAAGCTGCTGCAGGGGCTGTGTTGATGTCAGCACTTATCTGTTAGTGTAAAATGCAGGGACTGACCTGCCATCTTGCATGCCTCCAGGACAGTGCCGTCGTCCACATTCCTTCAACCCCAGCAAGCACAGAGCTCGGAAGAAGGGCATTTGGCACCCGCTGTCCCTAGGGTCTTCCTTCCCCACCATTTCTGGTTCCTTTCGTCTGGAAAGAAGACCTGTTCCATCTTCCAAGAGGCCTTCAGTCACCAGGGCAGACACCCCACGGGGTCTTGATTCTACAGATCTTTATGGAATGAAGCTTAGGACCCGAGGGAATGGCAAAACAGTAAGGATGGGGACTGCCTGGGATTTGGTGTGTGGAGTACCTATTAAAAGAATCAAAAGATATTAATGAGTATTCCTAAGCACTGAAGAAACCGTTTTGATTTTTATAGTGAGTAGGGGCCATAGTTCCTTGCACAATCATGCAGTGCCTTTTGTATGCAGGTATCATAATGCTGTCTCACTTCACTAGTTGTACTAATTGAGGTGATAGATACGCTGACTCACCCATATAATTTCAGCTTTGGTTCCTCTTGTAATCAAGACAGAGAGGGAATGATCTGTGACCCTGGAATAGAATGAGATTAAGTAAGCTACCTACTTGGGTGTGGAGACCATGGCTTTGACTGCATTAACAGAGCATTCTAACCTGGCACACACTCATGAGTGTATATGTTTGTGTTTTTGGACTGGTGTGCTCTCTAGGTGTACCAGCAGAATAAGGGTATCTTTTCTCCCTACCTGGGGCTACGAATGTGTGAGTCAACATTGATAAGCTATGATGGGTGCAGTGTTTTTTAAAATTGCAATGATTTGGACAAAAAAATCTTGAGAAACACATTAAAAAATTTTTAATATTAACAAGATCTTACTGGAAAAGTTTTAACCTACTGCTAATTATTATTGAAGCCAGTTTTGTTCATATTTTGCTCATATTTTTGATTTCAGGTTTATCCATCCTCTGTTTATAGAAATGGAGCAGACATCATCTATAAAGTAAGCATAGTCTGAGAGAATTGCTACTTTTCTTGTGTTCATGGATGCAAAGCAGTGAATCAATTTTTTATATCTTTTATAAATTTCTGTTCTGAAATTTGTTTTAGAGGCTTGGGTGATCAGAAAAAACAAAACCTTTTTGTTTTTATCCAGTTTTTCAGGCACTCATTTTTACAACAAATGTTTTTGTTTTCTATCTTGGTGTTTGGTTTTTCTTTATTGTTGTTTATTGATTTCCTCAGTATCACGGAATGGTTTCCCTGCAACTGGAGGATGACAGGTCCCCAGTGCACAGAAGGAGGACCAAAGCGTCCCTCACGAGTCAGCCACAGATGGCAATCAAAGGGGTAGCACTGCCTCAGGCAGATAAGGTGGAATCCACAACCAACTCACACTTCCCCAGACAGGTAGGAAAACATTTTTACTTCCTTTTCACCTTGCAACAAGCTGTTTCCTGAGCCATAACACAGCTTTCAAGCTTGGGGATCGTTTACTCAGCACAAATGATGCTCATCAAATGAGTACGCCAAGTGGGGGTGTGATCAATGTACATTAAATGGTCCTTTGTTTCCCACAGAGCCATGTGTCCTCATTTCCAAAGAACTGCACCCTGGAACTGAAGGGACTCTTCCATTTCGAAGAAAGCCTCCAAAAGCTGTATAAGTGTGATGGGGTGGCCTGGACAGCTTGGAGCCCCCAAACCAAGGTGGGACACAGGCTGAGCAGCCAGGTACCTTTACTGGCAGTGAACCTTGTGTTAAGGTTAGAAGGAGGCAACGTCCCGTCAACTCATGTGATGTCTGCCTGCTCTTATTACACTTTGAAGGAGAAACGAAGAACAGTGGCCCGAGTGGCACTTCAGAAGTCACAATATACATTAGTTATATTAATACAGTTCTGGAATTTAAGAAAAAGAGAATACATTTGTTATATCAATACAGTTTAAGAAGCATTTGTTTAATGATCAGGATGTCAAAGGTATAAAATTGAAACTGCTAACTTTAGTAGAGTTTTCTGTAAGAAGCCATTGAGTTTCTGAAGGTGGAGAGTTGAGATTGGGGCTGACCTCCTTTCTGGTGACAGGACTACTCTGTTCAGTTTAAGGGATTCCTAGGACTCTTTATGCTGAGAACAGACTCCAGATTGTAAAGACCATTATGACGTGAAATCTGCCAACTGTTTTTCAGGAGGCGGAAGACAAGTCCTGTCCGGCCGGGTGGCACCGTCACTCTGGCTACTGCCACTCCTTGATCACAGAACAGAAAGGCACATGGGACACAGCTGCCAGAGCTTGCAGGGAACAGTAAGAGACCTTGTTTCACATTTCACTGGGCTTTCTTCTGGTGCCCTCTTGTTTAATCATGGAACTATTATAGGGCTGCTTCATTCAATCAATTGTTGAGTGTCTAACACCTACCTACCTGGCTTTGTTTTAAGAACCCAGAGAGAGTTCTGTAGTTCAGGATGGGTTTGAGGCTGACCTTTGATTTAGCTTTTTTATGGTAAAAATGTATCACTGCCACATTTCTATTCTCAATCTTCTCTATCTCCATCTTTTGGAGAAAGTCAGAAAGAGCTTTTCTGAGTTAGCAGCATTGTAGGTTCTAGCATAATTTTTATTAATAAAAATTACTGCTTGTTGATTTAAAAAACATGTAAGCAATGAGGGGTTGTTTAATTTCATACCTATGACAATGCAAGGAACATTGATGGTTATGAAACAAGGTAGACAAAGGGTCATTGGGTAATAGAACACTCAAAGAAGGGTGACTTGTGGTCAAATAATGACAACAAATTTTATGTAGTTAAGAAGGACTTTAAAAATTGTAAGTATCCCTGACCCTCCTTTTTTGCCTACCTGGATATTATCCAAAACAATATAATTAGACTAATTTGCCCGATGGCTGGACATTGAGACCAGAGAAGTCCCTTCTGGGTGCCCACTAGATCTGGCATGTTATCAAATTTAAAAAGTTATGCTCTCTAAAAACACTGATAAAAAGTAATGATCGGGCAAGCCATACTTGGAAAAAGCTAATCTCAAGTGTATATCTGATGAAGATCTCTTGATAATACAAACTCCTACAATTCAGGTGCAAAAAAGGCAACCTGCTTTAAGAAAAATGACTTGGAGATTTCACAAGAGAAAATGTACAGTTGGTCATTAGGTACTTGAAAAAAGTGCTCACCACCACTGGACATTGGGAAAATGTAGATAAAAATTATAATAAAATACCACTTCACACCCATTAGAAGAGCTAAAAATCATGAAGACAGACAACACCATGTGTTGTAAAACAAATGGAATTTTAAGGTTTTGTTGGTGGTTGAACTGTCCAGCAGGTTCTTTAAAACTTACTTACATGAATGTACCCTGTGATCTAGCAATTCTATTCCTAAGAATATACCCAAGAGAAATAAAAATACATGTTAAAATAAAAAGACATTCACAACAATTTCTTATAAAAGATCCTTTTTATAATAATAATAGTTTGGGTCATTTGTCTTTTTTTATTTATAGGAGTTCTTTATGTTTTCTCTATCAAAAAAGCATACTGTAAATAACTGTTTTGATAAGTTATCTTATAAACAGTCAAGCAGAATGAACTTCTAAAACTTCTAGTGATATGGATAAATCTCAAAAACATTAATAAGAAGGAAGCAACTCAACATAAAAGAATATATATTATATGATTGAATTAAATAAATAAATAATACTAATCTATTGCTTGTTATTAGAAATAAAAACTAGTTATATCTGGCAGGAATTGTGGGGTGACTGGATAATAGAGGATGCTTTGGGTGGTCATTCGATGGATATATACCATTGTCAAAATTAATCAGATTGAATAATGTACAATGTATGCATTTTAATGTGTGGAAATTATACCTAGATTTTTAAAAAGCTAACAGGATATTTTAAAAATATATTTAAAAACTGATCAAATTAACCATGCTTTACTTCACTGATGTATTTCATGTCCTAAATATAAGTAAAGGTAACATAGAGGTCAGTCAGTGGCTTTCATGTGTTTGTTGATAAGTTGGTGGCATAAAATAAGTAACATTTTAAACTTATTTTATTTATTTTTAGGAGTAGGGGAAGGGAAGGAGAAAGAGGGGGAGAGAAACATCAATGTGTGGTTGCCTCTTGTGTGCCCCCTACTGGGGACCTGGCCCACAACCCAGGCATGTGCCCTGACTGGGAATCAAACCAGCAACCCTTTGGTTGACAGGGCAGCGCTCAATCTACTGAGCTACACCAGCCAGGGCAAAATAAGTTAATTTTTAGAAAATCCTACTGATATTTTTTGTTTAAATACATTTATTCGCATAATACTATATGTTAAACAACAATGAAGACATTTTCCCACCGAAGTAACCCAATGTCCCTGTTGTTACATGATGCTGAGCTGGCTCTGGCTCCTAGTGACTCTACGAATGAGCATTATCTACAACACCCTGTCCTCAGCAGCCCGGCTCAGCACCTGTGGACTCATGAATATGGCTTCTTTATGGAGTCAACCCACCTACTATTTGGTTGGCATCCTTTCATGCTGCCTTTTATTTTTATCAGCATTATTGTCCTTCCAAAGAACCCTGTCCTCTCATGATGTGCTCGAAGTAGGACTTTAGTTTTGTTATTTTTGCCTATAGTGATGTTCCAGGCTTACTTTCTGTAGGACCTGCGTGTTCATCTTTCTGGCGGTCCAGGGTCCAAACGTCTATTTTAATGTTTGTCTTAAAAATAGTGGAATGGGTCTTTTTCCTCCTTAAGGAAAGACTTTGATATGGAGTCAAAACTCTCTGAATTAGTAAGGACAAGGTTACAACATGCTACAGAGGGAAAGATATGGTGTCTCTACTGACAAAAATGAGGGCAAGTGCAGAAATGCAGTTTCTGCTGGGATTTAGCAGTAAAGTATGATGAGCAGAGAAACAGAACCTCAAACTTCAGGTGTAGAGAAAGCCTCACTATTCATCTCCCAGTGGTTTATATAACAGTGCAAGGAACTCCAGTGGCCTTAATGAAGCTTTACTTGCTTCTTAATGTTATGAGAAAAATAGGTACAATATGGGTCAAGTGATATCTTTCCATCCATTCATCCATGTTGGTGGAAGGTCACCAACTGTCTTTTCTTAGAAGAAGTATTCTTTCTTCTGAGATTACCATCTTCTAGCTCTTTGGTGTCAAAAATCATTTCTATGACAACTCATAGTAATATTGTTGATGTTGACAACTTCACATGTTGTTAACTTCATGTTGACAACTCTGTATTTGTCCTCCAACATCTCTGTTTATTTTATTTTATCAATCCATCTAATTGCAGCTGGATTTTCATGGTGAGTAAGACTAGTTACAAAGGGTTTGTTTCATATACCTATACTATTCTTCAATTCATTTACCCTCTAATACAATTAAGACCCAAATTAATTGGAAAACCTAGCTACTTCCGCAAGTATTTGATCTAAGATTTCATCTACAACCTGATTTGAAGCACCTTGACCCCATGACCCTTTTACCCTAGCCTGACCTAGTTCTACAAGCCTCTTTGCCAGTAACACTTTCCTATATATTACATGTTATAGTTTATAGAATTCTTTCACATTTACTAGCTTATTTGGTCCTCCCATAACCTTGGTGAGAAAAGCAGGTGTTATTATCAGCATTTTACAGATACTACAAAGACATTTGGGGAAGCAAAATCCCTTGCTTATGGTTATACGAGCTATGGATAACGAGCTAATAAATGAGAGAGAGGACATAATTTTTTTTATTATACTCAGGCATCTCTCATCTCAGGTATACTGACAAGGACTCTCATTTTAACTTTGTGTTAGGCTAACCCAAAACAGTTTTTCAAAACTATGTGTAAATAATTTTGTATCTTTCATAGCAAAGACGTATTGGGATTTCTTAATGAAATTATGAATCTGAAGTTTCCTTTGGGTTAGAATCAAAATAACCTGTTGGGGGCAAACCTGAGGTACGATCAAGTTTTGAGATGATAGATTTATTTATCCAATAATTATTTATTTGAGTACTTACTGCTGAGCAGGTCACAATCTTAAGTACTGTCCCCTGGTATTGACCCCACAACCCAATATCATCAATGCACTTCAGAGATACAGACATTTAAGGACTCTTTAAAAGTCCTTAAATCCTGCAATTTTCATCAGTAAAGTTGTCATACAGTCCTAATAATTTTCTTCCACATAACCCTTCCCACAAAGATCTATCAAGAATGTAAAAGGCAGAAAACTGTACTTGAAAAATAATTAAGAAAAAAAGGGAAAAAAGAATGTAAAAGTCACTGAATTTAAATTATAGAATTTACCTTTCATTGAGTTGATGTCTTACTATATATGTTCAATTAAAAAATGGACTCACAAGGCAAAAATAGACACATAGATAGAGAGCAAGCTGACAGCTGACAATGGCAGGTGGGGTGTGCGTTGAGGGGCTGGGTGGGGGGAGGGATTGAGCAAAAAAGAAAAAAAAACTCATGATGTGGACAACAGTGTGGTGATTGTCCAGGGAAGTGGGAGTTGGGGGAGGATGGTAAAGGGAGGGTAAATGGTGATGGAAGGGGACTTGACGGGGCAGTGAACACACAACACAGTGTTTGCGTTGGAGAACTGTGCACCTGAATCCTGTGTAATTTAGTTAATCAGCGTCACTCCAATAAATTCAATAAAAAGGAAAAAAAGAGAAAAACATAAAAATGAAAAAAGTTCTCTGGAGCTAAGTGTAATAATAAGAGTTACAAGTAATATTTGTTGATTGTAACTACAAAAACATAAATAATATTAAAAATAGTATAAATGGGTAGATATTTTGTTCTAAAATAAACTATTATAAAAATGTAAAATTCCCCTCTCCCCTATTAATTCAAGGAAACTAGTGATCATATCTAGCAAGTCAGACAGGAAATAAGCAAGGTCAGAACTAATTTGTTCATAACGTTTTGAGGATATTCTCATGAACTCTGGTCTCAGAATTGTTTTAAACTGGAACTGTGATTTCTTTTTAGATGTAAAATTGAGAAACAAGGGTTTTTAGGAGCAATTGGAGTTTTTCATCATATTGTATGAAGTGACTAACTATGTATTTATCAGTAATATAAATATTTTCCAATTATACATCGTCCATTCACCATATTGATCCAGAAATTAAAACATCTATCACATACCATTTTTTATAGCTTTCCAGTGTATATAAGAGAGGCATGTGCCCTGACTGGGAAATATATAAGAGAGGCAAAGAAAATATATATGGTATGAGATTTTTAAAATATCATTAAAAGTTTCTAATTTGAAAACTTTAATGGAAAGAATGGGTATGAATATTTTGTCTGATTTCATTGGTATGATAGTTCAGTATGCATTTTATTTCAGAAGAACAGCAAGAATGAGTACTCCAAGAATAGTTAATACTAGTTACAGGCATTTCAGAAACTGTCCAGCAGCAGATAAAAAGCAAACTAAAAGAAAAAATAAAAGATCTCCACATTCTTTTGCATTAGTCATTTTTAGAGGAATATCTTTGGGATGCAAAGGCACCTCCTTGGACAATTTTCCTCTGAACCCCAATTTCTCCCTTGTCATTCAGCCTGTTTCCATCCATCCTATGGGCCACCCTGCTTCCCTTCACCCATTATTTTTTCTGTTCATTTTGTTCTCTTTTTCTCCAACCCATGTAACTTGAAAATGAGTATTCCCCTGGGAATTATCAGTTCTTTCTGTGGTATAAAAATTTATAATTTCCACATTTCATAACCTGGATGTTTACTTTCTTATGAAATATGTTTGTGAGATGGCTTAGATTCTGTAATTAGAATTAATATGCACCCAGTACGCCTTTGATCTAGAATTAATATGCACCCAGTACGCCTCAGGAACCATTCTTCAGCTCTGGGCTGTGTTTCCTCTGGCCTCCCTCACTGCTTGTACTTCCTCCATAGACAGTCATTCACAGCATCCGGGTTTCAGGGGCAGCAACTTTTACTTTATCCCTGGTCCCTAATGAGATCACTAGCTCGAGTCAGTCTTTATCTCCAATCTCCTTTCCTCCCCGTTGGCATTTTATTATTTTTCTAACCCAGAGGAGCCAGACTGCCAGATTGGGTATTTCTGGAATTTACATATTGTAATCTCATCTGCTCACTTCCTTAGGTTGTCACCGTACATTTGATAATTCTATTATTATAGATCATTATCTTTGAAGCTGTTTAGTTTTTCCACAGGAGCGTCTGGAACCCCTGCTGACCTATCCTTAAACAGTGACTCTGAAATATATCTATCCTTAATTAGAAAGTTTTGAAAAGTAGATGTGCATTTCTGTAACTAGAAACATTAAGGCTTCTCTTGTAAATATTACACTTTGAATGACTTAAAATTTCAAAGCCTGTCAAAGATTTTTTTTGCATGGATGTCTCTGTATTTTATTTTTTCTTCTCTTTATATTCATATCTACATATCTAATAACCATCCTACCTTATATGTATATGAGCATAAATAGATATTATATTTTTATAAATCAACATACAAATGCCTGTTTTTTTTTTACAAATAACTGTAGTCTCATATTTTACCTATCCTAAACTAAGCTATTTCCCCATCTCAATCTGTTGTGTTTTGTTTCCTGAGAGTCAAAAAGGGAGTCAAACTAGCACTTGACCAACTAAAATGGATTTTATAGTCTCTTTCAAAAATAGTCTAAAAATCTTAAAGCAGAAGGAGATGTTAAATAAAACCTGCTACTTCCTGATGATGAGACGAGGCTGAAGTTACATCTGTAAGGGAAGAAGGGGCCGGGCAGAAGGTGGAAGCCAGGTCCCCCACGCTCTCTCCAGTATACTGTATAGACTAGGGAAGTCCCTGGAGCCTTCCCTCGGTCTGTATTTCACACACATGATATTCTGTGTTCTAACCCTCGGCACATTAGAATGACCATATTGGATGTGAGGGGCTGGGGACAAGGTCTGTTATCATATCAGCTGGACTGTCAGACTGGAGCTGACAGTGAATAATGACATCAGAGACAAGGCACAAAACTCAGCTACAGCAGCCGAAGGCCATTTGGAAAAGGAGTACAGAGCCTTACATATCTCAGAAGACCTAGAAGTGCCAGTGCATTATAGAACGGTAAACTGCTGTTACTGGTGGGGGAAAAACATTAAGAAATGGGTGAATTATATTCACTGTATGTGATCTGGAAAAGCAAAGAAATAGATCTGAAGTCTGGAAAGACATAGGCAAAATGAATGAAATTAAATTCAACAGTTTTCTAAACTTATCCAAGTATTACTAATTTTTTTCTATTTTTGAAAATATTAATCATGCAAGAAGATCATGGTGACTCTGTTTCTTGTTGGAAACTTTCTGTTCTAAAAAAAAATAAGAAAATAATTATAGCTTTCTACTTGAAACATTTTTAAAGAGCTTTTAATGAGCCCTGCTGGAAAATTAGACACAATCAAGTATTGCTTATAGGAATAATTCAGTTTGCTGCTAAAATAATTCCTAAGGAATTATCATGCCAGTTAGAATGTCTATCATCAGAAAGATAAGATAAATTTTGGCGAGGATATGGAGAAAAGGAAACCCTTGCACACTCTTACTGGGATTGTAAATGGATGCCACCACTGTGGGAAACAGTATGGAGGCTCCTCAAAAAATTAAAAATACAGCTACCATACAATCCATCAACCCCACTTATGGGAATATATCTGAGGGAAATGAAAACACCTTATTGGAGGGACATTTGACTCTCGTGTTCATAGCAGCCAATACATTGAAACAATGTACGTGTTCATTGCCGGGCGAATGGATAAAGAAGTGGTGGTACATGTATACAATGAAACAATATTCAGCCATAAAAAAAGAAAGACCTCTTGTCATTTGTGACAATATGGATAAATTTTGAGGGCATTAAGTCATACAGAGGAAGACAAGTATATGATTTCACTTTATGGGGAATCTAAAAACCAAAAACAAAAATCATAGGAAAAGAGATCAGATTTTTGGTTACCATGGGTGGGGATGTGGGGTGGGGGAATTGGGTAAAAGTTGTCAGAATGTGCAAACTTCCATTTGTAAGAACTCGGGAATGTAATGCATAATGACTGTCATTAACAATGCTCTGTGGCTTAGGAGAAAGTTGTTAAGAGAGTTCTCATCACACAGAAAAGTTTTTTCTTTCTTCTGGTATCTTTAGGAAATGATAATGTTAACTTATTGTGGTAATCATTTCACAATACATGTGAGTCAAGTCATTCTGCCATATACCTTAGGCTTACAACAAAAACAGTTCTGTTGTAGGCAGGGGGCATATTTTTAAGAACAAATGCTTTAACTTCTATACAACGTATGAAAGTGTGACTCGAGGCCACACTTGTCTCACCAAGTACAATCAAGGACCACAATCATTGGGTGTTTGACTCAACACACCAGGCTCAACCTGCAGGCCTCCAGTAAGTTTATCTGCATTGTTTGGGTTACCTCATGGAACAAATTAACTGGATAATTGCCAAACTTATGCCATTTAGAGATAAACTTCCTATAAGAGGAGTAATATTTTGACATTAATTAATCTTTATAAGTAAGCAATTGCTGATTTTCTAAAAAATATATGTAAAACCTATGAATTTGTGGTGTAACACCCAGATATTATGATAAAATGTTCCTTTCTGTGCTAGGCACTTACCTTACCCTGCGGATACTCACTAAATTAAAAAAAAAAAAAGAGTATTAAAATCTAGGTAAGTTTTTTACTGCATATGTACTTTTTTCTATTTTAAACTGAGTTTGATGTCTGTTATGCGCGTGTCCGCAGAGACTTTGAACTCCTCCTTGTCACTGACGCTCTGCTCTCCTTTGCATTCCCTGCTTGCAGGCACCTGGGCAGTCTAGTGACGGTGCTGTCCAGGCAGCACATGCGGTGGCTCTGGGACTTCAGTGGAAGCAAGCCCTTCTGGATAGGTGAGTATCTGCGCGCGCTGCGGAGGCCAAGTGATCGCGGTTTGCCGTGGTGAGGGACGGTAGATGGTTGCACAGTTTCTTTTCAAATTCTTAACTACACAATAGTTTAATTTTTAGACTTGTATTTCAAAGAAGTAATAAGGGATGAGGTTCTACATATAGGTAAGACAATTCAACAAATGGTATTTCTAAAAGTAAAAAGTTAGAAATAGCAATAGGGCATGGTTCAAAAAATCATAGCCATGTGAAGGAATATTTATTGTTTAGCATTTTACAAAAGCATCAAACACTGTATTAAAGACATGAACAAAGGCCTCGTGTTTATTAATATTCAATAAATACATGTTGGGTGAACATTATACATAAAGTATGTAATGCATTTGTGGCAAGGTATTAAGTAAAAAAGCAGAGTGTACAACCATATGAAGCAGGAAATAATTTAAAATAAATTTATATACATGAGTTATATATATGCATTTCTATATTAATACATATGTAAATATATTAAAATATATTTAAAATGCAAAAGAATTAGAAAAGTTTAACCTTCAGTTGGGAATTATATGTGGTCTTAGTTTTATCCCTTACTTTCTGAAGTTTTAATATCTCCTACAATTTTAACAATAATACAAACCCTTTCAAGCAACTGACCATCTCTACTTAGAGGTATTGTGTTTCAGGAAACTCCAACAAACTTATTCTTGGCTTCTCAAGATCTCTTTCCTACGCAGTGAGTCTCTAAATTCTGAAATTACCTGGGAGTATTATGTTAAGGCTAGGGGATGTTTTCTTTATATCCACAACACTGATTTCAAGGCTCAATCCCCACAAAGTACTTAGGTATAGCCTGATCCAATCAATAATTCAAGGAAACAATCTAGAACAAGATAGGTTATTCCTAACCAGGAGTACTTCATTTTATTATACCCAAACATACTGACTGAGACTCGGTTGGAGAAGGTTGTGTGTAACTGAGATTGTTTTCATGGTCACATTTGGTTTGGGAGATGTCAGGTCACGCTATTTCAAGGGAGCTGTTTCTCATTTTCTTCTTCTTTCTCTTATAAAAAAGTGTGAGGGGGAGGAACAACTTCTTTAAGAAAAATTGCAAGAGCTTTGCAACATTAAAATGTAATTTGCAAAAATTGACAATGGAACTAGAGAGGCAGGTTGAGAAAAGCTGCTTTCTGTTGGAATTGTTGCAGATTGAAAAGATCTTAGGCTCCAGACTAAAAATAATACTTAGTAAGCTACTTCCATATAGGAAAACCAAGACACTGAAATAATGAGGAAGAAAGGCAATGGACAAGAGTATATCCGTGTCCTTGCAATGGAAGTTCTTCTGCCTGTAAGATAATATAAATAATAATTGCCGTTATTAAACATGTGTATATGCCCTGTGCTTCACATGCATTAACTTATTGCACCCTCAAAGCAGCCCTAGTATACTATTTTTATTCCAGTTGATAGATGGGAAAACTAAAACTTAGAGTGGGTAAGCAACCTGCCCAAAGATGCCCAATGAGCAAGTCTGGAGCTAGGATTTAAGTTCGGATCTGCCTGACCCCAAAGCCTCAAGTACTTAGTTGTGCCCCATGGGATCCCCAGTCCCATTCCAAATGTTTCACATTGTAGGCCCATGTTTGCTCAGAGCAATAGACTGATAGGATATCCAAGTATAAATGTAATAAAATCGTTTGGCACATTCTTTTGGCTCACATTAGGTTTGAATGACAAAATGCATGCCGGCCACTGGGAGTGGATCGGCGGTGAAACTGTCACCTTCACCAGCTGGAAGAGAGGGCCTGTTCAACGTCCAAAGCCTGGCAAGAACTGTGTCTTGGTTCAAAGACAAGGAAAATGGCAAACAAAGGACTGTACGAAGGGCAAACCTCACAATTACGTGTGCTCCAGGAAACTCTAAATGTAACTGGCCTATAGGTGCCCAGTGGGATTTCTCACCTATTTATTTACGGGATTTGTGCATATCGTTCAATAGAAAACAAGGTGTCACGGCTGACTTGCTACATTTTTTCGTCATAGTGTATGAGTGATTGTATTTAGTAAAAAAGGGAGCATAAATGAATAATTCCAGGAAGATTGATAAATGAATATTTCCTGCAGGAAGAAATGCAATTCTTGCATCTCAATGCTTTTCAGAATAGATGCCTGATGTGGCGTATGGTGCAAGATTTGCTTGTTCTAGGAGACCACCCCCCTGACCCCATTCCATATCATAGCACCAATTTCATGGTCTTTGGGTTTTTTTATCCCAATACCTGAAATGAGCCCATTCTGAAATCAGTATTGCAGGGGCTTCTAGTACTTCATTGCAAGTGAAGCTAACACTAGTTAAATCAAGGTTAAATTGCAAAGGGATGCGTTGCTTCGTCCCTTCAGAGCCCTTTCAGATGTGGAACCTGAGATAAAAGGGTGTGGGTCAGAAGGAGAATTCTCTGTGGTGAGAAGGGAAAACTTTAGATGGAAGAATCTTGCCAGTGGAAGCTCGTCTGCACAGCTTTGGTTCGGGTAAGAATTCAGAGGCTACCTGTGTTTCAGAGGTCTGCAGATCTCCTTTTGCAATAAAAAGGTTGGCACCGTGCTATTCCAAGGCTAATGATTGGATTCCCCCAGCCATACAGAGTCATGATAAATTTGAAGTAATATGAGCCTTTCCATTCTTTCATGTTTATAGTACTGACTAGAATTTCTCAAGGATATTTGGAATAAAGAGTATATTTAAATGATAGTTAATATATGGAAGTAAAACACTGCTGTCTCAGAAGTGTTCCAATGAACTATGCTGATGAACAAGGAAAAATAATACTGAAAACAAGGCCCTTGAAAGCCTATATTCTCAGAAAGCATTTTGATATAATTCGAGCCCTTAAATTTTTGATCTTTGTAGAAATGCCATGTTAACTTGATTCTCTAATGTAAAGGTCCCTTATTAATTTCTAATGTTAGCTGAGTGAAACATTGTTGTAGTGAAGCATGTTGCAGACTTATAAGAGCTCCCTCCTAAAATTAAGTTTTAATTATAGGAAATTAGAAATTTATGTCTCAAACATTTGCTCAAAATTTCCCTCTTTTCAGAATCACTAAAAAATATGGTTGCGCCAAACGTAACTTGCTGTACAAGCACCAGTGTAACTTCAGAGTCAAAATGAGTGACTGAGCAGACTGGTATTTCAGTGCGGGTTTTATTACAGTAATACCTTGAGTGCAGCTAAAAAAGACTGAGGAAATTTAGTCAAGTTTCTGGATATAAAACATGACAAGCTTATTTTATGTCCGTTCATTTATCAAGATTTTGGTTAGTAGAGGTATTTACAAGAGAGGCTGGGATAAGGTGCAGACACACTATCTCCTAATAAAGTTAAACATCACGGTGGAGTCGGGAGGCTCCTCACCTTAAACGTCACAGGCAGGCTCTGCACTGGCAGTGCCCGCGTGTCTCCTGTGGGACACACGTAGTCTCTGGCATTTAACCAAAAGGCGCAAAAGCCAATCCTTTGTATCAGCTCCAACCCCCTCTGACCCACTGGCCTCTGCCGTGTGGATTGGTGAGATGCCAGATAAAGAGAGGAAGAGTGTCTAAAGGGTCACATCCTAAGAGAGACAGTTAAAGTTGGAGAAACGAGGAATTCAGGGGACACCTTTTCCTACTGGAACTCTAGAATATGTTGACTATTTAAAACTGAAACTCCGCAGCAACTGTGGAGAACCTGTTCGGCACGGTATACGTTATTATACAGTGACTGTAACTGCAGTGACAGTGATATTAAGTGTAATTGCAATGTTAGCACAAGGAGACTCTGTTTGGATTTTTTATAGCAACCAGAAATACTACTATAATGTTTAAAAATATTTCTGATTGTGAAGGCAGTAATCAAGTTGTAAAATACAAGTAATGGAAAGAAGATACAAATAAAAATTCAGGCAAGCTCCAGCTGGTATGGCTCAGTTGGTTGGGTGTCATCCTGCAAACCAAAAGGTCACAGGTTTAATTTCAAAAGATCTGGCACATGCCTGGGTCTCAAGTTCAGCTTCTACTTGCAGTGCATATGGAAGAAAGGCACCAACTGATGTTTCTCACATCGAGGTTTCTCTCCCTGTCTTTCTCCCCTCCTTCCCCTCTCTCTAAAAATAAAAATTCAGGCAAGTGTGGGTGCTGGCTAATATTCATCATGACCTTCATTTCTTTCTCAAGACTCGGCTTCTTTGGCAGAGGTCGAGGTGGGAGGGGTGGGCAGGAAGAAGTAAATGACCGTCATGGTTCTCTCCACCTTGGTTGGTCACTGTCGCCTTTGAGGTTCTGGTTGCAATGGGAAGGAAGGAAATAGTTCAAGGGTAGAATGGTAATGGCAGGTTACAGAAGAGGAAAGGGGAGGGAGGAGAGAAGACTTAAGTAAGAAGAGGTGGTGACTGGTGTAGCTAAGAAGAAAAGCACCAGAAGGAATGTCCTGGAGCCACCCAGCTCTCTTCACACTTGAACACCAACTTGGGGAAAGACCCAGTTTATCCAAAGGCATCAGCCGAGAACAACTGTGTATAGCTTTTCACAATCTTGTGATGTCTGGTCTTTAACAAAAACCTACATGTATACAGCATATATTTGCTAAACATTAGCTTGTAAAGCATACGATAATTATTTTATCTCTTCTGGGGAATGGTAAAAATGAACCAGATGACATTTATTTACATTTCTGTTTTTTAAATTTTTAATGCAGCCAAGAAGAATATGCAAATGTTCATTAACAGTATAGTTCTGTGTAATTTAAACCATAAATTGGTGCTAATTTTTGCAACCAAACAGCATATTAAATGTACTGTACCTAGTTTTGTATCATACTTAATAAAACAAACATTTCTGAACCAGTGTTCCTTCTGTTTTTAACATTTCACATTTATTCTACCACTGGAAGAAGAGATGGAGAAGAACACTCAGCGTGCCTTTTCTGTTGACTTCCAGATCAGCATTTAGTCACATGGCTTCCATCCATTCCCCTAGCCACCCATCTATTCATCCACTATTTATTCAGGAAATATTGGATATGGAGTGCTAACCCTGCATAGCGAATACATGCAAATTTCTAATGAAATAGATTATGTTTATTTATTTTTTAGAGAGAGAAGAAGGGAGAGAGAGAGAGGGAGAGAAACATAGATGTGGGAGAGAATCATCGATCAGCTGCCTCCCCCACATGTACCCCAGCCAGGGACCGGGCCTGCAACCCAGGCATGTTCCCTGACCAGGAATTGAACTGGTGACCCTTTGCCTTGTGGGGTGATTCCCAACCAGCTAGAGCCCTAAATTGTCAGGGCTCTAATAGTGGTTTTTTTTTTTAAGTGTAGAGCTTTTTATTAGGGAGGATGTTACAGAGGAAATCACTGATTACATTATCCCTTTTCTGCAGTGGAGAGAAACACAGTGATACAAACAGCTCAGGATGTCTTTTGTTATATTTCTCTCCTGATTAGGACACCGGCGTTAACTTCCTGAGTTTATAATTAACTCAAAGTGTTATTGACAGCAGCCATCCAAAATTTCCCATCTGCAGATCAAGTTAGGATCTACAGTTTTCAAATCTAACTTTTTGCAACAATTATTTTTTTCCAAAAAGACAGCAGTATGTGTCTCTCTGTGTCTTTGAGATTCCTGGACTAACAAAAATAGAGAGCTTTGATGTCACCTCACCTGATATCCATTCTGTACAACAAGGAAGACTAAAGTCCTCAGAAGTTAAAGTGGGAAGAAATTACTTCCGGAACTAGTGTCTTCTAATTATTCCACACCATCTATTACCACTTGGAGCAAGTGGTTTTACTGTTGTCAAGTAAAGCATCTTTGAATGACGAATATGATTAAATTCACCATGTACTTGAAAACATCGTAAGTAAAAAAAGATGTACACAAAAGGCATGTAACCAGAATAGGCAGATCTATAAAGACAGAGAGTAGATCGGTGCTTTCCAGGGGTGGGAAGGAACCCAAACTAACGGCCGACGAGTGCCATGTTTCTCTCTGAGAGGGTAGAGATGTTCTGGAATTGAATAGTGGTGATGGTTGTGTTGCATGCTGAATATACCGAATTATGCACTATACGATGGTGAATTTTGTGTTATAGAAAGTGTATCACACTGAAAATGCTATTTAAAATCACCATACATACATTTATTTTAGAAAGCTGTACGTGGGTTGATGCATTTGACTCATCCAAGGCACTTGTTCCAGTAATTACCCCACATCTCACCCAGGTTTCTGTTTACCTTTTTACATAGTTGGTTAAGGGGGAAAGAATGTTCATTTAACATAGTTTTTAATTTACAGTGCCACTTTATTGACTTTCCTTCTCCTTCCCTATTAATCACGAGAAAACTGTTGCTGATGGCAGAATGTGTCTGGATGTCTGTAATGTCCAGAATGCCATGGTTTTCTTAAAATTAATTTTACAAGTCTTTAGAACAGGATCATGCAGGAAATGAATACACTGTCCTCATAACTTACACATATAACTGTTCATTTTTGAACATTTTTATGGGTCTTATATTCTACCAGGCAATAAAGTTCAGTTTATCTTAAGACGGAAAAGAACAAAAATAAACCAGCACTTTCATTAAAGGCCTTATGGTAACCCACAATACTTTTTCCAAGCAATGAAGTGTGAGTTTACCTTTTGCTTCCATCCCTCTGTATTTTTGCTTCCCAAAGGCAATCAATCCTTCAGAAGAAAAATGAAAAAAAGATACTCTATCCTAAAACTAATCAAAATAAAGCTGGAGTAGCTATATGAATATCAGAGTAGATTTTTTAAAATTCTCACCCAAGGATATGTTTTTTCTTTATTTTAAAGAGAGAGAGTAAGAGAGAAAAAGAGATGAGAGAGAGAGAGAGAGAGATCAGTGTGAGAGAGAAACCTGGATAGGTTGCCTTCCATACGTGCTTGAGCTCCCAGCTTTTCAGTGTATGGGACAACACTGCAACCCACTGAACCACCTGGCCAGGGCTATCAGAGTAGATTTTAAAGTAATAATTACCAAGGGAAAAGAAGGTGGTTTTATAATTTAAAGGGATCAGCACATCAACAGGGCACAGTAACCCTAAACATGTACGCATCTAGTAACAGCGTTGAAAAATACATAAGACAAAACTAATGAAACTACAAGGAGAAATAGATAAATCTATAATTACAGTCAGAAATGTTAATACTCCTCTCTTGATAATGAATAGAATGACCAGGCAGAAAACCAGTAAGGGTGTAGAAGTATGGGCATTTTAATTAAATTACCTTAATATTTATAGAATACTTCACCCAACAGGGGCAGAATATACATGCTTTTCAAGTGCACACAGTTTATTCACCAGGGTGGACTTTTTTCTGTGACATAAAAGGAGTCTCGGTAAATGTAAAAAGGATTCAAGTCACACAAAATATGTTCTCTGGCCACAATAGACTTGAATTAGAAATCAATAACAGAAACATCTTTGGAAAATCCCCAAGTGTTTGGAAACTATATTATAGACTTCTTTAATTCATGGGTTAAAGTAGAAGTCAAAGGGGAAATTTTAAAGTATGATGAACTGAACAAAAATGAAAACACAAGACATCAAAGTTTGTGGCATGCCATTAAAACTGTACTGAGGGGAAATTTTGTAGCACTAAATGCCTATAATAGAAGAGAAGAAAGGTCTTAACCTCAGCTTCCACTTCAAGAGACTGAAAAAAGAAAGCAGAAATAAGAAAATAACACTATGAGGGTAGAAATCAATAAAACAGAAAACAAAAACAATAGAGAAAGTTAATGAAAGCAAAAGATGGTTCTTTGAGAATATCAATACCATTGGTAAATCTCCAAACAGACTAATCAGGGAAAATTGAGTGAGGACGGCAGTCAGTAGCGTCAGGAACGAGAGGTTAGCTGCGTCAGGTGCCAGCGCCACAGACTCTACAGCTACTGAAAGGGCAGCGAGGGGATGTCAGAAGCAGCTTGTACCAATACACAGGTTAAATAAAATGGACAAATTCCTTGAAAAACACAAACTGCCAACACGATAAAAAAACGGGTAACTTGAAAAAATAATTATAAAAAGTAATTTCTATAGTTATTACAGAAATTAAATTTATAGTTGAAACTTTCTCACAGTAAAAATTCCAGGCTCAGGCAACTTCTTTATTGAATTCTACAAATATTTAAAGAAGAAATAGTACTGATTCCACAAAAGTCACCTGTAAAATGGCAGAGAAAAGAGTTTCTAACTCATTCCATGAGGCCAGCATTACTCTGATACCAAACCACACAAAAATAACTTACACGACTCCACTCTAGGAAGACATCTAACCCAATTAAAAAATGGGAAAAGGACTTGAACAGACACCTCTCCAAGGAGGATATACAGAACATCCAGAGACACATGAAGAGATGCTCAATATCGCTAGCTATATCAGAGAGATGCAAATTAAAACCACAATGAGATACCACTTTACACCGGTCAGGATGGCTATCATAAACAAAGCAACAAACAACAAATGTTGGAGAGGTTGTGGGGAAAAGGGGACCTTAGTTCACTGTTGGTGGGATTGCAGACTGGTACAACCATTATGGAAAACAGTATGGAATTTTCTCAGAAAAATAAAAATCGACCTGCCTTTTGACCCGGCAATTCCACTGCTAGGATTATATCCCAAGAATCCTAAAACATCAATTTCAAAGAACCTATGCACCACAATGTTCATAGCAGCACAATTTACAATAGCCAAGAGTAGGAAGCAACCTAGGTGCCCATCAGTAAATGAATGGATCAGAAAATTGTGGTACATATACACCATGGAATTCTATGCAGCAGAGAGAAAGAAGGAGCTACTACCCTTTGCAACAACATGGATGGAACTGGAAAGCATTATGCTGAGTGAAATAGGCCAGGCATTGAAGGACAAATACCATATGATCTCACCTTTGACAGGAAGCTAAACAATAAAACAAACAAGCAAACAGAATAAAAACAAAGACACTGAAATAGAGAACAAGTGGGCAGTGACCAGAGGGGAGAGGGAAGGGAATTTAAGGGGAAAAATGGGGAGGGATTTTGAGGAACAAGTATGAAAGACACAGGGATGAGGACTGGGGGGGGCGGGAAATGGGAGGGAGGTGGGGAGACAGGGCGGGGGGGGGGCTGGGATGGGAGAAATAGACAAAAAAATGTACTTGAAAAATAATTAAATAAAAATTAAAAAAAAAGAAAACCACAGGCCAGTATCCCTCATGAACATAGATAGAAAAATTCTAAACAAAATGTAACCAATTCAGAACTAACAATATACACAAAAGGATGATATATCATGACTGAGGCACTGTTAAGAGAATGACAAGCCACAGACTGGGAGAAAATATTTATGTGCATATAACGATAAAGGACTTGTATCCAGATTATATATATCATATATATATGTTATATATATATGATATATATATTATTCAAGTTATATCCAGGTTATATAAAACATATATATGTGTGTGTTTGTATTCAAAATTAATAAGAAAATTTTTAAATGGCAGAAGATTTGAACAGATACTTTATCAAAGAAGATGTATAGATGGCAAATCAGTATATGATATATTAGTCATTAGTCATTACTAATGCATTACAAATACCTATTAGTCATTAGGGAACTGTAAATTGTAGCCACAGTGAGATAGTATCACACACCTCTCAGAATGGCTAAAATTAAAACAAGTGACTGTACTAAGTATTGGTAAGACCGTTAAGGAACTGTAAGTCTCATATCCTGCTGGTGGAAATACAACATAGTCCAACCACTTTGGAACACACTTTAGTGGTTTCTTAAAAAATGATAAATGTATACCTACTGTATAAT